TTCAGCATAAAAAAGCGTACAGATAAAAAAGAAAACTTAAAAACTAATAATTCGCTATGCTGAAAAGGCTTCCACTCAGCTGGTGCCGCAGCGTATCACTACAGCGCTGATTTTCAGTGGAGCCACTTGAAAAAAAAAGAAATAGCATTCGTGATAAATTCAAATCAAAAATCTAAAATGAAGAATCAGTTAAATGGATGAATTATATGTGTGATAAATAGAAGAAAAATATATAAGGATAAAAAAGTGTTGATAGAAAGACTTTTGTGTAATGTAATATAGCTTGATATATTTATTTATTTAATCAATATACATGTATATAAAACTACTGTATTTATCTGCCACGTTTAAAATTTTTGTACTTTGAGTAAATATTTTTTAAAATTATGTTTAAAAGACGAAACTGACTGAATAGTATTTTGAAGCGGGGGTGGTAAATTGTTCCAGCATTTCGTGGCAGTATATTTAAAACTTCCACGAAATGCTGCAGTTTTATATTGAGGATAGATCATGTAGGGATGTGACAATCGATGATTTCGCATAGAAAATGAAAGTTTTTCAAATAAATATATTGGTTTCTTATACTTCACCACTCCAAAAAGCAATACTGCAAAATGTAGAGATCGTTTGTGTTCCATTTTTAGCCAGTTGCATGGTGAGAAATATATTTTAATTTGTGGCTTGTCTCTTTATTTTTGTTATTGCACTGGCATTGCATAAAATTTTATTATAACAAGAGGGGAAACCCAAGCGTTCTATTGGTTTGGAAAATAAGCTGAGGTAAATGAGATAGGTACGCTGTCCAGTGAGTGATGCTGTGCGATTAATATAAATAAATAAATAAGCCAGGACATTTAACACAGGGCCATATATTTTCACCGTGTTATGTGTACTAGACAACTAAAATAAACATTTAGATACTTTTTTTTAATACATGCATAATATGCATGGAATCGATCCTGTGACTTTCGGAAGTAAAGCGGTATGCTATACCGATAGACCACCGAGGCCTTCAAATAAAACTAACGCTCTGTGCTATTCAAACCCTAAGATTTATCACCGAATTTCAAGTGCATTTTAATATAAGTACCTCTACATTATACCACAATAGTGGTTGGTTATAACGCCTATAGTAGGTTACCAAAGTCCAAAGCATAAAAAACAAAGCATAAGCATAAATAATGTAATATTAATAACCTTTAATTACACACAGTATATAAATAAAAATCACAGTATTTATATTATAAAGTAAATACCATCTGACCGCGCCAACTTTGTTTTGGCATGCAATTATCTAATTTTTTTCTGAACCTCTAGATGATAAGGGCTGTGGCCATAAAAAATAGCCCACGATCTATCAGATCAGACCTACTAATTATATATATATATAGATAATATAGACGACAATAGGAATATAGAGGAGTTCATGTTAATAGAAATCACGGAATTCATATATCATACATATTATATATTAACAATTTCTCACATTAAATGAACTTTGAATATTTTATTATTGTATATTCTTAGTCTTTCGGAAGTCACTGTCTACTATTTGACACATTTGATAGCAAGTCCGTATTTATTTAAATTATCACTCAGGATACGAAATTTAATGAAAGCGAGTGAATTCTTGTACACAAGTTGTACAATAAAAGAATATTATAGGCTACAATATGAACTAGATAATGAAATAAATTGCTGGATGATTTAGAACTACAAACACTGTCACGAGGCTATTATGTACGAAATCCGTAGCGGATGATTTTCCTTATAATGAATAGGAAAATAGAGATCGTGCGAGGCAACACGTGTGACAGCCCAACGTTTGTTTCGTAAAGATTTTGTCACAGTAAAAGCTACTACACTGTACTATAATGTTACTAATCATCATCATTACATAGTATAGTATAAAACAAAGTCTCTGTCTGTCCGTCTTTATATATGCTTAAATCTTTAAAACTACGCAACGGATTTTGAAGCATTTTTAATAGATAGAGTGATTCAAGAGGTAGGTTTATATGTATAATACATATACACCCGGGCGAAACCAGAGCGAGTAACTAGTATTACTATAATACTTATAAATACCAAAAGATGTACTAGTCTTGCCTTTAAATAAAATTAAAAAATCTGTTGAAGCATATTTACTGAGCCCATATCACTAAACGATTACTTAAATGATAAACGTGCATATCAATAATTATTCATGCACGAGATTTTAATTTAATGTTACACATAGACAGAAATATAAGTTTAAAATGTCATGGTTTAAAAAAAAGATTTTACAGTTGAGTTTCATGCCAGTTCTTCTCAATTGAATCTATATATTGAACTGGACGGTATAGGAAAAAAAGTATCAAAGGGGCTAAAATTAATTTTTTTTAATTTTATTTAATGCTTCAATCACACATTTATAACAAAAACATTTTACTGTACAAACTTTGTACAAACACATATTGCAAAGCAACTTACTTAACGGCTGAAATAGGTGACAGCATCTATTTTAGATGTTTCGGTTATAGAGTGAGATTCGGCAATGAACTTACAGTGTACGGATGACACTTAGTCTTCTAGAATACAATACTGTATACTCAATAATGGTCGGAATTTGATCATAATTAGAGGTCATAACAGTAATCAAGTTTCCGCACTGAATATCTGTGTTCTCACACATGCTAATTGTAGCGGAATTAAACAAAATAATATAAATCCATTAAGGACTTCTGGAATGGCAACGCATAAGTTTGAAAGCAGCGGTTACAAATAGACAGTAAAATTCTTTTCCATTTTAGTTACAAAAAAAAAACTGAAGGAAACTGACTGATGTATCTTCACACATAAATATACTTCACAAATTAATAGGTCAAAATTTAACTTTATAAATAAGACACTGTAAAGCCTAATTAATTCCCTGTAAGTTTCTAAATTACGATGGATATTTCCTTGATAAAATATTTGTCTAAGATCTTTAATCTCGGACCCATCTACACAAGCACTATAGATACAACGCGCTACTACATAAGTACACACTAACCCAAATAAAGTACTTAGATATTATCTATGTGCTTTGCTAATAAGTTAGCCAAATGTTTTCTCGGCTTAATACAAAAACAAAATGTAACAATTTGTACCATGACCAAACACCTGACAAAAACTCATTTGAAGCACTAATTCAAAGCGATTCGTCACCGCTGATTGCGAGTTACGGCGATGGTATGAAATCCGCAAAGTAATACTGTAATTGTCTTTACTAATAATGGTGCTACACAAATGAAAACCTATTTAAAATAATATTCTACGCAGTTATTTAGGAACGACAAATGAGCAGATTATTATACCACTTAAGCAGTTACAAGTACGTGTGGATTACTTGAGATCCAATTATGCACTTGTAATAAAAGGTGTTCGAGTCTTATTATTCTGTCTTATTATCTATCTATCTATCAACGGATCTTGAGGCGGTGTTTTTAAATAAATAGAGTGATTCATGAGGAAGGTTTATATATATAATACATGTACACCCGTGCGAAGCCGGGGCGAATAGCTAGTAATATTATAAAAGCAAAATTTTGAGAGTATGTATGGATGTTTGTTAGTCTTTCACGGAAAAACTACTGAACGGAATGTGATTGAAAAAATGTGATGAAACTTTACAATAATATAGCATAATGTCACATTATGTTATAAAATTACATTATCATTACAAAAGTGTTTTTATTCTATGGATGGACTCGTATTACAGTTATACGGAGACGTAAACAAATGAATGGGTACCGAGTGTTGACAAAAAAATTATAAGTAAGTACCAGTAGGCACATAACAATCGAACGAACATGGCCATTCAAAATCACTATGCCTGATTTAATGTTACTTAATTATTTAAACAGTTGATTGTGTATTTAATATTTTGACTGTACTTGGCAATTTGTATTCACAAATTTCAAATAAAATATGTATAGTTACAACAATTATTTAAAAGACAACTCGCAAGTTTTTCACTCGTTCTTTTTATGATGAGCATTCTATATGAGCAATAGATTAAAAAATAATTAAAACAAAACTGCTTAAATCAAGTTTATTTGAGTAAAGAATTTTCTATTCTATTCATAAAAAAAATATTGTTGAGTAATACAGCAAATATATATCATCTAAGAAAATATAGCGAGGAAAAAGGTCAGTTACCAGTATCCAGTAGTATACCTAGTTTGCATAGTCAATACTCAAGTTACGCACGATAGGATGCCTAAGATATGAGTAACATAACTTTCCACTTGTAAAATTGCACAGAAATATATTTTCCTTCTACTTTTCCCTATTTTTAATGTTTTAATTTCTACAAGCATCCATAGACCCTAATGTATTCTTAACCTATCCTTCTTCTATACCTTATGCTTCTAGGCTTGTATGTCACCATTGTAATATAAAAAAATGTATTCTTAACACTTATAGACAGGGTTTCATTTATTATTTAAGATACAGTCAGACACAATAATTTACATACACTAAATATAGTTCAACATCATAGACACCCCAAAGCTCTATATCATAGACCAACCCAAAACCAGAGACAATAATAATTATAATTACTAATCACCTCACATTAAATGTATCATTATTATAATGAAGAGAAGTAATAAAATCAGTATGAATCAATAAGTACTCACAACGGAACGTATCTTTTATTTAGTCATCACAGTATACCATTATCATTTTATCAGTATCAACCACATGTAGGGCCCTACATTTTTCTGATCCTTCGAGCCGGATATAAATCAGCGACCTATAAATATATAAATAATCGTTTACAGAGTAGAGTAGTACTCATTTTTTACTAAAATATATCTGTATGTATTATAGTTATTATTATTATTATACATATTAAGTGTTTGTATCAGTTGTCTAATAACACAAGATCTACTTAGTTTGAGACCTAATGTCGCTGTGGGCTATATATATATATATATATATATATAGGCCACAGCGACATTAGGTCTGCTGCGCTGTGTAGTTTACATATCACTCATCATTGCATATAACTATAATTATGTGTCAGAACCATTTCTGACCGCTGGCGGCTGATTGTCGTAGCCTAGTTTTCGTAGATCTTTGGACACCATTGTTAAACTGAGAGTCACGGATCCGTATGACTCTGTTCGCAGCACTGAAATAACAAACACAATAATTTTCTAACAGTTATAGAGTTTTTTATGTAACTGGAAAGGTAAACAAGCTGATGGCCAACGTGACAAGTAAGTGGTAACCGACGCCCAGACATATGAACAACATTACAGACATCACGGTATCATGTGGCACCCGCGATACCACTCATGCGTTGTCATTCCAGAGGACTAAGATATCATGTTTCTTATCCTGTAATTTTCATGACTAATTTTTTTTTTCGAATCACATCGAACAATACTAGTTTGCTGAAATATCTCAGACGCAGATGACTCTCTACAGTACCTCTGGTAATGCTGGTAATGGACGCAAAGGAGTTAATAAAGTCATTTGCGGGGTAGATACTTCTGCATATCACCAACAACTTGCTTTAGAAGATATATCCTAGTTAGAAAAAATATGGCAGTGAAATTACACGGTACAAAAGGTAACGTGTAATTTTACTGCTATATCTTTTAGCCTTAAGGAAAATTAAGACTAACACAAATACATTTAAGCATAAATACAAATGTTTGTATTGAGCAAGTATCGCACCCGCGATCAAGGGAAGAAGACAAACAGTACATTGTTAACCGCGAGTTCATCTGTGCACACACTTTCACCGTATTTCACGAAGTGAAGATTATTTTTTATGATAAAATACAGCCTATATTCATCCTCGTGATACAATATACCTTCATATTAAATTTAATTAAAATCTATTCAACCGTTTTGTTGTGAAAACGTAACAAGTAGTCAGACAGACAGAGACATGGATGGAAACTTACAATAATTCTCCTTTCCACTGGCCAACATTTTAGGATCTGCCAGCTCTGGTCGCCGTCCCGTGAGCCACGCCAGCCACTCGCCAAACACTGTCGCCGCTTGTGGACGCACTAAAGGAGCTGTTAATACCCTCAATCCACAAGTTGGCGGCATCAGTACCAACGCATAACCGAGCAAAGAGTCACCACTTAGTCTGTTCAATGCTCTCACTGTTATTATAAGTTGCGGCCCTAAAACAGAAATGGGGAGGTCCAATAACTACATTATATGTACTTATATTTTCCCCAGGGAAAACTAAATATGTATATTTAATCAGATACAAAATAACTTCCTTTTACAAAGTTAATATTGATAATGAATCACTCACATGAGTCACTGTTTGCCCTATTGTTGACTGACATATTATATTTCTACAGCTTCATCAAACGATAGTCAGTTTAGATTGCAATCCAAACTCGCGGAAAGACTTTTGTCTTTTGCTTGAAGCGTCTGAAGGTAAACTCCTGCCTGACGAATACTACCTTAGTCTGAAGGCACCGCTAAAGGGTTCGAACCTCGGCTGTCGTAATTTCAATCATTTGAATTGGGCGGTTGATAAATATGGAGGGGTGTAACTGAGAGAAAATGCCTCTAGGTGTTAAGTACACTACATGCACCTTTATTTATATATTTGTACACCGTAGTTTTAATAAATAAATAAAATGTATGCATATATGCCTTTATCCTTAATTATAATTAAAAAAGTTCACACAGAAAATTTATGATAGGTAGAGGCTTGTTAGTAATGGACACTCAAATGTACCATGTCGAATCAACCTCCATATGGTCCCTGAAAACCATATTCGTTCATTCCTGGTTATCATGATGGGCAAATCAACCTGACTTTATACTCATTATATTATCCTCCACTGAAAAGCCAGCTAACTTATATTGTTAGTACAATCAAGTGACAATGACTATATCATCCATAAAAATTATACAAAAAATACATTATTTCTTCATATATTTTTAATATAGTGTAGAATTTTCTCAACCTACTATTTCCTCCCCCTCTATTAAAAATATTTGGCAATTGAAATTTATATACAATGATTTCCTATGTATTGCTATTTAAGAATTACTGTCAATAGCTATGTTTTCCTATTACTTACTCCTTATTAATATTATAAATGCGAAAGTAACTCTGTCTGTCTGTCTGTCTCGCTTTCACGCCAAAACTACTGAACCGATATAAATGAAATTTGGTATGTAGATAGTCTAGATCTTAAGAAAGGACATAGGCTACTTCTTGAAGTGAATGAAGTCGCAGGCACAGCTAGTAAAATATAATAATAACATAATATTTGATCATAGCCATATCAATGAAGAGTTTAAAAACTAATATTATAAATGAGGTTTGTAAAGTTTTTGGATGTGTTACTCACTAAAAAAGTGGGATAGATTTAAGTAACATTTCATAAATAGAAGAAAATAGTTTTTAACAGAATTTATGCGTGCAACGTCGCCAAATATGCCTAGAAATGTAGAATGCATGTTGCAATAACTTGTATAGTAACAACAGTAATAAAAAATCATACATGTAGTTGAAGGAAAAAGTAAATTTATAGAATTTTACTAACAACCAAATATGTTTGTGCTACCAAACACCATTTCCAAAGGCATATTGAATGCTACTCTTTCTGGATCATCGCCTGAACGTGACATTTGACTGGTTCCAGAAGTGAGACCTGTTTGTGGTTCCCAATCTGGACCCCAAACCACTTCATATTGTATATACACTTGTTCATCAAATACTCCTGCAGGAAACAAAACATATTCTACTTGGCCGGTAAATGATACAAGAAACTTAGTGATATCATTAGCTTTCATTGAAATATATTAAAATATACAAATAAAGAAATAAGTAGAAAAACGTACGCAGCGTAGATGTAAAATAGTTAAATAATACTATGGGAAAAGAAGGAACAATATCAAGAACTTGACAATTACATGCAATCAAAACAAAACAATGGTTACTATAGCGACCGGTGTTTCCATTTATAAATAAAACAGATGGTTCCAAGCATAACTTCAAACATTAAAGAAACAATTATCACAAAGAATTAATTATAATGTGTAACTTGTAATACTGTTATTTTAGTAATTTTTTGTTAGAATTTTTTATATACTGAACTAAGATTTTTTTTAATATTTTTTTACATTAGTCATAGACAATAGAGCATTTGTTTCCGCTAAACTGCTTTATCGACATTGTTCCAAAGTTTGATCACAAGATGGCACTACTAGTGCTTTCAAAATCCCAATCGGCCATTGTTGAAGGCGATTCCATTTAATACTTTCTTGAATTTTTCGTTTTTTATAATAGTTTACTTGGAAATAAATAATTTTTATTCTTAAAACTCAGTGCCCGATATTCCGTAAGCCATAACTGAGGCTTATTTAACCTTAAGAGTTCATATTTTCAAAACCTAAATGCGTTCAAAATGTCACGCGAAGTGAGCATCAGATTCGAGAACACCATACCATGCACGAAATAAATGTGGTTTTCTTTTAAATAAGTGATTGTTGACTGTGAAAAGGTACTGTTTTCAGTTCGTGATATTAGTGGCATGTGGTGCAAAGCTACAATATTCATGTGGTCTCATGAAAACGTTTCAGAAGTTTCTGTACACGTCGTAAGGAAGCGCAGTTACGCGGGCGAAGGCTTCAAAGTTACCGGTATCATTATGGTGGACTGAGAAAGTGTTTATTAGTGGAATACTATTGGATACATGTTGTAAACAGTGCCGTGACGGCTCCGCACACGATGTCTGGCGGTTCGCAGCACAATCCAAACGGCCGGCAATCTCAACTGGGCCCCGGCTGGAGCCCCTTGCAGGTGGTGCTTATTTTTCCAATTCTACTATTGAGGCTAAAACAACATAGTCAATATTTCTTAAAATATTCATGTCACTTTGAATGAAAAAGATAGTCAGTTGCCATAGTCTGATATGAAATTATTTTATTCATAACTCCTTTTAAATAATCTTTTTTTGATAAATCATAATAATTATACAATATAATCTTCAATACATACCTGCAATACCAAAATAAATAAGTTTAATAGTTGCCAAATAAATTTTCCTTTGTGTTCCCAACATTTACAAGTGCAATGAGTAAACAAATCAGCTGTTTGCAACTTTGCATAACTATCCCAATATAGAACTTACTACACAAGTTCAATGTTACAAAGCTATTGATTATTGAATTTCATTGATATGTGTTATATTTAGTGATGTCTCAGGACAAACAGTGAATTACTATTGAAGCTGCACTTCTCATTTTGTTATAATCTGCAATTATTACATATGTTTGCAGTATATGCTTTGTATTATTATATGTACTCTCATAACTTTAATATCCTCAGTTATCATATGTAAATAAACCTAAATGGTAAATTAAAAATTATATCAATAATAATTATAAATCATTGTCTTGTAGATTTGAAGATAAAATTACTTTTATTACAAATTATTGTGATAAGCTTTACTGTTTCATTGTTTGCTTATTTATAATCTTTACATTAGGTATTTCCCTATAGCATGTTAATTATATGAATATTAGCCTATAATTATTATATAATTGAATCACATTTGAGTAGTAGGGTCAAAAATGTAAGTCATCACATCATTTCTTATAAATGATTTTTTTATGGATGTTGAATGATTAGTATAGAACTATAGACTAGATAGAATCTTTATTCAAATAAACTCAATATAAGCATGTCTGAATAGTCATATTTTTTAATCTACCTCTCATCGGGAATGCAGATCCATCACAAGAAGAATAATCAAGAAACTTGTGTGTTGCTCTTTTGAGAACTTTTGAGATTCTCTCGACTGTGCTAGCAGACAAGAAATTAAAAATGATTGATATAAACTCAAGTTATAGGTCGACCTGATCTGGTACATGGCTACCAATGGGATCACTAGTCCCCATTATTAATAAGCCCTTCCCTTCACCCCTATATAATTAGATTATGTGTACAAAATATTAATAAACACATCTGTTTTTTGGAAAGAAAATAGAAATAGCTTTGTATGTAGCTGACCAGGCCTGGAGACTATAATTCTACATCTTGAGCAAAGTGCATATTCTACAGTGGGTACACAATAGTTCTCTAAAATACTATCAATGTACATTCACTTTTTTATATATCTTCACAGTTTAAGCAATGGAAATTTTGTATTGTTTACACAAATAAATGATAAAGAACTTTCCAGCGCTCTGTTTTATGGTACAGTTTTGTCAATCCATTCATCAATCACAGCATCATAGTATATTACAAACTACAGCTATACCACCTGTTGCGCTTCTCATTCAATACCATTCATAAGTATTTGTATCTATCTTAACATTTTTTGTTATGGATGAAAATGGAATGATGCACCCACTTGTGCTAAAAGTTTATGCGGGTGGGGCACCAATCATGATGATCAATGAGCATAAGGTCAGGTCACCTTATGCTCATTGATCATGATTGGTGCCCCGCCTGCATAAACTTTTTAGTTAGTTAGTTAGCCCATTGTGATAAATTCACCAGGAATTTGCCATGATGGTTTCCAGGGAGAACAACATGGAGGTCAGGAGGAAAAGGGATTCTTAGTAATGTGGGCTCATGACCCCATTACTAGCAATGTACCATGTCAGGTTGACCTACACGTGGTTCCCCTGGGAAACCGTCATGATAAATTCCTGATGAATTTATCATGATGGGCTAACTGACTTGACTTCATGTTCATCCTATCATCCTCCACTGGTGTCCCGCCAGCGTAAACCGTTAGCGCAGGAGGGTGCATCATTCCATTATCATACACATAAAAAAAAACATGGAAGTCAACTTGACATGGCACATTGATAGTTATGGACTTAATAGTACACATTACTAACAATAATTGACCGATTCACATCATATATTCTTATAGCATATGTGTTATTCTGATGTATAGGCTAGTAAACTTTCAATAAAATACATACCATAGTTTTTGCATGTAAGAGTAATCCATACATACAAACTTTCACGTTTATAATATTAGTAGGAAGTAAGTTGTACCCTTAGGTTAAAGCCTCCTACATTATATATGTACATATAGTGTTAGAATACCTAAATATCAATTGTGGGACAACCATTAACTGGTCACACTTCAACAGGCTGTATTTATTTACAACATTATAGGTTATCAAAATAATGAAAAAATTAAGGGTTTTATAAGTATTCTGCATTCAATATATTTGTACACTTTTACTTTTTATTTAATGAATATAGATAAAACATTTTAACAACATTCCCTGCACTAAGCTCAAGGCTTGTGTTGCAGGAATCAGAAATATTTTAGTACATAAACTTAATACAGGCAATTAACAACATATCATTTGTAATTATCATATTGATTTGCTGTTTGTTTTCAAAATAAAGGAATAAATTATGGGTTTCAAAGGTAATCTGCATTCAATTGAATGTAATTATTTATAAATTTGTATTGAATCACTGTTAATTTTCGAGATAAACAAATAAATAAAGATTTTAAAGGTAATCTGCAATCAATTGGGTGTGGTGTGATGGAACGTAAGCCAACTCGCCATCAGTTACAGGTGGCGAATTTCCTGGCGCGTGCCCCCCAGGCCCACATGGCGTCTGACCGTGGTGTAACGTGGCACACGCCCACCCCGCCGCCACACCTCTACCACGTGCCAGCGCCTTCACCGCCGGACCCCTTGCAGGTATTATAAATACATCTTTATATATATTATGTGTCATGTACTAGAGTAGTCCAAAAAAACTTTTTTTTTCGGACTACTCTATTGCTGTTGGGCGCAGCTGGCCTTTACAGCGGAAGAACTTATGTAGAGGCTGAAGACCAACTCCCGGCTAACAGATACGACTTTACTCTGGGGCTCAGGCCGTCGTAATTTCGATCCCCGTTTGAATATACTTCTCCAAAGTGCATTAACCAATTTCGATGAAATTTTATGGTCCAACCCAAGTTTTTATTTTATTGGTTAGACATTTTTTTTTGTCATAATAAAGATGTTTGTTTTTAGTATTTTTTTCCTAATATAAGTTTCTTTTCTAAGTAAATGTTATCTATTAGAAAATACACACAGTTTCACTACATTTTCACCTCATCTTCAACCAACCCCTAGTTTTTAGTAGCAATACAAGTTTATATAGCAAAACAATGTTTGCCATCTTAGTTATTAAACTGTATAATAATAATAAATCAAGAAAATTTACATAGCGCCATCTAGCGCCAAAGTCAGAGCTTTAGGTTCTAAACAAGTGATAGCAATACATTTAATTTCAATAAATAGATAATATACGTATAACGTCATGACTGTTGGGATACCAGAGGCTTTGTTAATTGTAGAATGTAGATGTAGAGATGAACACAGCACTTGACACACCCACATGGCCCGCAAGCTAGTATCAGGTCAAGATGACTAATTTCCCCCAGGTACAAATTCTAGGATTCTTAACACGTTGAAGTTGAAGAAACTTAATTCTCACATAGGCACCGGCATTTTTTTTTATTGTCAATAACGTATATTATTTTTTCAAATATGTTTTTAGTGTACAATGATTTGAGGTAGACATTATTTAACCCCTAGATTTAAATCAATTAAAGTGCCCACCGATGAAAAATGTTCATTGCGGAATGACCTACCGTTGAGCATGCGATCTTTAACGTGTTAAGAAATTTATGTTATGAAGCTTAAGTTGAAGTCAGCTGGGGTTCCTAGGGTGGGTTGTGGAGTAGCTCTCTTACAAACATGTAAAGAAATATCACTTCTTCACGGTTCAAATTGCTAAAACGATGATATCAAAACAAATTCAAACACAGCGCCATCTAGTCCCAAGTTAAGCAGAACTTGTGTTATTGTTATTAGAAAACTGATATAATTACATAGATTTCTTTGTAATACATACATAATATACATAGAAAACATCCAGACCGATACAAACAATCATACCAGTACAGGACTCTTTACATTGGCTGGCACGACAATTCGTATATTTAAATATTTATATTTTTATACGAATATTGTCATTTTGTTGCTATGGTTCAGTTATTATTCCTTTATTGCTTCTGCTACCATACATAGTTTTGTTATGACATATATTTTTATAATATACTATTATACATTCATATTGCTCCTTTAATTACTACCATCGTTGGTTGCACCGACTCCAGCAGCCTACACACAGTCCCACACAGTAATTGAACCCGCAACTACCGGATGTAAGGCAGTGTGTTAAACCACCAGGACAGCGAGGTCGTCGAATGATATCAAAGATAATAATAAAAATCAAACTGCCAATAACAATGTGTATAATATATTGATACAATATATTATATGTAAATATTGAAATGGTAACATTTGCATTCTTGTTATCAACTTTACATAATAAGTAAGCCGTAACGAAGTCAGAATTGTACGTAATTTTTTTTTAAATTGTAATTTAGACTTTTTCCTGTTTATGTGTTAGGTGAGAATAGCATTTTTTTTTATGAAAAAAATCTGTTATAACTACTTTTAACATTTGCATTAAGTTTTCCAGTCGTTTAATCGAAAAGTCGTTTAGTAAAAACATAAACATACAGACACACTTTTGATGTTGTGCCACAATATGCTTTTGACAGTCTTGGGATCTAGCGGTTTTGCACATCCGCCTTACGTCCTATGGTCGCTAGTTCGATTGCTCACATGGTATAATCATTTGTACTCATATGTATGAAGAGTATCATTCTTTGTATCGATCTGCATGTTTTCTATGTATATTATGTATATATTTACAAAAATATATATTATATATATATCAAGTATTAATAACAGTTATCTAGTACCCATAACACAAACTCTGCTTACCATGGGACTAGATGGCGCTCTGTATATTTACATATATAAATACATTATTGTCTGAATATAGATTTCAATATAAGTATTAATGATTGGTGTTCAGAAATAAATTATTCAGTTGAATGACGATGACACTGCTACGACAATGCAAACAGCTGTTACATAAATTACTATTAATTTCTTAGCTTATTGTTAATTATTGTTAAGAATTATCAGCGATAAATAAAATCCTAAATAATAACCCAGCACAATTCACACAGCGCCATCTAGTTCTAGCCAAGCAGATGTTAAAAATTCAAAATATCCATATTCATCTACAGTCAGTGTGTGTCATTTTGTGTTATGGATATAGACTTCTGAGAGATTTACTTAGATACATTTTTTATAAATACATACATGATATACATAGAAAACACCCAAGCCAATACCAATAATCATACTCGCGTTTGTACCGTGCTAAGAATTGAACCTACGACTATTAGAAGTAAGTGTGCTAAACCGCTAGACTGGCTCTCCATTGAAGGATGTCCTCCGATGTCAATCCAAAATAATCTGAAATACGGCGAAAGGCTCGCTTTCTTCATCCGCGTGGAATATAACGTTTATTTTTATTAAATAAATAAAATTTCTAAAATAAAAGTAGCCTATATTACTCCTTATAACATTAGCTATGTACATATATCAATGGGTGGGGACAGGAGATTGTTAATGTGGACTTTTGACCCCATTGCTAGCAGTATACCATTCAGGGTCATCTCCACGTAGTTAACCATAGAAACCATCATGATAAATTCCTAGTAAATTTGTCACGATGCTCGATCGGCTAACTGACTTGACCTCATGCTCATCTTATCCGCCACTGGTGCCCCGCTAGTGTAAACTATTGGTGCGTGCACTCCATTACCGTACAATAAAAAAAAACAATTATTGTCTAGATGGAGGTAAAATTTGTAGAAACTCGTCTGAGTATGTACCTCAGTCTCACCTATTTCAGCCGCCAAGCAGATTGCTTAGTAAACTGTGTTTTGGTTGTACGGTGCAGATCAAATAGTGAAATTACAGGATAAGTGGCATGGCATTTTAATCCTCATTGTTTCGGTTGTATGTTGAGAAATGGCAGTGAAATCTATACTCTATACATATAAATAAAATTGGAGTGTCTGTTTGTAATATTGAAATAACCGTTTTTTACTACATGCATATGAATATAAATACGGGACATACACCAAAATGACATTTTTTAAATATTTGTCTGTCTATTTGTTCCGGCTAATATCTGAAATGGCTGGACCGATTTTGACGAGACTTTATTGGCAGGTAGCTGATGTAATAAGGAGTAACTTAGGCTACCTTTATTTTAGGAAAATAAAGTTAAATTCCACACGGATGCGTCGTAAGTCGCGTGTACAGCTAGTCTCAGGATAAGAAGCATGACAACATGGTACTGTGATGTCCGTAGTGCCGTTCATGTATATAGACGACGGTTTTCACTTAGCATCAGCTTGTTTGTTCCATTCCTTTCCAATTACATAAAAAAAATGTATTGTGGAAAACTGTATTTCTGAATTTCTATTTGCGACAACATTTTGTAGCAACAGAACATGATGTCATCGGCCAACAGTTCAATGAACTATTGACTTGAGCTGTAAATAACTATTACCTTGGTTCAACGTTAAGCCTAAATTATTTCATTTACCGTAGAACATTCTCAATAATAATACGGTATTGTTTATATTAGGGTTGCCAAACTAAATTTATAAAATCAAAATTTGAAGTCGGACATTTAGTACAATTTAGTTCAAAAACAGAACCAAGTAATAGAGTTACAATAATGAATAAAATTGATTTAGATGACTTCCGAACCCTGGCTGAGTGGAGTAATAATCTGTCTAAAATTTACTTTTTTTTGTCGTAAATGTTATCTGAAAGCTATCGTTTTAAGCAGTTGCGTACTAAGACTAAAGCGAGCCCTAGGCAACATTGTAATTCCGGACCTCTTTATTTTTAACTCATGACTCATACTTTGCGTTTGGTACTTGTTATAATTATAGGCCCTATGTACGTGCCCAGGTAGCCTAGGCCTTAGTCCGCCCCTGGTTCTAGGGTATAAGGCCGCGCATTGTTTTTTTATTTTTCTGCAATATAGTCCTGTGGAATTCACAGAAACAAGTATCTATTCTTTTTGTTCTGAGCAACTAAGTACCTTAAAGTGGAGAAGTATTGAAGGTTTCAATTAAAACTACCATTAAATAGGCACCCCTATTGAATGGTAGTTTCAATTTGTCATAGGATTATTGTTTTTCATTTGATATTCTACAGACAGGTCATTATAACTGAAAACAATTTAACAGCGCCATTTACATTTTCGTATAACGACATCTAGTTTTCACGAAATAAACTTTTTTTATACTAACTTTATATCTACATAAAGTGTATGATGTAGTACGTTTTTAGGATTATGTAGGAAGATCGTGAAAAGTGGCAAGAGCTCCACCGACAAGGGTCGCACGTTGATCTTTCTTTTTTATCCTTCTCATTCATTATAAAGTATAAAGCAAGCATCCGGCCCTTCTGAATATAAACTGTTACCGTAGCCTATGTACGCCTGAAACACCATGGGTGTCACGTACGCGCTGCCGACCATGACACCCCTCGTATTGGGGGGAATGGAATTGTTAGTAATGTGGACTAATCAACCCATTGCTAGCAATGTACCATGTCAGATCGACCTCCACGCGGTTCCCCCTGGAAACCATCGTGATACATTCCCGGTGAATTTGTCACGTTGGGCTAACTGATCTGACTTCATGTTCGTCTTATCATCCTCCACTGGTGCCCCGCCAGCGTAAACCGTTAGCGCAGGCGAGTGCACCATTCCATTATCATCCTTTAAAAAAAAAAAAAAACCCCTCGTATTTCAAGTATGAATGTAAACCTATGTATATTATAAGCAAATTATAAATTAATTGACTGATTGATCTAATATATTACTGATATGACCATCGTAGGGTCTATTGCAATTGCAGGCGATGAAGAACGCCGCAGGGAACTCTGTGTTCAGACACACTGCGACCCCACCAGAGTTGTATCGGCACACACCCACACCGCCAGACAAACATCTGTTAAGGTACGTATGTTTTTTTTTACTATTATGTGTATCTACTAGCTTTTACCCGCGGCTTCGCTCGCATTGAATAATTTTTTTATATATAAAGTATCCTATTTTGATTCTAATACCTCGAAGAACATGTGTGAACATGATCGGTTCGGTAGTTTTTGCGTGAAAGCGTAACAAACATCCCTACTTATTATTAAAGATAGCCATACATGCTAGCGCCCCGCTAGCATGTATGGTTAACAGTACAGGATGGAGTCAGATCAGTTAACCCGTGATAGTGTATTTACCAGGAATGAATAGAAATGTAACTTTGCTAATTGTATTAATACTAGTTATTTTTAAAGTTTCGTGTTTAATATACATTATTTATATTATTAATTAACACGAACACTTAACATTATGATGAACATTAATTAACATCTTAACACGAATAATTTTAAAGCAAATAAAGGTATTTACCTGTTTCATTGAATTTTCGTTAAACAATCTAGTGACGGTAGATGAAATAACTACTGTCACCTATCTATAATACATTGACATCGCTGTTACTCCAGTCAGTTCGACCACGGCTAGTGCAACCTATGCGAAACGTAGAGAGAGGTAAACCTTTATTTACCATTAAATTATTTGTGTTAATACCCGGTTAATAATATCAGTAGTGTGTATTAATATTAATTACTGTGTAGGTATTCTTTGTCTAATATCAGCTCTTTTAATATTCTAGGCACACTCCTTCGCCTGGTGACGTCAAAGCAGGCGCGGCACTCCCTCCTGGCGATCTATATCCACATTTGGGACCAGGCCGAGGTGGGAATTTATTTTCTAGTCTATACTGTAATACCTTCTTAGTCTGAGTCTTAGGAGTCTGCGTAAGTGAGTGTCCGAATGTGTTAAAATAAAATAAAATATGACAATTCAAAAGTGTCTGTATTGAGTTATTATTGCTATTTCTTCTACCCATAATGTCGTTTGCGTAATCATGACTGTGTATATACATTATCTCTAATTTCATATTGATAGTTTAAGTTAATTCATATTTAGACAAAGTAACTTCAAATGCAACTTATATTCTGCGAGTAAGTACAGTATTAGATAGAAAATACATTGGAATAAAAAAATATTTATTCAAAATAAACTTATAATAAATAAGAAGTGTTGAATAATCACTCTATTCAAAAGTACTTCAACATTTTTGCATGATCATCACTTTTTTTTTATCTACCGCTCATTCGAAAAGTTGTTTAATCACTTCAAGAACGAGTGAGAAACTTGCGTATTGCTCTTAAAAATTTGGTTGTAACTTTACAGTTTTTAGTGTAAATTTGTGAATGCACAAATTTATTAGAGTCAAAATAATAGATACAGAACCAAACAGTTACATGTAGGTATGAATATTTTTGTAATTTCTATCTGTAATCAGCACGGATACTATAAACGAGCGAGTTGTTGAAAATCGATTGAAATGTGTGAATATAGATGTCGATATATAAAAAAACACATTGCAGACAAACTGCGGCCCGAGGAGTTGATGTACGCGCGCGTGGGCGTGGACCTGTCGGTGTCGGGGCGGTCGGGCGCGGGGGCCAACGGCGCGGCGTGCCCCGCGGCGGCGCCGTCCCCGGGCGCGGGCGGGCCGGGCGGGGCGGGCCCCGCGCTGTCCGTGCGCGACGCGCCCACCATCAACAGCCTGATCGCGCGCGCGGCGCCCCACGCGCGGCCGCCGCACGCGCGCGTCGACGCGCTGCTCGAGCGGCTCGTGCCGTCGCCCGTGTCGCCGCACTCCGTCATCGTGCACTCGCGCGCCGCGCCCACGCCCTCGCCGCCCTCGTCCAATGAGGTAACGCACGCTCATTTCACTTGGACGGTGGAATACGGATCATGCGTACGTGGTGTACCGTATAATGGAATTAATATTCATAGCATGTTAGTTCTTTTCATCGTCAAAACTTATAAATTGACAATTAGAGCCGGGACAGATGAGTTCGGGTAATCGAGATTCTGCTAATAAATATAATGTTTGGACATATCTCCATTGGTATGAATCGAAATCTTCAACAATATACTGTTAAAAAATCTATGTAAAATTTTCTAAATTATGTCGCCCTTTTATTGTCATATTTAGAATAGTTCTAATTTGTACAATAAACATATTATTACAATTTGGTCTTCATATGCTAATTACAGGACTCCACAGATTCATGTGGAGCACCACCTGGTTCCAAAAGAAAAAGAAAGCCAGAAAGAACGCTACGTGTACCAACAGTTCCACTCATAACTCCTCCGGTGGGGCTGGCGGCGGGCCCCTCCCCCGAGGCGTCGAGCCCCGCCCCCGCGCCCGCGCCCGCCGCCCCGCCCGCGCCCGCCACCGCCGCCTCGCCCTCGCCCGCGGCCCGCCTCGCCTCGCCCGCGCCCTCCGCCACGCCCCTCGAGAACGGGGAAGCCCCGCACGCGCAGCACAACGGTCCGCAACGACACTCGCCGCCGCCGGCCTCGCAGCAACTGCAGCTACAACATCCCCAGCGAGAACCCCAGCCGGAGGACCCGCAACCGGATCGTCCTCCGTCCCGAAGAAAAACACGATCGGGCTCCGCGGAAACGATAGACGATATCGCAGCTATGATCGCGAGTACGACGCGATCGGAACCCGAGCCTGCGCCGCCGGCGCTGCCTCCAGAGGTGGCGGCCGTCCCGCCCCTGGAACAGGAAGCGCCGGTGACTATTGACAAATTGAAAAGCGTTCTCGCGAGCCCTGAGCCCGCCAAACCTGAAATTGAACCGGAGGTGCGTAAATCTCCACCGAAAAGCGAGGAAAAACCTTCGGAAACCCCTCCCGCTGTGGAAGCGGCGGCAGCTCCGCGAAGACGAAGCGCCCGCACGTCTAACTCCGAATCTACCAATGTACCTGTTGAATCTCCTTCCGAGGCGAAACCGGCCGAGCCCGAGACGAGCGGTGCTCGAAGTGCGGAGCCTACCGCCGCGAGTTTCGTCGAAGTCGAAAACCAGCTAGAAAAAATGTTCGCCGGCCTAGAAGAAGCGCCTGCAGGCAACGATAACAATGGAACGGAAAGCGCTCCTGATAGTTCCCGAAAACCACAAACGGCTAAAGCGAGAAAACGCAGAAAATCTGCGCCGGCAAAGGGCGAGAGGAAAGCGTCCAGACGGTTAAGTCGAGCATCCACAGTGGACGATGGACCGAGAAGAAAGATACCAAGAAAGAAAATCAATTCAGGAAAGGGCAAGAAAGGCAAAGAACCTGTAAAAGATGCCTATGATTCTGGCAGCAATGCGAGCTCTAGCCGATCGAGGGGGCCATACATACAGGTATTAATGGCTTTTTTAAAAATTGCCATATTTTTGTAATGTAAAATTAAATCTTTTTAAATATAAATGTAAATTAATGTACAGATACGAGGTCCCCGGGATTCGCCGCTGTCCGTGTCGGTTATCAACGCGTCGACCGGCGAGGACGACAGTGAAATGCCGACGCACAGACGCAAAAATGTAATAATTAATTTATATATATGCATATAATATAAATATTAACTCTGGCATCAGACATATATTTAATTAAAAAGATTTTCTTGTCTAATTTCGGCCAATTCTGCTTATTATGAAATATATGTCTTAAATATTATTTTTTTTTAAGGTGGATTAATATGATGGTATGTTTTGAAGGGCGAGGAGTTCCGTAACGGCCTGCGCGCGCGCGGTCTGCACGCGAGCACGCTGGGGCTGCGGTACGACGCGAGCACGGCCGACGTCACGTGGCGCTGCGTGTTCTGCGAGCGCGGGCCCCACGCCGCCGCCCCCGTCGCCCCGCTCGGGGACCTCTTCGGGCCCTACGCCGTCTCCACCGACTGCGACGAGTACAGGTGAGCGCACCGCGCCAGCCGCACGAGGCCCTACGTCGACTCCGACAAATGCGACGAGTACGCTGGGTTACTTGTTCGGCGCCGAATTTTGCCTTGTGAAGTTTTATTCAGAAGCGAAACTCGTTCCACAATTTGAGAAGATCATAACGCAGTGGCAGTGGTTAGGTTTTAATAATATTAAACGAACTATTCTCAATTTGACTATGAATTTGATACCCTACATGCCCACAACTTTTATAAAAGGTGTATAGGTTTTTGCTTCATTTAGTTTTTTATGTAAGTATCTATGTATTAATATATAGCTTAACGTATAGTATATGAGCGCGTGTTGTCCAGGGCGCTGGACGAGTCGGTGCGGCGCGGCGTGGGCGGCGGCGGCAGCGCGGAGGTGTGGTTCCACGAGGCGTGCGGCGTGTGGGCGCCCGGCGTGGTGGCGGCCGGCGCGCGCGTGTGGGGGCTCCCCGCCGCCGTGTGGGGCGCGCGCGGGGCCAGCTGCGCGCGCTGCGCCCGCCCCGGGGCCGCGCTCGCCTGCTCGGCGCGGGCCTGCCCCGCACGCGCACACCTGCCCTGCGCGCCCGCCGCCGGCTGGAGACTAGACCCCGCGGCCTTCCGCGCGCTCTGTCCCCGACACGCGCCCGCCTAGCCCCCGCCCGCCCCGCCCGCCCCGCCCGCCCCGCCCAGCTGAATCTTCAAACCGGACCGTGCGCCTGCCCCACCCAACTACGCAGACGCGTATCTACCCTGCTTCCTCGACGTTGGCCGTCACCTCAATCCGACCTCATTTCGCACACACTGTCTGCGATATGCACCCGCCCTGCCCAGCTGAATACTCGAGCCGGACCATGCGCCTGCCGCCTTCCGCGCGCACGTACCCCCGCCCCGCCCGACGGCACAGCGCGTACGTACGCACGTTGTCGGCTGGCGTCTCGAGTCCGCCGTCTTCTGCGCGCTCTGTACTTGGCACGTGCTCGGCTAACCTCCGCTCAAGTAAATCCACGCGCCGGACCGTGCGCCCGCAACATTGCGCGCACACTGTCCCCGACGTGCCCCGTCAACAAACCGTATCGCAGCTGCAATGCGCAAGCATCCCCGGATGACGCCTCCGAGTCCTTGCCACGCGCCCGCCGCATCTCGCCCAACTGAATCTCCGCGTCGGAGCGCGCGCCCGCAGGTATATCGACCGGACGTTTGTGCGTTGTAGTGGTGTACGGTCAGCAGAGAAATCAATGCGCGACTACTTTATATGACTTTTTTGCTTTTATAAGTAGATACTTATTGTTACACTTGTTAAGTGTTGTCTTTAGTCCTGAAATTCTTTCACTTTAGTATTAGAATCAATATGTGGAAACATGGAACTTGTTAACTAAAAATTAAGAATGACACATCTAACGCTAATTAAAACTGGCTGGCTAACCCAGAAATATGACGCGAGTTATAATCACTAGCCGGTTTATTCAGGCTTTTGTCTGTATTACACTACTACAAATGCTACATCGTCTTAAGTTGATTTACCTGTGATGAGTGTAAGCTTACAACTCAATACTCTATCAGGTACATACTGTTGCGTATTCATGTGATAACTATCAACTAATTTGCAACAGTTACACTTAAAGTTTAATATATAATAAACATTATTACTGTAGTTATGTCGAGAGAGGAAAATAGTTTATTTACTATAAAATTATTAGTATTAAGACTCAATTAACTGTATTAAACTCTGTTTTTGTAACGTTGCAAATGAGTGTATGGATATGACTAATAGCACTTTCAAATTGAGTCTGGTATAGGTTACAAAAACCTGTCTGTAACAGAGCTCTACAATAAAGGATGGTCAGCCTCATGTAGGTACCAGATAAATTATAATAAATACCAAGTCAAAACCTACTAATTGGTTGGTCTTATAGAACTGGAAATTCCAATAAAATAATTCCCAATCAATTATACTCAAATAAACTCGAAAGCTATGAATATTCTTAAAACTTCATATGAACATGAAGTTTTAAGAATATTCATAGCTTTCGAGTTTGCGTCTTAGGTAAAGTTTCGTTTAGATTTCTTATTAATATGCATATTATAACTAAATAGATTTTATCCATAAAGATATTGAAAATTGTACTATAAAAAGCAAAATCAATATTATTTACACTATCAATAATTGTTATGGAAACCATCGGAAATGGACCATTTGTCTTAGTAACATATTTTCCATTTTTATAAGTCATTTTTATAAGTCATTTTTATATATCAATAATCATAGATGTTAATATTTATAGGATCTGTAATAATGTATTAATTAAAAAAAAAATGATTAAAATTTTGTAAAAAGAACAACACAATTCGCCGGAGTCAGAAGTAGAAAAAAAAAAACAAGGCAACCGGAATTAAGATGTAAGTATAATGAATACTCGCATTTACATCGTGACATAATGGTCTCTATGTTGCCTATACATTGACCTACATTATTAACATTCTGTGAAGTTTCTATGTAATTTCTCCATCAATTTCTAAGGGAAAGCTTATCACATAAACATGTTTGGGCTCGTCAGGACCTATTTTTAAGATTATGGCCTGACGTCTCAATTTGTTGATTAATTGTAACAATGCTTTAAACATTGAACATCATAATACCTACATGAAGCTGACTGTACCGGCGTCGCAACTATGACTGTCTCGTAACATTACGCGTACTGTACATGTTCTATGCGTCTGTAACATAGGTGTAGATACATAAACTCTCTGTTAACTTTGTAGATCTAATTTATTCAACTGCCCGAAATCCGAACGTTTATATAATGTACAGAGTATTTTACATATATATTAGTAACTAGTGGTGAATAGTTGTACACATTTTATGGTAAAAAGGATTTTAGAGATTATGTAAATATAGCAATTATTGTACATATATAGCAATTCTACGCGTCGAAACACCATTGTATAAAGATACATAATTATGTAGATTGTAATTAATAATAAATCATATGAAATACAGTGTTTGGTGGCTTCAATTCAATATTATGATTTTTTATTGCTTTTTCAAGTTCAGATTATTGTACTATTATTGTTTATCTCACATGTTATATATTGGCACAGTTCAATGTGTACTTATCAAGGTTAAGAAGAAATTGGCATGTACAAAATTGTTTCACGCCTATTAGTATACAATGAGTAAATGATATAGTACATAAGTGTTTATTTATTGCTACCTGCTCTATGGTAGTGTTACAATATTGAATATATGTAAAGATATAAAGCCTTTTGCTTTATACGCTGTGGATAGAGTTATTTTTGTAAATTTTGCAAATGATATTGAATTTGTGTCGTGTCCTTGTAAATATTGGACTATCGTTTTACTCATTGTAAACTGACCAAAACATTGTAAATCTCGTATTATTGTTTACATATTTAAATGTAACAATGCAGTGATATTAAAAGTAATAACGTTTACTTTTGTCTAATAAGTATATTTTTATTGTGAAACAACTTTTTAGTTGCCATTTTAGAATGAAAACTAGTCTAATGGATAGTGTCTTGTGATTAAAAAAAATATGAATTGTTTGGGATCTATTAAAATTTACAATATTAACATTTTTAGCTTCTTTAATAATGATGTATGTGGATCGTACCGCGGTACTGCATTGTTATAGATGGCAGAGTAAGTACACACATGTGTGTAGTGATCTATAATGAATACTTAATGGTTAATACCGTGAACTTTACGCTTAAACGTGTGCGAGGTGCCTCGACTTTTTGTGCGCTTTAGAATAAATATAAGGTTCCCCCATATTACGAGAGTAACGATTAAATAGTGATAGATATTTTATATATTATAAAAATTAAAACATAAATTAATCATGTCGTATATCAAGTGGATCGCTGGATAGTTTCGTTGTTGAAACGTAACCAGTGTTAGGAACATGTTAATGTTTGCTAATTTAAAATCGCGTTAGATAGTGCAATACTACAAACTTATTTCAACCGTGTTGTCGCTAACGGGCCGGCTTATTCATAAAATATGTGACGTCATAAAGTGTAAAACTAACCCCAAGGGTGTGAACTGTAGACTGCTAAATTTCACCAATTTTTTTTTTTACATTAATTTTGTGACGCCTTCAACAACCTTGTTATACAATGTCAAACATGTTGATCCTTCCTGTGCCCTCCCTTTCACTTCTTAATGTGTAACGTAATTTATGAAGAGCCCCTAAATAGAATTTCCACGATTTTTATATTAGCTCCAGTCACGGCTGAGATATGTTTGTGGCAGTGCACCAATGTTTTTATACAAGATATTTTCAGTCATTATTACGGTAAGTGAGCGCGAGGTTGTTGTATGGTATATAGATATATGAGATCCGCATAAAAATATCGAGGCGTCCCGTGTATATGGAATGTATGGAGCTATGGTCGTTTGTTAGGCATCGAGCGAATGTTACACGCTAAATAATCGTGTACTGTAATTCCAGTGAATAGAGAATAGAATTTATTTAGAGAATATTAAGGTACAAATTTATAGTAGGGAGAATCGGGCCAGTTTTAGTGTTTTTAAAATTTATCTCGTCATCGGAAAGTCGCATGAACACAACTATGAACAAGATGAACACAGCAACCCAAAGCCTTCATATTGTAAATGGTGTAAGAATTTTTTTATCACTTACGTCAAATGATTACTTTATTAAGTATGTAATTGTTATAAATTATATTTATCATGACATTATAAGCAAATTGAAATACAACATGTTTAAAATGAGAGAACCATATTTTATTTATCTTCTTTTCTTTCTTTCTTCTTATATATAAAAATGAAATAACGTTTGTTAGTCTCGCTAAAACTCGAGAACAGCTGAATCGATTTGGCTAATTTAGGTTTTAAAACGTTTGTAGACCTCCAAGTAAAGTTTAAGTGGTGAGAAAATATTAAAGAAATCCATATAAATTAGTGAAAAGAACAATTTTATTTTCCCATACAAACTTCTTATCTTTTAAACAAGCATTTAGAAATTTATTGCATAACTACACATCAAAAAATCATTGACATATTTAATTTGAGGCAAACAGAGTTCGCGGGGTCAGCAACTTTTAATTATAAAATCGAAATATTATGTGTGATCCCAACTATATTCAGCGGAGAGGGAACTATGAACATTGGAACAATATTTATTTTGTCTCGATCCCCGGTCAATATAATTGATATATAAGTATATATCAAAGTCGACCAAAGATCGAGACAGTCTGACCTATTTCAGTGGCAGCCAAGCAGCTAATTTTAAAAAATGTGTTTCGGTTGAAGATTTATATTACAGGATATTTATATGATATCTTCGACGTCCGCATGGCAACGCATGTGTACAAGTCCGTAGTGCTTTTCTTGGACATGTCCTTTCAGCAACGGTATTACAGAACCGATAACATATTGAAATCGTCAAGAAATGATGTCGTTCCCGCTTGAAAGGCCGGCAACGCACAATTCCTCTGGTGGGGCGGTAATCACTTACCATCCGGTGAAACTCAAACTTATTTGTCCCCTGTGCTATAAAACATAGGAATTACCACCTACCATCAGATGGTCCGCTATCTTGCTTCTAATTTCTATGTAATATAATGAAAAATAATGACACAACATCGAAAAATAATGTTGGATGAGGTGACACATAATAGAGCGAAAGGAAATGGTAAATATTGTTCAGTATTGCAACAATGTGGGTTAAATAAGAAGCCTATACTAAGCCTTTAATCAAATATAATTTCTCCAATATGTAATTTACAGTCGTAAAACGAACAAGTTGCAACCAAGGAATCTTCACTATACTGCCAATCTGCACCGTACGCGATGCTATCATGTCCAAGATACTCGCAAACAACTGTTATTGCTTGCTCTTCGAGTAGCAATATCCGGAATCCCCCATACATACATGCAGCTAGGATCGACGTTGGTTTGTATGGATGGAATTTTAGGCGCCAAACACCTCCATTCACGTCAGTCTCAGTGACACATTGTTTAAGATTCCTTGCGTCCCATAGACGCACTTTTTCATCGTAACTGAAATGTAGTCTGTATTTAGTAGACGATATTTATTAAATATATGTTATGTTATGTTTGACGGCCTCGGTGGTCTAGCGGTTTAGCACACCGCATCACTTCCGATGGTCATGGGTTCGATTCTTCGCACGGCACACAGTATTTATGAGTATGGTTGTTTGTATCGGGCTGGGTGTTTTCTATGTATAAATTTACGAAAAAAAAATTTATATCAGTTGTCTAGTACCCATAACACAAGTTCTAACAAGCTTAACTTGGGTCTAGATAGCGCTGTATGAATTGCAGTGAGATGATTATTATTATTATTATATTAGATTCCAGACTGACAAGAAATGAAAGTTTATACACAATTTATGTATATATTATAATTAAATGACAGTGGTCTAGTAAATAAATTGATTCTAATGGTTCCAGTTTTGATTCCTCGCATGATGCAAACATTCATAAGTACTGATTTGTATTCTGAATATGTGTGGTACCCAGTAACAGAATAGAATAGAAAAACCATTATTCAAATAAACTGAATTTAATCACTTTAGAATAGGACTTCATATATCAGATTTAACTACTACAGTGAATCTGGCATTTAAATATTTGTATTTATAAAGTGAAATAGTATAAAGATAAGAATAAAAAAATACTAATAGGTATTTTTTTTTATCTGCCGCTCATTCGAATAGTAGTCTCGTCACAAGAAGAACGAGCAAGGAACGTGCGTGCTATAGTAGGTAATTACTTCTCTTCTTTCCAAGACAGTGTTGAATTTATTGTCCAAGTGTCAATATAAAATGTTACAAACCTGCCAGTCAATAACTGGTGTTCCACCTCGACGTGGCTTCTGATAGATGTGACGCCGGCCTCATGTCGCCTGTTAAGAGCGATCGCATTATCAGGCATTCTCATATCGTATACTTTGAAAATGCAGTCATCACCACCTGAAAATTGTTTTAATTCATCATTAAAAATATTTTTTTTACCACTTTTTTTTACCACAGCACGGGCTCTATATTTTACTTCATAAAATTTGCATAATAGAGTAATTAAGGTACTATTTACTATTATTTTATGGAAAATAACTACCCGCATGCATAACCACTGTCGAAGAAAATAGGATCAGTATATTTATATTATAGCTACGTAGCAAATTGTGTTTTGATTATGACAGCCTTGGTGGTCTAGTGGTTTGGTACAGCGCTTTACTTCCGATGGTTGCGAGTTTGATTCCTCGCACGATACAAAAAAATTATAAGTATGATTGTTTGTATCGATCTGGAGGTTTTATATTTATATAATGTATGTATTTACAAATAAAAACGTGTCTAAGTATTTATATCAGTTGTCTAATATCTAAAACACTAGCGCTGCTTGGTTTGACACTAGATGGCGTTATGTGAATTGTCTAGGGATGTTATATTATTATTATTAAAATATAGCTAGAAAAATATAATAGAAATGAAGAAGTACTGCCCTTTGCAATACTGTAGTAGTAGTGTGTTAAAAAAAAGAGGCAGATCATAAATATTATTGAGGAATAGGCGGGGGAAAATATACTTGATACAACGCTACAAACTTATTAATAATATTATCGAAGGAAAAATAAAAGGGAAGAGAGGACGTAGAAAACTAAGACACTAAGACATATCAACCAAATTAAGAAAATTCTTGGAGTCGTGTCGTATCTACAACCACAGATAACATAATATTACATACTACAACTAAAAAGTTTGATGGAAGATCGTGGAAAATAGCAAGAGCTCCAACAACAAGAGCTCGGTTTTTAAATTAAGAATGAATAATATACCTGAATAAAACGTGTCCGCACTCCAGTAATTGAAAGCGGTTATCCACGCTTCAAAATCATGACCCTTCCACGCTCCAATACTCTGTAAACCATTTGCTGTAACTTTTAAAGCGGTAATTGCTCCATGCGAATCACTCACAACTAATAAAGGTTCCTCCGAAGGTATTCTGTTTGTCGACCAATCGACTGATAAAGCTATAGTATTTTCACTCAGACTTAAATCCGTCCATAATTTCAAACTTATTGTGTTGTTTTCCTTAAGTAGGTGATAGAGTTGGATAAATCCTTGCGAGGTAACCACAGCCAGAACTGGATGATCCTGTACCATCTGATAGCACCATTTCTGATCTAATATTCCAGATGTATTCACAGTTTGTATCGGTGATAGTTCTGTGGTATTCTTATCTATAATGAATAGGTATATTCTACCAAGTCGCGTTTGTTCTGAACACTCTTGATCTAAAAAGAAAATCGTTTTGATTTTTTATTACACAATTGATACCTTCGGCAGTCTAGCGGTTTGGCACACCGTCTTACTTCTGATGGTCAAGGGTTCCTTTTCTCACACGGTACAAATATTTGGTATTCATGAATATGATAGTTTATACCCTACTCTCTTCTCGTAAACAACTGATATAAATACTTATATATTTTTTTGTAAACACTCACACATAATATATATAGAAAACACCGAGACCGATACAAACAATCATACTCATGAATACAAATGTTTGCACCGTACGAGGAATCCAACTCGCTACCATCGGAAGTAAAGCGGTATGCGGTATGCTCAACCGCTAGACCAACGAGGCCGTCAATTATAATATTTACCTTCTTCCTTTTTCTCAAGTTGATACGTGCCGCAGACTAGTACATTGCGATATCCCTCAATAGGGCACCACTCGACCGAGTCTGCATTGTATCCAGTGTTCCACTTCAGTTTATTATTCCATGTTACCGCCATGGACGCTAAAATAAACATATTAGTGCTATTTCATTATTTAAACTTAATATATATGACTAGCTGACCCGGCAAGCGTTATTTTGCCAGGTCAAGCCATATGAATTAATATCGATATTAAAAAATAGGCGTTGATTTTTAAAGCTACATCATATAAAAAAACTGTCCAAAAAATTTTTTTGTTGGATTCTCCCCACCCTTATTACTTAGGGGTACAAAAATTATTATAAAAATCTAATCTCAGACCTACCGAGTATACATATAAAATTCCATTAAAATCGGGAAAGTACTGTCAGGATTATTATCACAAGTAGGGTAATCAGAGACGTTAACAATTGTCGACGTGGTATTAAACTTTACTCTTTACGTGCCTCCTATACTCGCTCGGTATAATTAAATCCAACGCGGCTGAGTGTGAACCTACTGCCTATTATATGCCATTCTATAGCTCGCCTACTTGCGTTAACAAAAAGACTACATATATTTGCCATACAAAACGTAGAAGGTGGAAGTTTTCGCTATATTTTCAGCGAATATTTGACTCATTTAGTGTTCTAATTTGACTAACTTGTTCCGAACGGTATAATAATAATCCGGTATAAATATTTGGTAGAAATTAAAACTAAAATTACTATTTTAGACCCATTTATTTGTAATAAAAATATGTCCATACACGAATAGGTAAATATAGCGGACTAACGCTATATTTCGTAAACTGTAATGAATTTAACATTTAAATCTGCTTACATTATTAATAAATTGCTAAAATTTGTACTGTCGTATGGTTCACCACTTACAAAATAGTAATATATTATAAATTTATATCTATTTGAGTAGTAACAGTATGAGAATAGTTTATAGGCAAAACTATATAAATCATTAAAATTTTATAAACATACTCCCGCCAAAACCCTTCTGGCGACGTGACAATAAAAGGTAATTTCAAATATTTATTATTAAATGCTTAAATTGAAATATTCAAACGTCGAAGAAGATTTTAATCTGAATTCCTTAGATGTCCAATCCAGACCTGTGTGTTCTGTCGAAATAATTAACATTTAAGATTAGAAAAAGCGGGAGTATGCAATATGAAATCTTTTGAAACTATTTTTAGGTGAAACATAGCAGAAATTATAAGTTAGACTAAACAGACATATAATAGTTAGTGTTCGGCAATAAGAGCCGAAAACAAATGTATAAACCAGTGTAACGAAATATCAGATGCAGTAAAGACAATTAAATTCTTTGGACATATCGATTTCAAAATATCTCTGTATATTAACTATACGTCTTCTAACAAACCATGAAATAGACAAATATCGTACACATATTACAATTTCTTTTTAATGTCTTTGACGAGCTTCGATAGTTCTCATTTTCGTATACATTCCATTCACATTACAGTGTTTATTCATTACTTCACCACAATCACATTCAACAATAGTTATATAAGGTTTAACTAAAATAGTACATACATGATAATTTCGCATACAAACGTCTTATAACCAACAAGCAACTTTTTTAGCATTATTTGGGATAATACAGTTGTACTGATTTTAATATCGTATAAGTTGGTTATTTATTATTTTATATTACATATTCAATCCTCAACATTTTGCCATTGGCTCGGTCACAATTTATACTAATATTAAAAACAGAGCAAGCGGATTTTGTTATGAGGAATTAGAGTCAGAAACCACTGCACCAAATTGAGAAAAAAAATATTATGGAAATTCTTTTCAAGCATGCGTAAAATATAATTGTAAATATATTTATAGGCACAAATAAAAATAGTATTATACTGTAATATTATCTTTTTGCATTTTTTTAATAAGTTTATTTATAAGAAGGAATTGTATGTTTTTGGAATACGACCTCTGCAAATATTCAGCACTATTTTAGTGAAACTATATATAAAAACCAGTTGTAATATTAGATATTACTAAAATGTGCAGATCGACTTTGCACATAAATGTGTTTCAATTTCTATATCGTGTTTACAGGCGTTACTATTAGAAAGAGATAAAATCCACACAAATACATAATGAGAGAAGGTAATAGAATATAAAAATATTGAAATGGACATTAAGTAATTAATAACATTCATGTAAGTACTCTATTAATTAATGGTAACTTATTTTATAAAGTTAATTCTATTTCGTAATTTCTCCTTAATTCTAACTACGCTATAAAGTATACTTGACGGCAGTTGGACCAAAGTTTCCTGCAGTGGATTAGGTTGAATCGTATGATATCAAATAAGGATCAAGTCATGGCTATAAATAGCCAGAAATGAGATTTTTTCAGTCTGAACCATGTGTAATGTGGTCTATAGAAAGAGTTAAAAGTATAATTATAATTGTTCCCAATAATACAGAGCTTGTATAGAGTTTATAAAGTCGAAAGACAGTATTAATTAATTTAAATAACTATGCAAAAAAAAAAGCATAGTAGAAACATAAAAATAAGTTGTGAATCCATAGATTATTATCCGAGATTTGAATTTAAAAATGAATCAGTATTTTTGTAAACATGTACAACCTTATTTGAAATAAATACGAGCTCAGTTTGTTGTCAGTTCTTTTCAATCGAAAGCACTACGAACTGACGGGTGATTTGACATATCATAAAAGTTTGTGATAGAAACATGAACAAGGATGTTTTGATTTATTTGATTTCATTTGTGTAATAACTTTATCAATTTAGTACACAATGTTCAAACATAATTATAAGATCTTCACTAGGTTTCTTTGTGTTTGTCTTTGTTAGATTATTCATGAAATACAAGTATGAACTTGTATTTCATGAATAATCTAAATGACTCAGCTAAACCCTTAGAACTCTGTATATCTGACTGTAAACAAATTACAAAGGCTTTATCTTCTCCAGATAGATTGTAAATCCTTCCGCTTATCTGATTATATTTGGGAACAAATATATAACAAAATCACTCACAGATATACAATAGTTATTAAAATCTCTTAATTTAATTATTGAAATTAATACTTGAACTTAATATTATACAAAACATAGTCCATCCAATCTATATGTGTTAACTGTATACTTTGATTTCTTAAGACATGATATTAACAACTAAATTATGTACAACTTAACACTACTACGAAATGAAATTATCAAAAATCAATGAGCACATTTTTCTTATATACTATGTCATACATTTCTATAATGAGGTCACAAGATTGGCTTGAGTTTTAAGAATACCAGAGACAACCAAAAAGCTTTTAATTATTTTTGTTCAAGTCCATACCAGATGTTAAACAGCCTATTTAAATTGTTCATTTGACACAACAAATTAATTCTCTATATTTATTTGTATTAATTTAATATATTATTTTATACTGATATAAACTGGATAGTACCATATCCTATCTACTATTTTTTTTTAACTGTTCAACTGTCTCTGGAGTCCTTTATAATTATTAATATTTAAAATAGTTAATATCAAAAAAATATTGCTGCATTATTTATTAAACCAGCCAGCATTTATAATGTCTTGTTCACAATGTTTAACATAATTACACATAACACTGAGTTTATCATCTCGAACATATCAGATATCTCATTTGATGATGAAAATGGTTAACTCCAACCTATTATGCATTCTGTACATGGAGTAACATATAATTTCCAAAAATTAGATCTTACACTGCACATTGTCCATTTTATTATTTTCTCAATGACAGTTTATTTATTATTAACATTATTATACATCTTACATTGTCTTTTATGAGTAGGAAATTACATAATTATAAAAGATTAGTCGGTAAATATATTTCTGTTACTATATATTTTGAAGTAATAACATTTTAAGCTAAGAGAAAATCATGAAATAGACAAGTTTCTTATATACATTTAAAATTGGTTTATAATATTACTATTATACTGACATCACCACATAAATATAAGACATTGATATAAACATTAAAAATATCAATATTTTGTTTATCTGAGGTAGATGTTCACAATAAATGTTGCATTCACAGCCTGTATGTTTAAAGGCTTACGCGCATGAGGCACAGTTCTTACAGCACTTCAATATGCACTTGTTTTATTCAGTTCAGTGGCTCCTTATAAATTTGACATACCAAATAAGCTGGAAGGCGGGAACCATCACATAAATATATGAGCAACACCATAGCCATCATATATATATATCCACAGAGTGCCATTCTAAACTATCTCTGTACCTCATCTGCATAAACCTCAAGCAGGACATAATATCAATTATATTTAATATGCATCTCTTTCCATAGGTTCATAATTGTACTCACAACTGCCAGATTTACTTATATTACCACTTACACTATTAAAGAATTGATTACTCTATTGATAAATGTTTACTCTGTTGAATATAGGCAATTAAATGTAACAAGTTTATATATTTAAATATATATATATACTCTTTGGAATATTGCATATTGTTTTGTTGTAAGATAATTATATATCATAATAACATTTGAACATAAAGCCAAAACTACTCTGTCTAAAAAATATTTTAGAAGCCTTAAATTTATGTCTAAGTACCCTGAATTATATATTTCTTTTAAATTTAATCTAACAGCAAGTTGCCAACAGTTTTTATGGAAACATTAGATTTTTAATTACATTACAATTAAAGAACATATTATGACAACACTTTGTCATAACATTTCAACTTTAAGTATACACACATTCCGCTGTAAAATTCAATATTCAAAACACTCACCTGACAGGGAGTGATTCATGTCTACTCTGAGGAATATAGCTCGAGTTGAATACTATGTTTTACAATCAACCGTGTGGTGTCCACCTATTATTAAAACATGAAGAATATTTATTGGTATATCTCAATAATAATGGTAACAGTTCAAGCTGGCAGTCATTTGAAGAAACATTTTATGTTATTTCATGTAAAGCAATACCAAAATTGAGGTACTAATGAATTGACTGTGAAATTAAGTTGCGGAGCAATTACTGCCGTGCGGACCTCTCTGTCTCAATGAGACATTCCCTCACAAGTATGCGAGCATGCACAATCCCACGCTTGAGACGCTCAGCGGAGCTGCGGCTGCCGGAGTAACTTGGCCGAACCTCTTTGCCCATTTCCTCTATAACGGCCAGTAACTGTGCATATTTGGACGTACCATTATCTTTATCCTTCCCGTTTGAGGAGGGCGACGACGCCGGGACGGTGGATATAGTTGCGTGGCTGTTTCCACCGTGTGCCAATTCCTTGTGAACGTTTTTGCTGCTCATAGGTATAGCGGTCACAGTGACGTCGCTCAACTTCGACTCCACGGCTTGAATATCCATCGCCTCCATCACTGTAAAGTTACGCGGCTTTAGCATAAAAAAAACCGAACGAAAAACGAAAAAGGACAAGACTTACCAACATTACAACTACCAGACAAACGGTTTCACGCATAAATTGACACTATTGTGCTCCAAATACGCGGCGAATGTAATAAATTCTACTCAAAATGTATTTATCTAGGACATACCTAATTCAATCAACTCCAATCTCAGAAGACAACTTGTCCGGCTGTACGAGTACTATCAATCGTCTCGAGACAATACCAACAGCGGTCGTAACGAAATTCGCTGGAATGTCTAAAGTTTTATGTAAATGCTTTCTTATTATAAAACCCGTATTTAACTGTTTTAATGTAATAAATAACAAACAAGTATAGAAATCAGCACATTGACAAGTCGTACAAATCCAGACTTGAAATATTTCTATGTAATACGCCGTAGAGACTATACCATAGATTTTTAAAGTGTCTAGCACAGCTCTGTGCATTTAGTATAAATTGTAAATATAATTTAAATCTTATTTCTAGGTACGAAGGTTTATTTCTAATTAAATTCTAATATTAATAGAACGGATTCTCTCCTAAAACCTCATCTTCAGGAATTCTGTCCTTTTCGCACAATTTGAAAGCTTAAACTTATAAGATAATACATTACATGCATAAATAAGTTGTACAAGTTTCGTAACGTTTCAAAAATTTCGAATTTTTTTTAACGAAAAGTTATATGCAACTAATTTAATTCATAATGCATTAAATTAGTTGCATAAAAACTTCTATCTATTCATAAATAGTGATAATAGTAGGTACTTTTAGGCATTATAACTTCTTTTGTCTAAAGAAGCGTCTCTTACTTAATCTTTTTTAATTTAAATTATATAGGTTTAGTTGCTTAGTAATATTTTAGTGGCTTCAGCATACGCAGTGCTCGGCGCATGTCCTGTGTGCCAAGCCGTAAAAAGAGGAAAAAATATATACCTACGTCAATTTTTACTTTAATGTCACTCAAGTAAAATTGACAAATTGGTTTCATTCAATTCATTCTTTGCTATTTATATTCATATGTATTTTGCTTTATAGTTTGTGCCGTCTGTGCATGCGTAACTCTGTCTTCTGTCTGTCTTAGTTATATTTATATTTTCTTTTTCTGTTCTGCAATATTTTACAGAACGTTGATTATCTGATTCTGATCTCATTAATCTTTTGAGTTGTTAAGAAATTTATCTATAAAATATTGCAGATTATGCACAGTACGCTATAATTGGAATAAATTAAATAGAATCGACCCGACAACCGATCGCTTGTCGGACTAAATTGATCAAATGAATGTAAATAATAAAACAATAAGTGCTCGGAGTCAAGTGTTTTCTCCGCCCACTGTAGTGCACAGAATCACTTTGTTCAAAGATCTAATGGGCGTCAAGCATAAAGTGTTTTTGTTATTGTGAAAGTGTGGAACCCTTAAGTGGAGCCAGTGATGAAAGTTGATGATATTCGTTGACAATGTCTGGAGAAGGTGAGCGTGCGTCGCGGCCAAACTCGCTACTGCTGGAAGCACCTCCGCCTGAGCGAGAACCACTTCATTTTGATGTCCAGTTGGTGGGAGCGCCACCAGAGGTCGAACAGCTCGTTAATAACATCAAACAAGTTGCAGAAGACTTCCTCTACCATTGGAAAACATTTCCTATTAGTAAGATTTTCTCTCCTATATGTACTAGTTATCTTTTGTTCAGTAAATATGAAACTGTTACACTAGCCTGTGCTAACAGTTTATTTTGCGGGTCACCTGTATAGGATGATATGATGAACATGAAATTAGGTAAGTTATCTATGGATGGTCAATTCACCAGAAATTAACCAGACAATCTCTATCAAGACTTGTACCCCATGTGGTACATTAATACCACCACCACTAGTCCCCATTACTAATAATCCCCTACTCCTCCTGTACCTACTAACCCATTTTTTAACTACCCTGTACCTAATGAAACATTTTTATAGTACTTTATTGTTCAATGTTTTTCTGTGTGCAATACAGAGTTATTATTATTATTATTGTATTCCCAAATTGGAAGAACATATATAATATTAGCTTTCCTTTCCCAAATATGTATTGGACCAATGAAGGAAGATCATTATATTATATTTGTAAATAATATCACATTTTCCATTTTTATATAATTACTATATTTGTTTTTGTGATATGATATGTGTAGATATCAGGCGTCTTTTAACTGTCTAAGTCAAAACTTTCTTGGAAGGAATCTATAAAAAAATATGGTTCTATAATGATCTCAAAATTTTTGTAATTATTAATAATATAAAGTTATTATATTATTAATAATTACAAAAATTTTGAGATCATTATAGAACCATATTTTTTTATTTAAACTCTATGTTCTACTAATAAAGAAAATTTCAATATAAAATAAAAATAACATAATAAAATTGGATGAATATATATTTTTTATAACTAAATCAGTTATTTAAACATTGAATTGGTTTTTACAAAGCTTTGTTTTATTCATTAGGAATAGATTTATTTATATAATCAATTCTTATTTATATCTCCAGTGGTTATGGAGTTCACTTTTGAATCATATGATTCAAAATAAAAGCAATAATATTAATCAATAATTAAATATACAATTATTTCCTTCAACATCCTTTATTAAGTAATTTAATACAATTGTTTTGACAGCAGTTAGTTTAATACTTAATATCTCTAGCTCCATTTATGGTATGGGTTCCAGGGAGTCATTGCGAGAGTGTTTTAAGGAATCAAATAAATGTCTGTCAAATACTGCAAAATTTATTTATTTAAAAAATTAGTTATTAGTCCCAAAATTTACATAATATGTAAGTAAAAGTTAATTAGAATAGTGCCTCACTGCCAAAAAGAAGAAACAGAAGATATCATGAAAGAGTTACCATCTCCTTAAAAGGTAGTAATTTTACTATTAAAAAAAAACAATAAATAAATAAGAAAGACAAAGAGCAAGTAAAACTATTGTTTAAAACTACAATGTCCCGATTAATAAATAAACTAATTTATCCAATACTGAAATAATTTAATAAATGAATAAGTATGTAATGATATGAATTTTGTCATTATGAAAATCAGTTATTAACGGATGATTGAAGAAATCAAATATTCAGATTCATCTTATTCAAGACATGACATCATTTTAATACATACCTAATACAGATATGCTTGTGCATACGATAATATACATTAAAAACTATGACCCATCTATAATTATAAAGCGGTTTGTGTTTACCAAAAAAATATTCACTCATTCATATTTACGAAATATGTAAGTGGTTAGCTTGGGACTAGGTAGCTCTGTGAATTGCACTAAGATCATATATATGTATATATGATCGATTATAAGAACTTTTTTGTGGACAGTTCTTCCGCCATCACGATTTACCGGACCCGGAAATCGGCTTTCGGATATAATCATCGCTCCACCATGTGACGAATTGGATGCAGCAGCGCTAGATGCCGGCCTGGAGCCGCATCCGCTCTCACCAAAGCAACTACACGCTATCAGAGAGAAAGGGTGAGTAGTGACATATAATATAAAAACATTTTTCTAAATATAAATGGAGTAAATAATAAAAAAAGTAAAAATGACACTCCTTAAATAACCTGTCCGATCGATCCCCTGTTCAATTCAAACGGGAATCGAAATTGTTACGGCCTGATCCAAGGTTCGAACCCCTAGCGGTGCCCTCGGACTAAAGTCGTATCCGTCAGGCAGGAGTTGGCTTTCAGCTGTCCTATAAGTCCGTCCACGGATGTGGCCATTATTTGTACCATCTGTAATCGCCCCTTATCTTTCGGTGAAGCTCGACACGATCACGAACAAACGTGCCGAATATTTGGTATCAGCGCTCCCTATAATCTCATCGCTCTCATAAAAAATCCAGAAGCTCTGAATTCGTATAAGACTAGCTGCGGCCAATAGCATTAGAGTAATCCAAAAAAATTAAGGGTTTGGAGTGCCGTCTGCGCTCACCCTCCATCGTTCAGTAAAGCTGTAAAGACTAGCTGCAGTCAACAGCATTAGAACAGGGCCAAAGAAAACTCTTTAAATAAACCGAGCAGCACCGTAGCGGTGAGCTAAGACGTCTTCCCCTCAACCCAATAAGAATGCTAACTACATAATAAATAAATAAAATAAATGTGTATGTCAGGTCTTATTTTACCTCCTGGATTGTTAAACTTCCATCAATAATTGATAGACATATTTACGGACAAGGTCTACATTTTATAGTCATGAACAGAGTCCCGGGCGCAGCAAATAAAAAATATTTTTATCCTATTATGACTGGATAATCACACACATCACGATACACAACATCCTCACATTACACATCGACGATTGATTGACATGTGTGGTTGATTGGCCAAACATATAAGGCTGACGATATACAGTCGATCGGTCGTCAGGGAGCCTGGATGAGGCCGAATGGCGCGGCGTAGGAAATGAACGTAACAGCTGACCGATCGACCGATATATCAGCGGCCTAAATCATTGTGCCACTATAAAGAGAATATTGGGTAATCTTATTAATAATATTAGTTCTTATACAACATCCTATCCTATTTAGGGGATCGCACAATTGTTTGCACATTTATCGTACATTATTTTTTGCAGTATGACGCATAATCATTGTAATGATAACAAGTTCACGAACTATACAATTGTTATACAAAGTTTTGGGTAAACATCTAAAGGTTGTTTTTTTAATATATCAAAACGTCGACCGTGGTCTTTAAGGATCTCGTGCATCCTTGATAGCAGGGATGCCAACCGTATAACAATATTCGTAAAGGTACGAGATTTTTGACCCTCCCTATTAGGACATTTTCATCCTAGTACAAATGTGTATATTTACCGGAATCTGCAGATTTTGAAAACTGAGGAGGAAACGCCACTATACAGCCTATATCAACCACATAGCTCAAGCCAGTCATGCATAAACGTATCGGCTTTGGAAAGTTCACGCTCTATCCTGAGAAGATAAAAATAATATCCTTCAATTCTTGTCCCTAACGGGGCTAAGCAGCGAACTCTGAAGGGCGAGTACAATAGATCTATGTAGGTTGCAGTGCTATAGATCTTTCACCCCAAAAATAATAATCTACCGGAATGGGTCAAAATTCTATAATGTAGGTACAAGGTTGGAGAGACAAATTGAGTCTAAATACAAAATGTTCTATTTCTACGTAAGAGGCGAAATCTTTTAAGGTTGGCACCCCTGTTTGAAAGGCTACGTCATAAAGAAGCGACCGTAATTGACTGCGGACTTTCGATAACGCCGGGTCCTCTGAGCTCCCTGCCTGCCAATTAGTGCTGGTTCTTGACGCTGATATAATTTACGAGAAATAAAATAACCATACCTGAAGTTGTAGGTATTAAATGAAACATAAATTTAACGGCCTCGATGGTCTAGCGGTTTAGCACATTACCTTACTTCTGATCGTCGCGGGTTCGATTCCTCGCGCGGCACAAGCATGTATTCATGAGTATGATTGTTTGTATCGGTCTGAGTGTTTTCTATGTATAATATGTATGTATTTAGGAAAAAAAATGTATTTGTATCCATAACACAACTTTAGCTAGCTTAACTTGGGTCTAGATGGCGTTGTGCGAATTGTCCTGAGATTATTATTATAAATGAAAATTGATGGCCATCTTGTAATTTATCAAATAACCAAAAAGTTGCCTTCTCATTGAAATCACTCGATGTTTTATCGTTTTAAAAATACACCTACGATAGTACGGTCTGTAGATCCATTAAGAATTTATGAGTCATCTATACTGATAGATAAAATTGAAGTGTCTCTTTGTAATTACAAATTAACAGCTTCTCATTAACTACTGTATTTCATCAATAAAATAATTTTAAAAAATTGTCTGTCTGTTTGTTCAAGTTGATCTCTGAAACGGCTGGTCCGATTATGACGGTACTTTCTTTCGTAGTTGATTAAAGCAAATTGTTTGTTCTCGCTGATCTCTGAAACGCCTGTATATTATAAGAAGTAACAGGCTATTTTTTTAGATATTTTTTATTCGCAAAAAAAGTTAATTTACACCCAGACGTTATACATATATATACATAATAATATAATACAGATAACAACTAATATGTAATAACTATTGTAGTGATATACTTACACACAAATAAATTACAACAAATGATACGTACACGAATGAAGGAAGCGAGTGAAACCGCGACAATATCACAGTAAAAAGCTAAAAAGCACACAATCAATCATTTTCCCCGCAATTTGAGCGTACAAGTAGTAACGACAACAAATGACTTTCATTGTTCATTCTATACGCAACCGCTCGTAGTCAGCTTGCAGTATTAGCTACGATTTGTTAGAGCCCTATATTGTAATGTAAATTCATTGTTTCAAGGCTGACAAATACTGTGGGAATATTAACAAGTGCATGTAATACGGAATACAGACTCATACGGAAGTCTTGTAACAGCTGCAGCTCTGCGTTGTCTGTTTTTTTTTATAAAAATAATACTTAAGTATATAGTAGTATTAGTACTATATTATATCCACATTTAAAAAATTTAAGGTCCACAAGAAAGGAGGCTACAGCACAAGATTATACAGCCTCATCTTCAGCATTAGCAATACTTACCTACTAATTATAACACAACATAATTGTTTTTAAAAATTAACAAATGGCCTATTTAAATTAAGAAAGCTAATTTAACAATAAAATATTAAAGCTGACTGTGATATGCAGTCAACTTTTACATAGATTTCTGCCAGCTGGGATTGAATGAATACACTGAAAAAAGTTGCAATAAGTGACTAGCAAAGTTAAGTAATGTAACATTAAAATATATTTAATTTAATATTTAATGAAAAAATCATACGTACACAAAGTAGTTTTAGCTTCATTTTATGAATACCTGCATTATTTAAAAATTATTCTAAAATGTTTTTTTTTTAATGGAATTATACATAATATGATAATGGAACCCTCGCTTGCGCTAACGGTATGTAGTGGCGGTACACCAGTAGAGAATGGGAAGATGAGCATTCAGAACATTAGGTGAGCTCGTTTAGCCCATCATGGCAAATTCACCAGGAATTCATTATGATGGTTTCCAGGGAAACCGCGTGGAACCTGACATGGTATATTGCTAACGATGTCCTTATTAGAGAACAAAGGGGATTGTTAGTAATGTGGACTGATGATCTTATTGCTAGCATGTCAGGTTGACTTCCACGCGGTTCCCGCTGGAATACATCGTGATAAATTCTCGGTAAATTGGTCACGATTGGCTAACCGACCTGAACTCATGTTCATCTTATCAGCCTCAACTGGTACCCCGCCAGCGTAAACCCTTAGCACAAGCGGGTGATAAAAGTGAATAGCGTAAACCCTAAGCATAAGTGGTAGAATAAAAAATATGACGATCAAAAGATTTTTTATTAAGTTTATTTGAAGGAAGATTATTTCTTTGAATATTATTTGACGGCTTGGGTGGTCTAGAGGTTTAGCACACCGCTTTACTTCCGATGGTCGCGGGTTCGATTCCTCGTCTGGGCATTTTCTATGTATATTATTTGCAAAAATAAAATATCTAAGTATTTATATCAGTTGTCTAGTCCCCATAACACAAGCTCTGCTTACCTGGCGCTGTGTTGTCTAGGGTTATTTATTTATTTATTATTATTTATTCTATATCTATTAAAATTTTATTACTTCTATAGTAACACAGTTGAGTTAGTTAAGTTAGTTGATATTTTTTTCAGTGTAATTACAATACTTTACAAACCGGAGAAAGTACTCCACAGAACATTCACATAAACGATGTGTGTGATGTACATCGGGACATGTACAAAGGACGCGATCCCCTTGGCCCCGCGTCTCGTTAAGTTCAATTAATGTTTTTATTTGTACACATGATACGCTCTCCAAACGGTTTGTCAAGTTAATGTCTCGGTCCCGGCCCTTTTCACGCATGTGGTTTTGTGACGTAATTATTGAAACATCCCAACTCGTATGTTTCATTTTCGTAATATATGTATACTAGCTGTCCCGGCAAACGTTGTTTGCCATATAAATTTATGTACTAATAGCGCTATTAACAAATAGGGGTTCATCCCAAATTTTTCATCCTTCTATTACCAGAAGGATGAAATTTTTTATTAGAATAACATTGACCAACAAATTTTTAAAATAATATTAGGGGGTCATACGTTTCATTCAGTAAGTCTTAAGGGTTGTTCCCTTATCACTTAGAGAATGAAACGTATGAAAGATAGATAGTAGCCGATTCTCAGACTTACTAAATAGGCATATAAAGATTAATAAAATACATAAAAATATGGTCGAGCGCTGTGATGGCTGGCTCATGTATCATACTCGTGAACGAGTACAGCTTGTAGCACAATTTTTTAATAACGATATTAGAACTAAAAAAATTCTGCTTTCGGCGGTCGATAACATATTAATTTATATGGCACAACATCGTTTGCCGTACAGCTAGTGTATATATAAAAATAAGATGTACTTTTTGGTTACAAAAAACAAATGGAATGACTGGTTGGTCTGTTAAAGCCTTCATGTACATATGAATCATGTGAATAAAAAACTATTCGAAGCATAGTGATGTAATCTTACGGTTACTACTTACTTTATATAATTGGGGGCGTCGTGACCTAGTATGTTTAGTCGTGAATTACTACATGACTTAGAACTCAGAGGTTGTCAGTACGAATCTTATCGCCATCAAAAAGCTTTGTATATATTTCTGCGTAACTCTCCTGTGATGGAAACAAAGATATAAAACTAAAACAATCCGAGAGACGACTGTATACTCATCTGCTTATGTATTACTCAAAGATTTCCTTTACTAAATTACATATATTAATTCACACACGAAATATCTACAGAATAGAGAACTTGCATCAACGCATCTATCAGTCTTGTGTGGATACTAAGCTGACACGCGCAACTTCGTCTGCGTCACACAATTGCTGCGTTACATAATTAATTTTTAATTTATAGCCTAAATGTTATTCTGATGTATAAGCTATATTACTAGTTTTTTCATCAAAATCTGTTCAGTAGCTTTTCGTGAAAGAGTACCAAACATCCACCCATACTCACAAACTTTTATAATATTAGTAGGACGGCACGTTGCTACGCCAATAGTATCGGATAATCAATATATTAATCACCTGCCACATTTCAGTAGGTCAATAAATAAGTTCCAAGTAATCTAGTCTACGGTCATCCACATAGTGTATACATTAGTGGAACAGCTTTGATGCTTCTAGCAATAGATGCTACTGTCATTTCTACTCATTCACAATAGACCGTAAATATATAACTTACTGAATTTCATTACTTAAACGAATATAGCCTATAATATATTATTTATTATTAATATAATAGTATTGTTAATATTCAAATTTCGAACACAAATTAGACGACCTCCATGTTTCAGGGCACAATGCAGCGTTTTCTTATACGGGATTCTATTCTCAGTCGGGCCAATTTAGGGAAGCAATTTTTCTAAATTAGCTCGTTTGGCTGTCTGGTTCGGAACGAACGATGACAGGATTATGCAACTTAGTTGCTAACACTTCTCTTTAAAATAGATTGGATATGACAATTTGACAGGACCAGTTGCAAATATACATATGTTTATATTTGTAACTGAAACTGTCTAATCTGTTTCTAACTTGAATTGTTATCAACCGAGTTTCATAGTCTGGCCCAGATGTTTTATATTTTGTCATAATAGATTATAGAGAACCAGCTCTCAAAAATAGAAGGCAAAGGAATCTATTGCTGGGTATACCAAGTACATGAGGTAGAATGAGACAGGTATATTCGTTGTCTCCTTCAGTCTTATGCATGAGGTGCAGTGGCGAGAACGTATACTACAATGGATTCCTTTGTTCTGTCTGTCTGATTAAAAAATATGCTACGTAGAAACTTGGTTTACTTCTGTTCAATATTCTGTACAGTATTTATTATACAATAACACAAAAAGAAACAATAACTTATCTCTAAGTAAATTGCCAAATGTACGTGGAAATCAATGTTTGTTATTTTTTATATGTGGTGCAAATAAAATGTTTTTTCTCTTTTTTCTATAAAATATTCGCATTATCTGTTCTATTTCTTTAAAGAGTCCCTTAATAACACTAATGATTAGCTAAACAATTTTTTACATGTATGTGAAAATGCACCCAGTTGTGAAGTTGATAAAGTTGTTTTTTTCGCAAAGCTTGCACAAGGACAGAGTATTTAAGCCGAAGAAACTAAGTGCTAAGCAATTGGAATCGATACGCGAATGGGGGTATGTCGCCCTATATATCTATATTATTATTTATGTACCTATATTCATAATTGCAACCAACATTGGAGCCAACGTTTGTTGTACATTTTCTTTGTAATAATGTTGGCTCCAGTGTCGTTACCCCCAATCATAGCATGCTTCATATTAGAAACGCTTTTCTATCTCTTATCTTTATATATGTTTATGTGTATTTCTGCTGTCATGTACTGTAGTCCCATTACATCATAGGAGTCATAGTAATTTGTTAGTCAATAATCAAGGCATGGATTAAATAGTATGTAATATAATTCGACATGCGAAAATCAACCTTAATTGTAAACCGCAACCGTTTAATATTCCTAATTTAATAAATGAAACAAATACCTTTCGCTTGTAGTAATTGTAGGAATAGTTATGCAACTCACGTTATGAGTGTTGTGTATAAAAATTATGGCATACAAATAAATGTATATCAAATCCCTTATTCATAATAACCAGAACCTCGTTTAAACCTATTTTAACCTAAGAGAGTGTTTTGTCACTTTGTACTGTCTTCTTTCATATTAAGTAAATAGCTCCAGAAAAAAGATGAGCTGGTGCGTTAAAATAGGCTTATTAGATATTTGGCGTTCTTATGAATAAATTGGTGAGTATATAATGGTATAAATGTATATAAATTGTTCAGTTAGGCCTAACACAAAATGTATTCAAGGAAGGCAGTAGTTTTTATATGAAAAAAAGTGCAGGGGATTTGAACTTATTTTTGAAATATTTTTCTAGGTTATGGTGAAGTAATAAATATGTTAGTAGTTTTTTTTAATAATGATATTTTTTACATTTTGTCTCAGGCCTAATTGTTGAATATTAAATACTGTTTAAAATTAATTTCTAATTCCAAGTAATAATAAATTTTGGGAATAGACAAAATATTTATTATTACTTAGAATTAGATTCCCGTATTTAAATTAAGAACTTTTTTTATCGCAACTAATAGGTAATACGGTATAATACGGACTTGAAAATTGTACGGTATAGTTTAATATGTGTCATGTCCTAGTAATTACATCGATTTTCTTTGTACGAGTCCCTGTACTGTAGGTATACGATAGCAACGTTACAATCAACTGTCATAGTTTATGGTATTTTTATTATTTTAATTACATACAACAATGTCGGATTTAGAATACGGCTACCGTTTAGCCGTATTCCTATATAACCTTGTTTCCATGAAATTCTGTCAGTCAATTATGTCAGTGATATTATTAGGCACTTCACTATTAGTTATTAGGGAAGGCAATCCTTGAAGAGTGAATATCTTAGGTAGCTTTGGAAAGAAGACGATGTGAAAAAATTTTGAGTAAGGAAAGTTCGCCGTAAGCAGTTAAGCTTATATTAAAGTACAGATACTAGTCGCCAATCTGTAACGAAACAAAATTTTCTATTGAATATAATATAAAATAATCTTTACATGGTATAAAACAAAATTTCCGCTTTTCTGTTCGCCTATATATTTTTAAAAACGCAACGGATTTTAATGCAGTTTTCAGCAACAGATAGAGTGATTCAAGACGAAGCTTTATATGTATATGTAATACATGCGTGTATTAGTATAGAACAAGTCGAGAAATTCAAACATTTCTAATGCATCCGTGCGAAGCCGTGACGGGTCGTATTCCATATATGTATGTAACGATACCATAAAATTTGACAGGAGATCGTGAACTTGCAATTTGCATCAAAGGGCTTTGTAAATTGAACTTTAAAGCTAATTAGTAAGGTTGTAAATCCAACAGTGAGTTCGAGGTGCCATCGCGCCACTTCCCAGGACAGACGCACGTTTGGCGCGTGGCTGGTTGGCTGCAGCGCGGACGTGTGCGTGCACGCGAGGAGTTGTACTGCCATGTAGCGCGTGCGGTCGCCCTAATAGTGGTGGTCGCCAGGGACCGCCTGCTCCGAGATGAGCCACTCTCTGTCATAGCTGGGGCTAAGTCTATGATTATGGGATTACAAAGGTGCGAATTCATTTTCGCTTATAAATTATATAATCACTATTTCATCTTTCAGTTCAGTTCTCAGAAACTTTTTATTATACTCCTATTTTTTTTATTACAAAAATTTGAGTACACAATAATGTTAGAGTGTGAAATGAAGAGAAAGTGGTACGTTTTACGGTTTAAAATGTTATCGGATGTACAGTCACAAATCGATATGGTTATGAGCCAACATACACCGCTCTCGTGGTAGAAATTACACCAATTTCGTTTTTAGTTAAGTTAGTTTCTTATTAATGTTTGATATAATTTAATTTTTTCTAGACTGCTGGATCTTGCTTTTGGTATGCCCTCGCTGGAAGCTCGTGATCTCGAGAAGAAAATACGCGAAGAACGATCTCGATATTTAGTTGCAGAACTTATTTGTAAGGTATAATGAATTGTTCCTTGTAGATTATGTAATGTTTATATTTAAACGATTTCAAAAATAGTAATTTAAAGTTCACAAAAAATTTAATGGTTTTAATTATTTTTGCAAATACAAATGTATTTTGTAAGAATAATGTAAAAATCAGAAGAATATCTCCCATGTGTGAGTTGAATTGTAGAACTCATTTAAAATGAGAAGTCTGGTTCAGGGATTGTGTTGCTAAGCTAATGGTGTGGTACGCAGCCGGAGCAGCAAGAGGACATCGCGCTAGTGGCGGCGTGGGTGTCACGTGCTATGCGGCGTGCGGCCAGTGAGAAAGCAGACGCGCGAGACGCCGCCCGTGCTGTACCCGCAGTACCCTGTCTCTACTCCACGCCGCAGCGCACGCAGGTCACACAAACACACAATGTTTCAATCTTCTACTCACTTTAACACCGCATACTTTCATTGCGCGATGCGGGGCACGGCCAGCGACACTGTGCCCTGGCTTTACTCCACGCCGCAGAGCACGCAGCTCACACACACATGCACACACACACACACACACATCACACTCACACATCACACTCACACATACATCACACTCACACACATAACACACACACACTCATCATACACACACACTACTTTACCACGCTCCTCAGCACCGTATATTTTTATTACGCGGTGCGGTGCGTGGCGAGTTAAATAGCGGATGCGCGAGACGCCGCTCGCGTCGTGCACGCCTAGTCCTCTACTCTACGCCGTAGCGCATGCAGGTCACACACATACAACTCTCCAATCCTCCCCTCACCTTAATACCGCATACTTTAGCGCAAACAGCGCACGCAGGTTACACATACACATAACTCTCCACACCGTGACTTGTCTGTATTCTACGCCGCAGGGCACGCAGCTCACACACACACACATACCTCTCCGCGCCGTGCCTTGTATGTACTCTACACTGCATATGCAAGTCGCACGCACACACACATAACACTCCAATCCTCCACTCACCTTAGCACCGCATACTTTCATTGCGCGAGGCGAGCTAGGATTAACTATTATATAATTTTGTTGCTTAAACAGGTGGACCTACGTCTCTACCGTCGCGATTTATTACGTCGAGCTGCGGCGCCCCTACAAGCAATATTGGAGCGGGAGTCACGCGGCTGGTTCCTACACTTCCGCGAACGGAAAGCGGCACAGCTCGCCAGTCAGAAGATGCCTATGAAGGATATTGAAGAGGTCATTTCAAATTTTACGTCCTATGTTCACGTTTTAAGAAAAAAGTTGGAGTCGTATCATATCTACAATTAAAAAGATTGGTAGAAAGTCGTAGGAAATGGCAAGAGCTCTACCGGCTCTTGCTCTTAATGAAGTTAACTTATTTTGAGTTAGAAATAGTAAATTTGGTGTACTAATATTTAAACATAACGATCAGAAATTAACATGCGCGCCGGTTCTATAGCAATATAAGTACATTTATCGTATTATAAGAAAAACTATGGTAACGTGCGTTTTAATAAATAAATAAAATAAAAATAAATGTATAGGAAGTCCGCACGGCAGCAATGCGCGAGTACATATCTCGCGTGTGCGGCGCCGTGCTGGAGAGCGAGCCGCTGGCCGCGCTCGGACCCGACGTGCCCGCGCTGCTCGCCGCGCAGCTGCGTGCTGCCGCCATACTCGACAGGTACCGGTTGCCTACCACGTGCACCATACGTGGAGCGAGCTCGCCCGACGTGCCCGCTGCTCGCCGCGCAGCTGCGTGCTGCCGCCATACTCGACAGGTACCGGTTGCCTACCACGTGCACCATACGTGCGCTGCACGTGACGCATGTGCGGCGCCATGCTGGAGAGCGAGCCGCTGGCCGCGCTCGGACCCGACGTGCCCGCGCTGCTCGCCGCGCAGCTGCGTGCTGCCGCCATACTCGACAGGTACCGGTTGCCTACCACGTGCACCATACGTGCGCTGCACGTGACGCATGTGCGGCGCCATGCTGGAGAGCGAGCCGCTGGCCGCGCTCGGACCCGACGTGCCCGCGCTGCTCGCCGCGCAGCTGCGTGCTGCCGCCATACTCGACAGGTACCGGTTGCCTACCACGTGCACCATACGTGCGCTGCACGTGACGCATGTGCGGCGCCATGCTGGAGAGCGAGCCGCTGGCCGCGCTCGGACCCGACGTGCCCGCGCTGCTCGCCGCGCAGCTGCGTGCTGCCGCCATACTCGACAGGTACCGGTTGCCTACCACGTGCACCATACGTGCGCTGCACGTGACGCATGTGCGGCGCCATGCTGGAGAGCGAGCCGCTGGCCGCGCTCGGACCCGACGTGCCCGCGCTGCTCGCCGCGCAGCTGCGTGCTGCCGCCATACTCGACAGGTACCGGTTGCCTACCACGTGCACCATACGTGCGCTGCACGTGACGCATGTGCGGCGCCATGCTGGAGAGCGAGCCGCTGGCCGCGCTCGGACCCGACGTGCCCGCGCTGCTCGCCGCGCAGCTGCGTGCTGCCGCCATACTCGACAGGTACCGGTTGCCTACCACGTGCACCATACGTGCGCTGCACGTGACGCATGTGCGGCGCCATGCTGGAGAGCGAGCCGCTGGCCGCGCTCGGACCCGACGTGCCCGCGCTGCTCGCCGCGCAGCTGCGTGCTGCCGCCATACTCGACAGGTACCGGTTGCCTACCACGTGCACCATACGTGCGCTGCACGTGACGCATGTGCGGCGCCATGCTGGAGAGCGAGCCGCTGGCCGCGCTCGGACCCGACGTGCCCGCGCTGCTCGCCGCGCAGCTGCGTGCTGCCGCCATACTCGACAGGTACCGGTTGCCTACCACGTGCACCATACGTGCGCTGCACGTGACGCATGTGCGGCGCCATGCTGGAGAGCGAGCCGCTGGCCGCGCTCGGACCCGACGTGCCCGCGCTGCTCGCCGCGCAGCTGCGTGCTGCCGCCATACTCGACAGGTACCGGTTGCCTACCACGTGCACCATACGTGCGCTGCACGTGACGCATGTGCGGCGCCATGCTGGAGAGCGAGCCGCTGGCCGCGCTCGGACCCGACGTGCCCGCGCTGCTCGCCGCGCAGCTGCGTGCTGCCGCCATACTCGACAGGTACCGGTTGCCTACCACGTGCACCATACGTGCGCTGCACGTGACGCATGTGCGGCGCCATGCTGGAGAGCGAGCCGGGACCGAACAAACGTAAAATAGTTATGCTAGGAGGGCCGATGTGACAATTTTCCTTTAGAGTTCCTCTTTACGTGCCAGTTCTGTCATAAGGGCCCTCCTGTCGTCCATAAAAACTTATAAACATCTGGTATGGTTGTTGTTGAACAATGCTCCAACCTTTGCCCATATTAAACTCACGGTTATACTGATAGAAATGCTGGAGGTGTACTCATGCGAGCATCTCTCTTGACACCCTAAAATTTTTTTAATCTATCACCTCCATGGTGACAAGGAATAGCCTTTGTACCTTGACCACTTTCTTCCCTTTATTGGGATTATAATGGAATGTGGAATGAACAGTGGAGGATGATAAGATGAACAAGAGGTCTGGTCAGTTAACCCATTGTAAGAAATTCAGGAATTTCTCACGAAGGTTTCTAGGGGGAACCGCGTGGAGGTCGACCTGACATGGTATATGCTAGTAATGGGGTCATGAGTCCGCACTACTAGCAAACCCCTGCCCTCCCAGCATGAGTGGGTTGTCGTGGAGCAGGGCGGAGGAGGGAGTGCGGCGGCGGCTGGAGGCGGGCGTGGCGGCGGCGGAGGCGCGGCTGCGGGCGGCGCGGCCGCTGGCGGCGCGGGCGCGGGCGTGGCGCCGCGAGCGGCTGGCGGCGGCGGCGGCGCGGCTCCGCGCGGAGCTGCGCTGGGCCGCGCTCGAGGACGCCGCCGCCGCGCTGCACGCGCACGGCCTGCTGCAGCACCGCTACTTCCTGCTGCGGGACCTCGCCTTCCTGCGCGACAGGGAGCCGCTACTCGTCAAGGTATGCCACGGCTTCGCTGGTCTAGGGGTTTTATTACCGATGATCGAGGCCGATTACTCGCACCTTTATTTTTTGTACCGGTGTCTGCTATGTATATTATGTGGGTATTTACAGAAAAATGTATCTGTATTTATCTGTTATCTAGTACCCAAAATATAAGTTCTGTTTAACTTGGAAATGGATTATTTCAACCGACGTTAAAAAAAGTAGATTCTCAATCCCACGCATCGATTTTTATGTGCCACAACGTTTACTACGTAAAACCGATTTTAATGATTAAATTTTATTTGAAAATTGGTGCTTATTATGACGTCCCATATACATTTGATCAAGCTAATCTTGAAATGTATGCAGGAGTTGCGCGCGGCGAAGAGTCCGCGGCGCGAGTTCACGTGGGCGACGCGCACGTGGGCGCCGGCCAACTGGGTGGTGGTGCGGCACTTCCGGGGGCGCTCGGAGCGGATCCCCACCGTGCTGTCGGCGCGCGCCACCTCCATCGTGACGCCGCGCTCCGACCCCTCGCAGCCCGTGTTCCTCGTGCACAAGGAGCGCGTGCGCACCACCACCACGCGCTGGCCCGGCTGGCGGATCGGCGCACAGGTGACGCCGCCGCTCCGACCCCTCGCAGCCCGTGTTCCTCGTGCACAAGGAGCGCGTGCGCACCACCACCACGCGCTGGCCCGGCTGGCGGATACTCAACTTAGCGCACAGGTCACGTGTTGCACCTCCTTACACCTCCGTCGTGACGCCGCGCTCCGACCCCTCGCAGCCCGTGTTCCTCGTGCACAAGGAGCGCGTGCGCACCACCACCACGCGCTGGCCCGGCTGGCGGATACTCAACTTAGCGCACAGGTCACGTGTTGCACCTCCTTACACCTCCGTCGTGACGCCGCGCTCCGACCCCTCGCAGCCCGTGTCCAAGCCGCTTGCCTTGTAACTTGTTTCGGTTGAATGGCGCGTCCTAATCTAAGGAGCAAGAGACATGACAAGGTTATCCTCTGGAATGGCAACACATAAGTGGTAATGCGGGCATTACATGACAACGTCTGTAACTCATCTCCTTGTATATAGGCGTCGGTTACCGCTTACCATCAGGTGGGCCCTCAGCTTGTTAGTTGTTAGCTATTCCAATTACATGAAAAACACCTGTTTTAGTTTAGGTCATCTTTGTATGTTATTTTCAAAGTATCTTTTGTGGTACAGGACCTGGTGCTGGAGCTGGAACATGATGTTCCTGCTGGGCGTGCTGGTTCCGTGGTGCTCGCCGCTGTCACTCCGCACTCTAATCTGCGTCCGACCTTTCGTGCCTGACTACGAACTGTCACAGGTTAGAACTATTCTAACAATAATCACACAATATTATGATATCAAAGTTTTTTAGCCAGAATATTCGCATGCATGCCAAAACGTTTCTTCGTGTATTTTTTTTAAATGTACCTAATTTACGGCCTTTTTTAAATATATCGGTTTTTTACTATATTTAACAATAAGATTCAGTGTGTTGTATATAGTGTTCAATATTCCATATACGCACGTATGAGATCTGGAATGGAAATCCTTAGTCTGATGGTTCAAACATTTGTATTCTTGAATATGATTGTTTGTATCGGTCTGGATGTTTTCTATGTATATTATGTATGTATGTACAAAAAAATTTAAGTATTTATATCAGTTGTCTAGTGCCCATAACACAAGCTCTGCTTACTATGAGACTCGACAGCGCTGTGTTAATTGTCCAGGGAAAAAGTCTTAATTATATTATAAATGCGAGAGTTTGTGAGTATGGATGTTTGTTACTCTTTCACGCAAAACCTACTGAACGGATTTTGATAAAACTTTACAGTGATATAGCTTATACATCAGAATAACACGTAGCCTATAAATTTCATGCGGTTGAAACCGCGGGTACAGCTAGTATATATATATAAATTATATAAAAGTATTGTAATACAGGTAAATGGCACGCTGTTCCCTAAACGAAGCAGTGAGACGCAGACGATGTGGTCGCGACTGCTGACACTGTGGAGGCACGTCTCCAAAGAACGGACGCGGTTTGAAACGGAGCCCGATACAGGTTATATTTTCTTTAATAAATTATGTATATTAGATTAGAATAAATGACATGTATCAAATAAACGAAATCTTCAATAGAGTGCCTAATATTGTCCGTATATGACATAGTCTAGAAAGGTCTATAAGTTATATAATAATTGATTAATCTTGCAAAAAGATTTTGGTTATAATAATTTCAATGTTTCATGTATATTTCACAAATATTAATTCTTGTCGGGCACAAATTTCGTCGATTAATTTACAGATTTTCAGATGTTAGTTTATATGCTATTTTGAATGAATCAACTGAACTGAAGTTTCTAGATATGTGGCGTTTTATACAAATAGACCTCATGAAACTCTATATACTATGTAAAGATTGATATAATGTGGTAAAAGAAAGAACCAGCAAGAAATTGCCACTTTTTTATAGGTTTGGAACAACTTCCAGTCAGTTATGGTTCCGAGGGGTCACCTGACTAAGCCTCATAATAAAACTTCTTTAAGCCTTTTACGAAATTTTGCCTGAGTCATATCATCAAATCGATTTCGGACACTATTGCATAGAGTAAATTGTCTAAAAATAAAAATGTTTAACATTGTTATGGTAGAAATACAGTGTAATAGAGATTGAATTTTACACTATATTTCTACCAGACAGAGTAATATTAAGTTTACATGTGTCAATAGTAAACATTCTGGTAGACTGCTTGTCCCTATTTTAATAAAAGTAAAATTAATGCTGTAAATAAAAGGAAAAAATTGAGTGTAAATAGAACTAACATAAAAAACAGAAGAAGAGATAGATTTTATCCAAGATCTGATGAGCACAGCTATTATTATTTCTGTATATTTCATTTCTTAAAGCACCGACAGTTTTATATTAAATTTAACACAATCAGTTTACATCATCAGTAATATACATCGTCTCAACCAGCACTGCTTATTATAAAGGATTGGTGACCCCGACGTGATCAAGCAAGACGAAACCTGGGAAAACGACGAACTACAAGAGATCTCTGGGCGGCATCCTGGGGTCGCTGACGATTGCTGTTGTTCCCGCTGGTGGCGCACCGGTACGGAAATTCAAGCCAAAAATGGTGTCACTGCGCAACAAGGAACCGCCATACTACTGACCGCTATAATATGCCCTTTCCTCATCACAACGTTAACAATGGCTCGCCGTACACGGAACAAACATGGCACACCGGGCATGTCTGCCACTCATAGACATCGCTGCAATAACCGTCACAGAGCGGTTACCCAGACTCGCCACGTTTGTGGTTTGCACACTCAAAAACAAGGCGACGAATATAAATATAATACAGTTATCCACAAAAGATCCACCACTATTATTGCTGGAAATCCACCACCAGAGAATAAATACTCAGTCATTAAAGACAGATTGACGGATTGACGGAGGAGAGCGTAGCAAAGACGTTTCCTTGCTCGCAGAAATGAACCAAGGACAAAACCGTCCCAGTTATTGAGAAACTGAGAGAATCTGGTGGCGGGAAAATAATAATACTTATCATAGGATGAGGCATACTTAACCACTGTTAGAGCAATTGACGCTGGACAAATTAGCGAAATGGCCGATCTATACATGAAAATCATGCTATTTAATAATCAATAGGCACCGCTGACATTTGTCATGGTCACACACCTTTTATGGACGCTGCAATTAGCAAAGTATGCACTCGCGAAAATCGTGGTCACATAAACCGCGGGCGATCAAACTCACGCCGTCGGTCAGCGCAAGAACAAGTAATAATTATTGCTATTATCCATCGTAGATTTAAAGAAAAGGCATATAAATTGACCTGCCGTGCTTCTGGAACCATAAAAGACAGCCGTCGGAAAACTAGGCTCAGCACAGAACAAGGCGTGTTGCAACCGTTCGCCGCTATAACCGACTCTAACAGTGGTTATAGATTTTTGGTGGATACCGTATCTCGGTGATCAAAAAGCAAGCACAGACTCAATGAGAGCGCTAGCGAATTAAAATTATTCGCCGCAAACGGAACCGTGATAAAGACATCTTGGGAAAATATAACGTTAAATTTGGGTTTAGAATGACCTTCAAATGGAATTTCATCATTGCTGACGTAAAAATGCCTATATTAGGCGCTGATTTTCATAGAAACAGGAATATACACGGGAAGAGATTAATAGATAAAGTTACAGAAAAACGCGTAATGGGAAAAAAAATGGCTCCATTGACTCCGAGGCTGCCTGGTCTATAAGGCGCGGAAAAATATGAAAAAATCACAAGTGATCAATGAATGTGTCCCGTACAGCATAAGATCAAACATCATCATAACAAAAGGATAGATGCGTGGCTGGTCCTCTTCCTCCAGATAAATATAAGGCTGCCAAAAAGTGTGACGATAGAAATGTGGCATATACAGGCGTCCATGGGCTAGTCCACTGCACATGGTAAAAAAGTGGATAATATAGGACGAGAAGTGATGGCGCGACTAGTGTGACAGTGTGCGATATCGACTTCCAAGGTTACGTGACGTCGTGGGCGACCAATGATAATCGACGTCCGGTCCGACTGCAGAGTGACGGTATTATAAGGTGTGACGTTTCGTTTACAAGAATCCCGGCATGTAGGAGGTTCCAAAGATTTATGGATTCGGCTAGTGTGACGGTGTGTGCGATGACATTCTGATAGGGCGAGGGCGGAAGGAACGGCGCGCGAAATTATTTTTACGTTTAAATGAAAGGAATTACGTGGTGGTGCTGCGAGTTTTTCAAAAATGACGGTGTGTGGGGTTATCATATAACGGCGTGGTGGGCGGCGCGCAGCCTGACGTAGACAGTGGATTTACGTCGTGGTGGCGCACCTAATTCCACACGTAGTGGTCATTGCGTGGCGTGTGGAAAAACGATGAAACAATAGTGGTACGACGCGCATTTCTACTGTAAACAGGCGGCGTAGTGGTAATCGCGCGGCATGTGGGAGGACGTGGTGGTGCGCAGTTCTTCACGGTGTGTGGGTGTGCATTTTTCTGGCGTCGTTAACGATGCGCGGCGTGTGGGAGGAGGGTATATATGGCGCGGCGTGGTGGCGCGGTTTTCGCGCGTACACCGACCATAAACCACTAACTCATGCTTTCTGCCGAAACCGCGTGGACGAGTCACCTAGAAGGATCAGATACTTGCATATCACGCGCGCCTACAGCATGTAAGCCAGATAACACGTCCGATGCAAACGACATCAAACAATATCACTCTCCAACCGTTATCGACTTATATTGAAATTTCACATATTATATAAAATTTCCTAAAGGTTTTGTATTGTATTTCAGAAGTATACAAATAAAAAAATATATTGGAACCCACTGAAATACAATTCCGCCATATTTCAGAAAATATTCCAAGACATTCTTTGAATAAAAAAACTGCGAAAATTAATTGGCAATATTATATATGGCGAACTACAGATATAAATATTGTCATGAATCATGTTTACAATGTATGAAACATATTCCACATTACCGCTTGTAAATATTTGAGCTACGCGTTTTTAATTAAACATTGTTTTATATCCGATATAAAATATATTATCACTATAATCGACAGATGCACTTCATGGCCTGTCCAGTTGCAGATATAACTGCAGCATTGTGTTGTCTACGCGGCGCATGGATTTGCGCAAGCGCTGGCATCACCTCTGACCAAGGACGACAATTCGGCGACGTTTTCAGAGGCGCTGGCGGCGAATGGAGAAAATCCGACCTACACCGCCATCCACAATCTAATGCAAAAGTGGAAAGATACGCGCACTTCGTAGACAGCCAACACAAGAAATTGGACAAAAGACCTTTCTCCGTACAAATCGACAAGATACTGGTACTGCGCCGCCGAACTGGTATATGGCACTACTATCAAGTTACCGGCAAATTTTTTAATACAAATTTATTGCTGACCATCTAGTATTGTAATATTAGCTAATAGAGAGAGAGTAAATTGATCGTTTTGGTTCTAGATAGCATTTAACGTATTCATTAGATAGTTTTTAGTCAAAATATTTTTATATGATTAATTATAGTATCTTTTTAATTTTGATAATCCCGAACAGTGTATGATTTATCCTACAGTGAGCTATTTTAAATTTATTTTCTATAATAAATTTTTTTGTGTGTAATATATATATAATTTATCTCTCAACTGCACAGTCAAAGACACTAAAATAATAAATGAAATGGTCGCAGACAAATTCAATATTGTCTCTAGGACTTTATCTAAACTGTGTCACCCCACCTACATTTTCCTATTGTTATTTACGTATATAACTCATTATTTCAAACATACTAATTAATGTTCCATTGTGACAGACTGTTAGTACACGAATAATTAAAAATAATAATGAGAACGGTACAGCTAAACAAACATGACACCTATAATATTCAATTGTAACAGATATTAAATACATGAAAAAGACATAAAAGAAATATAATGGTACGCATGGTTTGCGTGCGCAGGGGTCGCTGTGCCTGTACCGACAGCTGGAGCGTGAGTGTCCCTGGTGGCGGCGAACTGGCGGGATGCGACGATCGCCGTACACGCCGGGAATGCGCTCATTTACGAAACCGATTGCCCCGACCCGCCGCGACTCAACAGGTAGTGTTAGTTCCACAGATCACTACTATTATTGCTGGATATAGCTGACAGGCCGCGTACGGATTGACGGAGTGTAGGGCGTCCTTCTGCAAGATGAACCAAGGCCAAAACGAAGAAACTGTTCCAATCTCGTGGCATAATAATAATACTTATCAGTAGATACTTAACCACTGTTAGAAGCTTTAGTCCCGTCTATCTGATCACTATAATAATAATGACATTTGTCATGGTCGTAGCTTTTATGGTAGCAAAGTATATTCTCGTGGTCACGCGGGCGAAGTCGTGGGAAGAACTAATAATAAATTATTATTTTCCAGGTGGCTAGTACTTTTTGAGGTGCTTCTATGGCGAATAGGTATACTGGGCGTGTTGCAACCGATCGCCGCATTCATTGTTGCAGTTGTTTTCTGTCCATTGTGCGCTCTACTGCTACTTGTTGGTTAGTATTAAAGTATCTTGAAGTATATAGCTTGTATAGAATGACCTATCAATTTCATACTTGACGGTTCATGAGGTGATGGGCATAGAAACAGGATGGTAGACTCAGTAATATTTGCCATGAAAAATGCGTAATGCGAAAAAAAATGGTATGGGAAGAGGCGTGGTGGCGCGACTGATGTGACGATGTATGTGTCCCGGGGGCTTGATGTGGTAGAGGCGTAGTGGCGTGGCTAGTGTGACCATATCTAGGGGTTTGGCGTAGTGGACGGCACGTATCGTGGATAATATAGGACGAGAAGTGATGGCGCGACTAGTGTGACAGTGTGCGTATCGAGGGGACGTGACGTCGTGGGCGACCAATGATAGAGTGGTCCGACTAGTGTGACGGTATTTGAGGGTGTGACGTAGTGGACAGCTCCCGGCATGTAGGAGGTAGTATGGTGGTTCGGCTAGTGTGACGGTGTGTGCGTGTACGGGGGGCGGGGGGTGGTGGGCGGCGCGCGACGTATGGGAGGAAGCGTGGTGGTGCTGCTAGTATGACGGTGTGTGGGGTCGTGGCGTGGTGGGCGGCGCGCAGCCTGTAGTAGGTGGCGTGGTGGCGCAGCTAGTGTGCCGTAGTGGTCATTGCGTGGCGTGTGGGATGAAGCGTAGTGGTACGACGCGCAGTCTGTAATAGGCGGCGTAGTGGTAATCGCGCGGCATGTGGGAGGGGACGTGGTGGTGCGGTAGTGTGACGGTGTGTGGGTGTGCAGGGGGCGTGGCGTGGTGGGCGATGCGCGGCGTGTGGGAGGAGGCGTGGTGGCGCGGCGTGGTGGCGCGGCTGGCGCGCGTGCCGGCGCACGACTCCGCTTTCTGCCGCCGCGTGGACGGGCCCGGCCTGCACACGCGCGCCTACTACCAGATCACGTCAGTATTTACAAACGACCTCAAACGTCTCCTGAATCTCTAATATTGAAATTTCACATATTACATGAAATTTCCTATAAGGTTTTGTATTGTACTTCAGAAGTATACCGGAATTGGCTTACCATATTTGGAACCCACGCAACATAATACAATTCGCATATAGAAAATATTCCAAGACATTCTTTGAATAATCTGCGAATTATTAAATATTTAGGCGACTAAATATCACGTATAGCTCATCGAATTATTTACAATTATGTAAACAATTCCACATATTACTATTGTCAACTAGGAGAGAGATATCTGTTAATTATGTTTGTTTTATATCCGATATAAAATAATAAAAAAACTCTGCTTGCCTTAGTCCCATATTGAGCATTGTGTTCGTACACGCGGCGCAGGTGTGCGCAAGCGCTGGCGGCGGCGACGGCCCGCGGCGAGCTGGAGGCGCTGGCGGCGTGGGCCGCCGACCTCGAGCGCGCCATCGACCGCCCGCTGCGGGACTACGCGCACTTCGTAGACGCCTGCTTCGGACCTTTCTCCGTACAAATCGCTAAGGTACCGCCGGAGACTTCACATATAGCAAAGTATCTTTTTTAATACAGATTTATTGCTGACCAATTAGTTTGTCTACTAATAGTAAATTGATCGTTTTGGTTCTAGATAGCATTTGACGTATTCATTAGGTAGTTTTTAGTCAAAATATTTTTATATGATTAATTTGTATCTTTTTAATTTTGATAATCCCGAACAGTGTATGATTACGGTAGCTATTTTAATTCATTTTCTATAATAAAGTGAGATACAATTAATTTATCCTAACTACTCAGCAAAGACACTAAGGAAAGTGAACCGAAGTGGTCGCAGACTAAAACGCAAAATCCCTCAGGACTTTATATAAAAGTAAAGTTAACGACGATAACTCAACAAACATACTACTTAATGTTCCATTGTGACAGACTGTAGTACACGAATAATTAAAAATAATAATGAGAACGGTACAGCTAAACAAACATACTCCTTAATATTCAATTGTAACAGATTGTAGTACATGAAAAAGACAAAAAGAAATATAATGGTACGCATGGTTTGCGTGCGCAGAGCGGCGCGTACCGGCAGCTGGAGCGTGAGTGCGGCGAACTGGCGGCGTCGCTGCGGGAGAAGGTGGCCGCACGCCGCCGCGACCTCGCACTGCCGCTCTCTGACGCCGCACGAGCGCGCGTGCGCATGCCCGCCACAGACCTGCGGGTACGACACTCACTACACACTAGTGGCGCTCGCCCGCCACAGACCTGCGGGTACGACACTCACTACACACTAGTGGCGCTCGCCCGCCACAGACCTGCGGGTACGACACTCACTACACACTAGTGGCGCACGCCCGCCACAGACCTGCGGGTACGACACTCACTACACACTAGTGGCGCTCGCCCGCCACAGACCTGCGGGTACGACACTCACTACACACTAGTGGCGCTCGCCCGCCACAGACCTGCGGGTACGACACTCACTACACACTAGTGGCGCTCGCCCGCCACAGACCTGCGGGTACGACACTCACTACACACTAGTGGCGCTCGCCCGCCACAGACCTGCGGGTACGACACTCACTACACACTAGTGGCGCTCGCCCGCCACAGACCTGCGGGTACGACACTCACTACACACTAGTGGCGCTCGCCCGCCACAGACCTGCGGGTACGACACTCACTACACACTAGTGGCGCTCGCCCGCCACAGACCTGCGGGTACGACACTCACTACACACTAGTGGCGCTCGCCCGCCACAGACCTGCGGGTACGACACTCACTACACACTAGTGGCGCTCGCCCGCCACAGACCTGCGGGTACGACACTCACTACACACTAGTGGCGCTCGCCCGCCACAGACCTGCGGGTACGACACTCACTACACACTAGTGGCGCTCGCCCGCCTCAGACCTGCGGGTACGACACTCACTCCTCCTCTCTCCACTCGCGCTTTAGCGCGAGTGCAGTAAACTAGCGGCGTCGCTGCGCAAAAAACTCGACTTGCGTTGCCGCTCACAAAGACGCACGCTTACGTGTGCTCATGCTCGTTTACGCATGAGCACGCGTACGCGTCTTCCCTCTTTAATCCGGGTGTACCAGTACATTACGAGTACAGTGCATGTACAATATTAACATCTGTTATACATTCATTTACAGTACTTACACAATATCTATTATATCTCACTGTGAACACGTATCTCGAGTATCTATTGATATGTACGATATATGTTGCTATTTTTAATTACATTGTTACAGTGGGCAAGTGGTGATATCGAACGACTTTCAACCAACTACCTACTAATTTTCTTACTACTTTAATTTAATTACTAGATGGGAAATGTGGTCGTTTAGTATGCGTTTTCTAATAAAGTCGTGGTTGTGTGGTAGCGGGCGGTGCAGGCGACGGCGAGCGAGTTGTCTCGCGTGTGGGCCAGCGTCGCTCGCAGCGAGGACTGGTGGAGTGCGCGCGGCCTCGAGCTCGGCGACTGGCATGCACTCGCCGCTAATACGCTCGTGGAGGTAATACAGATTCTATCACTAGACTATCACTGTGTATTCGTGTACAGTAACGTGTACTTACTCACCGCCGAAATGCTGAGCTCGTACGTGTAAAGGTAGTTATTGGAAGTATCTGCTATAAATTTATTTGCAGGTGTTCGACGCGGAAGTATTGGTGGCGCTGGAGGAGAACGAGGCGCGGCTGCAGCTGGAGAGCGGCGCGGGGGACGGCGCGCGCAGCTGGACGGCGCGCTGCGGACGAGACGACGCCCCGCCCGACGTACTAGCGGAGCGGGACGACTGGCGCCGGGACACTGCCGGTGAGTGCGGCCCCGTGTACTGCACCCGCGCGCTCGCGGAGCGGGACGACTGGCGCCGGGACACTGCCGGTGAGTGCGGCCCCGTGTACTGTACACGCGCGCTCGCGGAGCGGGACGACTGGCGCCGGGACACTGCCGGTGAGTGCGGCCCCGTGTACTGTACACGCGCGCTCGCGGAGCGGGACGACTGGCGCCGGGACACTGCCGGTGAGTGCGGCCCCGTGTACTGTACACGCGCGCTCGCGGAGCGGGACGACTGGCGCCGGGACACTGCCGGTGAGTGCGGCCCCGTGTACTGTACACGCGCGCTCGCGGAGCGGGACGCCTGGCGCCGGGACACTGCCGGTGAGTGCGGCCCCGTGTACTGTACACGCGCGCTCGCGGAGCGGGACGACTGGCGCCGGGACACTGCCGACGACTTGTGACATGTAGTACCAGGCATACATAACATCCTATGTGACCATCGGTTTATTAACCATAGAAATTATCTAAGTAACACAGGAGTCAGTAGAGTAATAATGGTACATAATGGCAGGCTCGTGGTCCGAGTGGTGGTACGGAGCGGCGCCACGTGTGCCACCGCCGTCGTTGGAGTTGTCTGCGTTCAATCCTCGCGCGCCACCGCAGCCGCCGCTTCCGCCGCCGGCCGCTGTCGCTCTAGTGCTGCACAACAGGTTATTTACCACTATATCGATTGGGCATAATTTAGATATTTTTCAGCAATAATTACTAATTTCACGTTTTTCTGTTAAATACAAATTAGTCAATTTTCAGAACCCAAAAACAATGGGCCACACAACTGGGCACGTGCCTATATTGAGTAGGCCTTAATTCGCCGGTGTCACATATAAACGACAAAAATATTTTATCTGAGTATTTACATTACATTTACAGTATTGAACGTTGGTTTTATACGACTATAATATTCGTTAGTTGATCAGTTATTCTAATCAAGAAACTTGTATATAGTTATATTTTGAGATTTTTCTTTTCATTAACGTATTTAATTTTGTTCAGTTTAATGTTTGCGACATTCCTTGGCTGAAAGTAATGATGTTAGTTCATATTTTAAACAGTTACCATATGAAGTATGGTATTATTTAGTAAAGACTAGACTGAAAGAATAAAATGTAATTGCAGAGAATCAGACAACCCAGTGCCATTAGATTCGGAGCTGTGTGCCGAAATATTGAAATCTTTAGAAGACGCGCCGGACTCGGATGATAGACCAGGTAATACTTATTAAATATACCGCCGCTTGACAATATCATAATAATAATATTATTTGTTAATTAATATTAATCAGAAATTTTTTCTAATCCGACTCGCAAGGACTAAAATAATATATAACTATGTTGCTATTTAAAGAAGTACTATAATATAAAACTTTTCCTTTTTAGAAAGTCTATCTGTAATTGCAAATTAAATTATTTAGATATTAAATAAATAATCTTCAAGAATTGGGTGTACCAGTACCAAATACTCTATTAATATGTGTAAGAAATAAACTGGATGTTACCAAGTATGTGGTGGTAACAGTATTTATGAGGGCGAGTGTCCCGCCTCCCTCTACTGAAGTTTGTCTATTAAATATAGTTTGTGTTAGTATTTATAAGGGCGAGTGTACCAACAGAGTGCGTAGAGCGGTACCGCGGTGGCGGTAGTGACGTCGGTACCAGCGATGCCAGCGACGTTTCGCCCGACGACGACCACCCCCAGAGCGATCATATCTCCAGGTGAGTTGCCATCGATTACTTCTCGATACTTTCTAGGGCAAAGGTCTCGTGTTGGGCTTGGACTGACTTCATTTTAGTAATAAAACTATTAAATAATATTTACAGACAGAAATAGGTGTCATTTCTTCAATCTAAACTGATCTTTATATGAGTGTGAGTAATTTTTCCTCGAATAACCGCAACTCGTGTTCATATCAGGAGTCGGTCGGGCACGGGAACCAGCTCGGTTGCGGGAGCGGGCGCAAGCGGAGCCGCGGGCGGCGGCGCTGCGTGCCGCTGGACGCTGACCGGGCGCGGCGTGCGGCTGCGGGCCGACCTGGCCAGCCCCGAGGACGTGACGCTCGACGCCGACCGCCACGTGGGCACCTCCGTGTGAGCGGCGGGCGGCGGGCCGACCTGGCCAGCCCCGAGGACGTGACGCTCGACGCCGACCGCCACGTGGGCACCTCCGTGTGAGCGGCGGGCGGCGGGCCGACCTGGCCAGCCCCGAGGACGTGACGCTCGACGCCGACCGCCACGTGGGCACCTCCGTGTGAGCGGCGGGCGGCGGGCCGACCTGGCCAGCCCCGAGGACGTGACGCTCGACGCCGACCGCCACGTGGGCACCTCCGTGTGAGCGGCGGGCGGCGGGCCGACCTGGCCAGCCCCGAGGACGTGACGCTCGACGCCGACCGCCACGTGGGCACCTCCGTGTGAGCGGCGGGCGGCGGGCCGACCTGGCCAGCCCCGAGGACGTGACGCTCGACGCCGACCGCCACGTGGGCACCTCCGTGTGAGCGGCGGGCGGCGGGCCGACCTGGCCAGCCCCGAGGACGTGACGCTCGACGCCGACCGCCACGTGGGCACCTCCGTGTGAGCGGCGGGCGGCGGGCCGACCTGGCCAGCCCCGAGGACGTGACGCTCGACGCCGACCGCCACGTGGGCACCTCCGTGTGAGCGGCGCTCACGCGTCGCCTAGCGCATACATAGCGGTAAATTGCTTGAACGCTATTTTATTACCGTGTCCATAGGCCTGCTGACTCACTCAAAAAATCTGCACATTGCTCCATCATGTTTACTTTTACAAAAATTGTAGACACTTATTTTACTCGTAAAGTTAACATTTAATCGTCAAACATCATAATAAAATTATAAAATAATATATATTTTTTAAATGTATCAAGAATAAAATATATTGTACCTTATTGAAAAAAGAGAAAAGAGAAAAACATTTTCGTCACATCATTCCAATACGTCTTCTAATTAGTATTTAATCTATAATAGAGAATTGAATGCCTATAATTTTAAATTTTATTAATTAAAACAAAGTCATGCATTTAATATAACTTAACATTGCATTTTTTTACTGATTCATCATGCCTATTGCGGACTAATAAATCATGTTCAAGTTGTTGTCGCGAACTGTAATTATGTCAAACTTCGATCAACAATACTACTACTAAATGTAAAAAGTGAGTTCTTAGTTGAAGACAAAGCAAAATGGCTGAATGGGCCGAGTCCTTTTGCCGTTCCCTGGGATGAGAAAAACCTAACAAAAAAACAGTGAGTTCTTATTTTGAAATAATCTAATTTATGTTTCCACAAATAAAACTGTACTTTATGATTTGTTATTAAGGTTTAAAATCTATATAAGTCAATATAGTTCATACATTTTATTTTGAATGGTATAAAGAGGCGATAATGTTTGAGTTTTGTTCAACGAAACACGTTACCTAGTAATATTATTGATCGAAGGTGTTCACGAATAAATAACAAAATACTCAATAATTTACAAATAGTTTGTAATGTAACATTTTCGCTGGTCGATGCTCTAGGGTTTATACACACTGCCTACTTTATGAGCCTACTGTAGCCATAAACAAATTGAAATTAGTTTTATTTGCATAAAAACTTGTGAGCCAATTGCATAATATATGATATATAATATCGTCATGTGACAAAAAATTATATAGTCTTTACATCTTGTATTTAACTAATGTGTTTTAATATATGAAATTAGTCTTTTGTCTATGGTTAATACTTGTTTATGGTTTATGTTTGGTTGTACTATTTTTTCAATAGATATTATTTAATTTTATTACTTACAATGTAAAAAGTTTTAAACTATGAAGTTCTCGGCCCTTAGGGTTGATATTCGATTGCATTCTTTAGTTCGATATAGAAACAAAATTTTAATGTTAGACGTCACAAATAGAGGCTCGATATAAGATAGCTATTACTAAGAAATAAGGTTTAAAGTCGCGTAGTAACTTTCAATTGCTAATATTAAGAGTGGTTGGAGTGGAATTGAAAAGACTCTGTTACTGTACCTCAGATCAAGTGCACTTTGTCGCAAACAACGATAGTGCTTATATATAAAGTTGTAAGGTTTATAGTCCTTCGTCTTTAATCTAAGAAATCTAAATGTTTGATAGAGCATTTAAAAAAAAATCGGTTTTCGCATTTATTTCGATCTCTTCTTATTTTTTAAATTAATGTAACAATTGTTTATTGAAGGTAATTTTTATATTAGAAAAGAAAACTGTCAGCATTTACTTATACTTACCGAAATTTTTATTTCGTGCCTTAGTTAATTTTTCCTGTATTAAAATCCAGTTTTGGGAATCGTTACACGATTTGTCACATCCTAATTTATATATTTTAATTTAATCTACTTAAAATCATGCCAGTTACAGCAAAATGTAATGATATTATTAAAATAACCATTAGTAGCCAATATTTGTTAAAATATTGACACTCCGGACATCTTTGGTTGTTCATCTTTTTCGTCTCTATATCTGTCTTGTTCGAGCTTAATTATTAATTAAAAAAAACTACTAATTCTAAAAGAATGTCTATTGGAGATTTTATGTTTTCATAAATAACCTACAAATTTGCAAGTCAACCTCATATTGGATATAATAATTATATTTAGTGTTTAAAAGTTAAATTGAATTAATCGTAGTCATATAAATTATGTTGTATATGATTGAAATGAATAGTTTCAGACCAAATAATGTCTAATACGGCTGTAGATATAGCTCTCTATTGTCACAAAGCGCTTTATTTGCTATAAGCACAATGAAATGTTAGTTGTTACGCTTCAGTATTACGCAACGTAATATACTCAACATATATCTTGTTTCGTATTGTGTGCGTTTAGTATATAATGAATTGTGCCTATATTTAGGTGTAAAATCTGTTTTTCATCACGGGACCCGTAGACGGCCAAGCTTAGATTAAGCACGCTTTTTCGGCGTTGTGAGGACGTCCCTAAAACTATCGTAGCCTCAGCGATAACGCTACCTTTATTCCATTTAAACCATATCCCAAAATCCAAAATTATCCTATACTTTTCCAAATTGCGTTTTTGGCAAATGCATCAACGTGCTTAGCCATTATTGACGAAAAAAAATTCTTGCAGTGGTTAAATATCAATGTAACGGTATAATAAAATTTGACGCTTTTAAAAGATATATTTAAATTAATGTTAATTCTATTCTATTTATTATCTATGTCTTACGTGCTTGACTTAATTTGACCGTCCACAGTGCTCTTTACTTGTATCACTCGGTACACAATGGGAATTCAAAAATACAATATAAAGATGAGATAAGAAAATATATTGCACTATTTTTTTTTTATGTAATGGTGTTGACCAAATGAGACAAGTAAGTGAAAACGGATTACAAACTTGTAGTGTGTCGATTATTACAATTAAAGCAAATAATTCGTAACGTAAACTGCCTAGATTTGAAAAGATCTCTTATTGTTACAATAACTTCCAATTTTTGTAACAATGTAAATACTTACTGGATACTTACAGTGCTGTTGGGTGGATTTTAAGTTATGCAATCAATGATTCTGCAATTCTTTACAGTGAAGAATTTATTATTGATACTTTTTTTTACTGAATATAGTTGGCGCCGTTTTGAATGAAGTTTGAAAAAAGGAATGCACATTTTAATATAGAAAAAATAATCTACACTTTGGAATCGATTTTTAAATTATTTTTATACTAAATAAACAGTCATTTAATTTTCACTACAAAACCAATTCCGTTGATATTATTCTATTATAGAATGCAGAATAGAATAATTCTTCGGAGTGTAAATAATGATAAATAAAAATAAGTGTAATAATTTTTTAATTTGATAGAGTAACTGAAATTAGGTCTTCAGATTCAGAAATAATCTAATTTCAAGTATCCAGTTAAAAAACAATTATTAACTTATTTTTTAACAAGTTTTATGTGGATGTCCAACTTATCTATGTCATTTTTTTTTTTGGATAGACGAGTCGTTAGTGCGTGATTTTTTTTCCTTTTATTTTTGCGTCTAGCTTTTATCACTTATACTAATTGATATATCATATTGTTAACATTATTTTCCCGTTTGTGTCCTCAATTATAGATTAGTGATCTTGTAGATTTAAAAATACCTCATGGTAACGGTCAGTTTTTTTATAACTATATATAGTAAGTACGTAGAGTAAGCGACACCGCTAATATGCAGTACTATTGTAGCTTGAACCATTAATAAATTTATGTTAAAAATTTACAAGTTATACCCAAGAGAAACTACATGTAATATAATGTAATATAAATTAAAATGTATTTATTGCCAACAATAACAATAAAATGTTTGCGTGTAAATTAAGTTCAATATTCTAATATATTTTGTTTTGCGCGCTCTTAACCCTATAATCTAGTGATTAGCTTTTAGACGTTCATTTGTATCTAAGCGTCCAATAGGTTGATGACTATTACATTTTTTTATTTCTAAAAACGATTCAAAAATTTAATTTCTTAAGTATATAAGTCATTGATAATTATTGCATTACTTTTAGCATGATCCTATTAGTGTGGAAAAAACAATTTTATTATTGTTAAAATATACCTATATAGCTGGTAACCCATGTAAATTACAAGACACAAGCTACCAACCATACTCACACTCCTTGAAATGAACTTTTAAAGAAAAAAACTCATTTATGTACATTTCAAATTGAACACTATAATCAATATTATTAAGTTGCAAGTTGTTCAATTTAATAAATATGCTTAGTAAATATTTAAGAAACAATGTCCGTTTGCCAGTATTTTGAAATGAAATGTTGGAATAGTTGTCAATCTAGTAGATTTATATTGAGTATGATAATAAAAATATATTGTACTGTCACTAGCACTGATATTACCGATTGGCCTACGAATATTGAAGCATTGAGCTTAAAAGCTTTTACCGAGATACATTTAGATCGAAATAGCGAATAGGCATATTGAACAAGATATCCTGTTAGAGAATTTTAGTTACCAACGTCTTTGAAATGTTGTGTATTGAATCATAAAATCACTCGCGGTCGTATAGCTTCAATAGTCTCCACAGACGCGGAAGTGGCGCCACCTACGTAATAAATTAACTGACATGGAGAATGAGTTCTCATTAATTTACATTTTAATATTGGTCTCTTCACTATTTCGATGATATCCTGATATCCATGCTCTCTCGTAGATTGTAAAGCCAAATAAAAGTGTAAATATACATAATATATTAAATATACAATTAATTATAATATATACGAAGTCTTCGCTGAATGTAGTGTTAACTATAGTGTATATATTTATAGAGCATTTTGTTTATTATGCAATATATTATATTAAAAATATTATTCGCTGTGCTCTAGGTACGGCTCTAAGTAGACACGCGTCTCTTAGACTCATAAATGTCTCAATTAGAGTCCCAAAACTCGAATTATCAATACAGTTAGGGTCCATCACAATTGCTCATGTTATTTTAATGAATCTTAGGTACCTGTATGTACACCGATTAGATCTAATCATAATCCCTTATTGTTTATTAATGTTAATGCACAACTGAATACAGCATCGAAGCATAGCAAATAAATATATAAATAGGAATATAATTATTATGTATGACGAGTTGCTTTAGAAAAAAACAATTGCACACACAATACAAATCTATATCTAACCTAGCACACGGAATGGTGTCAAAATATCTTTCTAATATTTTAGAATAGATACGATTTGCTATTAGGAATATGATTTGTAATACGCTTTAGAAAGAAATTGTGGCACGTGGTGGAATATAAAGCCAGTTTGTATCTGTTCATGGAGTCTACTCCACTCATATTAACTAAGTATAATAATATAGAGTCAACCAAAGCTGAACACAGCCAAACTACGTTACCCATGTTTCCCTGTGAATATTTTTGGCAGCTAATTATTTATCACTTCACCCAGTACCTGCAGTCAATTTGCTGATTTTAATATTTTTAATACATTTATTTATATAAAAGTCCTAGGGTCGGCAACGCGCATTGACATCTCTGGTGTTTCAGGCGTCCATAGGCTACGGTAATCATTACATCAGATGGATCGTAAGCTTGTTTGGTACCTACGTAGTATAAAAATATATAGAACCATTGAAAGTAACAAATGCAATACAAATTTTCAAATTACTCCAGTTTTCATTCATTATAATATTCCCCTCCTTTTACTCACCGTTGCCCGTACATTACGTACGCGTCCTATTTACGAAAATAGTCACGGTCCACTTATATTCGCTATTGAATATGTACACACACCTCACGCTTCCTATTGTCACTGGGATTATGCCCTAAGCATTCCCGTTCAAATTGATTGTCCTTTCACACATTCAAGACCACTATTCAAATGGTTTATCCTTAACATTCAACATGTCTCACTGGTTAAGAGTACTTTCAAGTTAACTTTTTCAAAATCAATTAATTGCTTAAAGGTGAAGTGAATAATATGAAAAAGAAATCATTGTCATCCGTCCGTCGAATATATTCGATTACAATACTGCATATTGAAAATAGTAAATGAAAGTTCATTTCTCTTAGACATTTTAGTAATTGTGAACATTTAATATTAAATAATATAACCCCTTTATGAAAAGGAATAAAGCTAAATGTGTGATAAAATTGAAACATTAATTTACAACTGATTTATGCTATAATATTGTAAGTTTCATTATGTATGTATTATAAGTAAAATTGTTTTATTTAGATATGATAACAAAGATAACGCCGTACATTGAAATGTAATTTCTGAGATTTTTTTGTAATTGAAATTACAAATGACACACGAAATGCAATATTGTGAACTTTTATTTATTAAAGAATTTAAATATATATTGCTTATTTATTTTAAACTATTCCTTTTGTCTACATCCCGCAAAAAAAATATAATAAATACAAGATAATGAAAAAAGGGTGAGTATGTAATAAAACACTGGTGTTATTGAATGGAATTTAAAATTTATTAAACCTACCTATCTATTATAATATTAATTATAATCTTCATTTCTGTTACATGTTTGGATCACATGGATTTGAAAATTATTTGTTTATAAAATACCTACTATGATATTAATAGAAAAGCTTGCATATCTGTAGCAATAAATATAAAATTAAACATAATTCATTCGATCTCCAGCGATGGTGAACGCGTAATTGGTTTCTAATACAACATTATCTATTTCTAATTTAACAATAATAATTTGAAAGAATTTGTTGAACCTACCTACCTAAAGATTAAATAATTGAAAGAAAATATAATAGTATATTAATTAAAGTAATAAAAATGATTATTATGCTTATAAGGACACGTAGAAGCTTTAAAAATTGATCCTAAATAAAATAACAAAGTTCAAATTGTAAATCGGTTACAAATTTATATAAAATAGCTAAATCATTTTTAAAAAACACAACAATACCACATCGCGCCTGTCAGGTCAATATAATTATTTATAGAAAATTAACATTTTTCCTTCAAATCATATAGTTATGTATATATTTTATTTGAACGTGACCGTCACATTGATATATGTATATATAACTTTAAATATGTTTGATATCTTAAAATCGTGAAAATATAACAGTGTACATATTTTTTATTATATTTATGAGGATTACAATGTTAGCGTCACTACTCGAATAAAATCAACATGATATTTTATGTTATTAAAAAACTATTAATCCACGATACGCTGCATAAATAATTAATTTATCAACAAAACTACACTCTCCATGTGATAAAGACTCTATATAAAAATAAATATGTCTCTAATACACCTCTAAATTTCAAACCATTAGAAATACTAGCAAGCTATACATTATATGTGCACAAAGTGAAACTGAGAGGATGCGACAGCCGGATTTCCAGCGATATTACTCGTAACTAAACCGCTGCCCCCACTCAAGATGGGGTACAATATAAAAATATTTTTCGAACATTTCATACAACCGCCCGATTCGTTTAATAAAAAATGTATCCTCTCCGTTGCACCTTGTACACCTTTAGATATATATAAAATATGCGATGGCCACACAGTACATTTTGTTTCCGACACTCCAATACATACGATACGTAATTTTGAGACTACATATATTTTTGATTTTTATTTGTGACAATTCTAATACCTATCACACACGCTTACCTACTGATTCGCCTTTTCCGATTAATATGGAAATATATATACATAAAACATGACCAGATATAAATTAAATAAAAATTGTATACGTATTCATTTCACTCTCTGTATTATATTTTTTCATCAATGCAGATTGCATGCATGTTTTTCCTTGCAATGAAAATAGTGATATAATTTAAATGTAATATTAGCATAACTTCTTTCTAGCCATGTTTTAATGTATACAATTTACATTATAAACAGCATTTATTCCCACTATTGCCTTTACAGCACAATATCATTCATTCTTGCATCCTAACAGTACAAAATGTGCCATGTCGACATAAATATTCAGAAACGGGAGTCCACGCCTCAAATTTTAGTGCGTTTAGCATTTGCCATTCTTCTCTTATAGTTTATTAAAATATACTTTATGACTTTGACATAGGATTCAGTTCACGTTTCGTTTATCACAGTCCTTGCACAGATTATAACTCAAGTACACGGCCAGGTTATATGGAGTGGCACCATACATTTAATGGGCCAGTGGACCCCGTTTAAACAACGATCTGTATTGTATAATAGTATTGATTAAAAGGCGGCTGTGGTCATATTGCTTCTGTTCACTATACATCGACGCGGCTACACACTTAAATTAATGTCCATTACAATTTGAAAACACTACTTATATCTAAGTTATTACTAAGTTTAATTTGTTATTACTATTATAATAATATACCGATACAAAACTTTTCAAGATTTTCAAAATATATATAAATATTGTTGTTATATATTTTAAAGTACTAAAATTTGAAATAAATTTATATAAAACGCGATCGTATAAGATCTAGAAATGGATTCACCATACGCAATGTTTGATGCGGCGATTGAGAATTATCTGACAATTCCCGTGACGCTGACCCAAAAGACGGTACTCGGAAAGACATAAAAAAATAAAATAATAAATATTTTCCACGCCATGGCTTATGTATTAACGTTTATAATTATCAGTGGCTACGATAAATATCAATATACATAATATATCGTCACATAAGGTGAGATCGCTACTTCCATATTTAATTGAATCCTGATAATAGGCTTGTTAATACTAATATTGGGATCACACCGGTTAATTTTGAAAATAAAGTTTACATGCGAAATTATGCAAACGTCAAAGCTCCTTTACATACTCCAGCAAGTAGTACTGTAAGTTGGAAGTAATTATAAAATGCATACCACCAATTATCCTACGAATGTTAGATTGAAAGCCTAACATTCTTGTAATTTTATTGAATTCCGTTGACCACATTTCTCCATCGTCCGGACCTCTAATTACACTCAAGGAATATTATCAAATGGTAAACTATAAAAAAAGACGTTCGAAGTAAAATTGCTATATATATTCCTTACGTGTAACTGATTAGTGATGGGATTGACTTCTTATTGCGTGGTCGAGCCGTCAGAATGTGGTTTTATAATTTAATATTCCATGATTTAGTCAGATGGTCAGTATATTCATAATTGTTTATAACTAAATGCAATAGCATTAACTCTTACCCACACCGTGTGAAATAAAAATAAGAAAGATCACTAATTAATTGGGAATGTAAACATAAAATGCTCTATGAACTAAGAGAACAACTTAACCAGTACCCTCGTTTGCATCAATAGAACTGTAATTCATACAATTCTCATAATAATAACAGTCCGACGTGACGCAGCGTCCGTCTATCTATTCATTATATTGTAGTTCATTACAGAAAATAATTCCAAAAATACAGATATCGAAATCGTGTCAGTATTCCCAAAATGGGGCGAACAATAGCAGAATTAACGCCTGTAACTTGTTTACTTACAATATTCGATATATTAACATTGGTCCTTAGGTGGCTAACTTGACGCAAACAAGAGAAATAAAAACTTGTGCATTACAACAACTGATGAATCTCACATTGCCCTAGAGTACAAACTGTCACATTAAAAATGTAAAAACATAACAAGTAACAACTTCTGATTAAATTGTTATGTGAACATATAAAACGTTTAATATTCATACAAAACTAAATCTACTGCAATTATATCACTAATGATATACCGTGGCCTTGCTTCCATCAACATCCACATAATACAATCAAACCCATTTTTACTCTCAATAGAATCGAGTCAATACAAATCTTATAAACTTTACGATAATTGCTGAAAGCATGACCACAAAGGTTATGCTCAAGATAAGATTTCATAGACGTCAAAAATGCTATATTAATTTGTAATCATACGTCGAGTGAAGCAGCGAGCCGACTGACACGTGAACCTAAATAAACAAATTAGTTAACATTAAAAGCATTCTCTTTGTCATAAACTTCTACAGTACATTTCTTATTCATGCACTAAATACACATGTTTAATTTATGAAAAATATTCAATATACATATATTTTAGTTACATTATGAAGCCTGTTGTAACAATATACAATGCAGCCTTTGGTGTTACGATTACAACAAGTTTATTAAATGGAATACTAATTCATATAGAAAAGCAGAGATAGCGTCTAAAAAATTTAATATCAGGTAATAATGTTAAGTTTTGTTACAATTAAATTTGACTACTCATACGAGTATAAAACTGTTCGCTACGATTAGGTGAGTACAAGTTTTTGGTTAGCATTATTTATTTGTAAGTACCTATGCAGGAAATCAGCAAATAGGTACGCGAATATCTATCCTATATTATTCATGTAAACGACAGTGGCAGTTAATTCGAAAATTCCTAATTCATGCTTTTTAATTTCATCCAATATATTTACCAGAATAAGTCTTGCTCTTTTCACTAAAATTAAATATCCTATAGTTATTATCGAGTTATATACCCCGTTAGACCCCATTTTACCCATATATAAAAATATCAAGGAAAGTATTTGTTTTGATCAATAAATAGCCCGAAACACCAGCGTGATTATTCGACAAACTACGACATCAGTAGAGAGCAACTACCTGATGAGCGGACGAGCGATCCGAGCGGAAAGTGCCTACTCGCTCGTTCGCCCATACCATACCACACCACACACCCGCATCCACACGACCGCACGGGACTTACACAGCACGAAGCACGACACGCAATCTAACAACTCACACGCCCCTCCCACTCGCTTTCCTTCCGCAGCGTACCCACTAATGATGCTGCTGCTGCACCGGCGTCTGACAGTAGGGGCACTCCTTGGTGGTGGCGGAGCAGCCCTCGCACAACACGTAGTGGTTGCACGGCCCGAGCGTGACGCTGCGCGGCTGCTCCTCGCAGACCATGCACTTGGTGGCCGTTTCCAAATATAGAACTTTCTCGATCTCCTCGAGGTCGGTGCGCGCCTGCACCAGTAGGTCCTTGAGCGTGTTGATGGGCAGGCCGCGCAGCTCGCGGCGGCCGGCGGCCCCGGCGACGCCGACGCCGGCCAGGGCGCCGGCGCGGGCCGACTCCAGCTCGCGCCGCAGCGTCATGGCGTGCGCGAGCGCGTCGTCCCGCTGCCGCTCGGCGAGCGCGGCCTTGCGCTGCGCCTCGTCGGTCTCGCGCTGCCACGCCTCGCAGGCCGAGCGCGCCTGCGCGATGCGCTCGTCCCAGTGCACGGCGGCGGCGCGCGTGGCCACCAGCTCCTCGCGCAGCCGCGACAGCTCGGCCGGCGCGGACGGCGACGTCGCCGCGAACTCGAACGGCGTCGCGCCCGCCGCGCCGAAGCTGCCCGCCTTGATCGCGTGCGAGTTGAACAGGCGCTCGGTGTCGTTCTGCGCGAATCTGAGGAAGGGCGTCAGCGGCGAGCCGCCGGCGGGCGGGCTGAAGCCCCGCATGGCGGTGCGCGCCTGCGGGATGTTGACGGGCGCCGACCCTCCGAGCAGACCCTCGCCGTCGGACAGGTCGCGGTCCAGCGAGGCGACGAGATTCAGCGGGTCCTCTAGGTGTAAGTCGTCGAGGGCGTTCCCGACGACCTCCTGCAGCACGGTGGCGTCGAAGGTGGAGGCGCGCGGCGTCCACACCGAGGAGTGCGGCGGCTTGTCGTGCGCGAGCGCGGGCAGCGGCTGCAGCGCCGCGCGCGGGCCCTGGCGGCCGCCGCTGGAGCCCCCGCTGGACGTGGAGGCGCACTCCGAGCCGTCGCCGCTGCCGTTGGTCTGCAGCATGCTCGCCGGCGACAGCGGCCGCACCCTCTCCAGGTTCAGAGCGTTGCCCAGCATACTTACGCTGTTGTCGTTCACCTTCTTGTCGGGCGGTAAGGCGGATGATAATAATTCAGCTAAATTGGTGCCACACTCTAGCGGAGCGGCGAGCTCACGTGCGGCACTTAAGTCTTCAGCTGCAATAATAATAAATTTGGTTAATAGTGAGATTAAGCATAGACGAAATAATTCACAAGTTATGAAATAATTATAAAATCCATAAAAAGCACAATTACACCATGCATAATTTTAAAATTTCTCAATCTTAATGAGACAAATCTATTTTTCTTAATTTTCAATACATTTATTTTTCTTTCGAAATAACTTCATCACTTAAAATTAATAAATGACTTACGTTCTACATGTGCAAAAGCACAAAATAATCCTCTAGGACAATAGCCGGCCTGCTGAACATCATTACATTTGGTTGACTTATATATCTCAGGGTGGAACTGTTGTTCAGTACGAGTATGACAATAGCCGCATCCATCTCCTGCTTCACAATTACTAGGTTCGCCCCATTCTTCTCCATGTTTTACATTGGGACACGGTGTACTACGATATTTATATTTTCTTGGTGATCTACGTTTATCCTGAAATTACATGAACATTATTAATCTTAGCGATGTTTGTTTTGAACTATCCGCTTTAATAAAAATAACTCAATATAAGGTATATACATAACTGTTATTCTAGATGGAGTAGTCAGAGGCTTTGAAAAATGCAATACTTTACATAATTGACATTTCGCTGACTATATTTGAATGCATTATGTCTTGAATTCACAAAACATTTTTGATGTCATCAATAGGCTGACATCAAACTCACTATCTTTTGATCTGAATCAGGGTGGTAAACCACTAATTGATGTTGCTTTCTTTGCATACATAAAACTTCAAACATGTAATAATTCTGTTTAATTTTTATACTTTTCACCTATTTACTAAATTTAAGAAAAAGCAACAAAACTTACTAACAAACTGTATGTAAGAAGTTTTAGTAGTACACGCAAAACGGCCCAAACGAGAGGCGAAATGATGTAATAGAGTCCAACATATAGTAAGTATTTTTATGAATAATGGAGTACACATGGTACTAAATGTTACTTACTTTACTATTGTGATATTGTGGGCAGGCATACCCTTGTCTACATAACCTAGGTGGTCTTTTACATGGTTCTGTTTTATATGATGATAATACATAATTTGTGTCTGAAAGAAAAACATGTGATTGTAAAAATAAATATACTTATATTTGCTGCCAAATCAAGTCTTCTTGCATAATGATTACATAGCTAGATAAGCCAGCAAATAATAAATTAACATATCAGTTAGTTACTTGACTTCATTGTGATATTACGATTCATGCCCATATTATACTATATACTATATTGCCCCAGATTAAACTATTCATATACGAGAAAAATCTCCCTGGAAAACAATTAACAGTTAATTTTGTGGTAAAATTGTTACTTTGTCGCAATGGGCTTATTGACTTCACCTCATACTCATCTTGATGTATACTAGTGTACCATTCCATCATCATCTCTTATAAAATCTAACTAACCCAAACATGTACTAGGAATACTAAACAAAACATTAAAAATATATTTAGTAGCTAGTTGTACCCGCGGTTAGGGGTTAAATGGTTAACCACTTGATGTGATAAGCTATATTATTGTACAGTTTCAATAAAAATCCATTCAGTAGACTTTGTATGAAAGGGTAAATCCATCCATGAATCTCAAACAATACAATTAGAGAGTGTGTGTGTGAGCGAGACATATAGAGTTAGTGAGACGATACCTTGCCACTTGGGGTCCTCATTCATGAGGTTACGCTCCTTGTCGAGGGCGTTGGGCGCGTCGTGGTCGGGCGCGTCAGGGTGGTCGAGCGCGTGCAGTTCTCTCGCGTCGAGCACGGGCGGCCGCAGGTCGGGTGCGCCGTGCGCGAACGCGCAATGTGCGCCGTTCTTGGCGCACTGCCCTCGGGCATCTGTATCGTGCACGCACATGCACGTCTTGTAATAGCGCAGGTGGTAGCGCCGCTCCGTGTCGCCAGCAGTGCGGTGCAGGTACGGACACCTGTCGAACACGATCTACTTTACCCACTGTTACCATAAACGTACGTCCTCTGTGATAGAGAGGTGACCTTGATAAGATTGATCGTCATTTCAAAATGAGTCGTATTCTAGAGTTGCCAACCATTTTGTTTTCCCATGGAATGTCCTAATTTTTTGTAAGTCTCATGAGACGTTCTGATTAGTTTTTAGCAGCGTCTTGGATTTTAAAATATTAAAATACAATTTTATACATTAACATTTAAAAAATACTTTTATTAAAAAATAAGATTGTTTTAACTATATGAATTTGATTTCACCTATTTTCTCTACATATTGATTTAACTATTGCAACTCTATAAATACGTCTTTTAAATTTGGGGTGGCAACCCTACCATATTAATAAGATGCGAAATTCTTACCTTGCCGTAACACAATTTTTCAAGGAGTGCTATAGCAAGTGAATGTAATGATTTTTTTTAACTGTATACCCTCCATAAATTTTATTTTCCCCTTTTACGTAACATATATAATGTTGTTTATAATATTTTAAACAAAATTAACATTTTGTTTAAAATAATTATGTGATGGTAATAAATAACACATCTATATTTGTTTTAAATGTTTTATAAAAGCATAGGTAGACCTACAGAACATATTGAATAATAGATTTATCTTACATTGAATTTCCTGCTATGTAAATAATATTAATTATACAATTTTATTCATAACACTGTATAATGGTACATACTATTATCACAGAGTATTATATGAGAGAATATAATTACAACTTGCTTCATAAATGAAATGAAATGAAAATTCTTCATTGTTCTCCTCACAGAAAAAAAAACACCTACATAACCTATTAAATTATATACAAGTAAAAATATATAAATATGTATAAACATACAACAATGAGCAAGAGAAAGAAGCAACTAGGAGCGGCCGTGCAGCTGAAAAACAATTTTGTAGTCCTTATCGCTAAAAAGTTATTTCTTCCAGGCAACCTTAGAATGGACAGGAGCAATTAGACTACACTTTGGTCGAGGTATAACAATAATAAAGAATATAGTGAGACATGATGTTAACTAAATATACAAATTACATATTAAATCTCATGCCTGTAAATTCTACCAATTGAAAATAATATTTATTAATTTAGTAGGATCAATAAATAAATAAATAAAAAATTGTTTAGAGCTTTGATTAATCATTATATATGATTAACATGGTAAATATCCTATTATATAATGTGTTTGATAAAAGATAAGTATTATCTAAATAATTAATATTATGTCAACAGTGCATTGATCTGTTAACATAATGCCAATAATGACTAAACTTATTTTTTTACATTTATAACTTGAACTTTAAACAACATACACTTGTCAGTGCTAAAGAAGGAAATCTATACAAATAAATAAAAATGAAGAGTCCGTTTGTAATTTCAAATTAACGGGTTTTCACAAAATGCATATGTCAGTAAATAGGGTACATACATCAAAATAATAATAATGAAATTTTTTGTCTGTTTGTGAAATGGCTGAACCAATTTTAACAGAACTTTAACTCGCATATAATGTTATAGGCGCAACTGAAGGTATATTTATTTTAGAAATGTTACTTATTTTACTTAATAAATAAAAAAAAATACTGCATAGGGATGAAGTTGTGGTGGCTAATGTGAACTGACCAGCTTGACAATGAAAGGTTAAAGCCAGCTCTAAATTAGTGCTGGTTGGTAGTTTGTATTCACACATTTCGACTTGTAAAATGTGAACTTACAAGGATTGTTTAAAAGAGCAACACACAAGTTTCTTGCTTATTCTTCTTGTGATGAGACAGCTTTCCGAATAAGGGGTAGATTTAAAAAAATGTTGACTATTCAAAAGTGCTTAAATTAAGTTTATTTGAATAAATGATTTTCTATTCTATTCTATTCTAATGTTGAGAGATCCACACCCTGAAAGCTTAATACATTGTTATATATTTATGAAAGGTACAAAAATTCACATTGAGATCTCTTTTGCGAAAAATAGATAAGTGAAAAAATGCTACATGTAAAGAGCATTGTTGTTCTTTGTACAAATTAGTTTTTTTATTAATTCCATGTAACGTTTTGCATTTACTTGCTTATGCATTTAAATTGGCTATTTGTATATAATGATTGTACAGCATAAATTAATGAAGTACTTAGATTGATATGTATACAATAAATATAACATATAAAATAAATAGGTACAAAATAAATTTATTATTCACATCATAGCAAGAAAATAGTTTAATAGATTTTCATATAAACAAGAATATAGATAGCTTAAAGTGTGTTATGTTTTATCATAATTGATAGACTGGATGATGATACATAAGGGATATTTAAATAAATGAACCTAAAAATAAATTTAAAATTCTATGTCGATGGTGTGGTGGGCTGATCAACATTGCAATGATATTGCTGGGTTCAGAACATCTTTTTATATATTACTTAGTTATTATTATTATTATTTTATATATTAATTAACTATATAACAACTGGAAGAGAGGGAACATGGAAAATTAATTATTTATAAACACAGATATTTTATCTAGGATAGAATTTAGACACATGTGTCAAACTCTGTACAAAATACAAATATGAGAAAGCCAGTGGATATCTTTACCATATAATTTTAATATACCTGTATTGTAAAAAAAACAAAAATAGTGACATGATAAATGTATTTGATTCTTCTGAAATGGTTACAATCACATATCTATTCGAACTCCAGTCTGTTTTGTTATTTTTTACATGTCAACATATTATCATCAAATAGTTTTAATTTATGCAGTGTAATATTTTGTGAACAAATAATATTTTCTCTATTTGGCACAAAGCATCTTGCCAGCATTCTTTGTTCCATAGAGAAATGAGATACAGCAGGAGCAGTATTGCATGTAAAAGTGATCAGAAATGACAATGCATAAGATTCCTTACATGTTTTATAAATACATATTGTGCATTCTGTGATATGCATTGTTTTGCATCTCTAGATGGATGTTAATGGTTGGCACTATATACAGGTTTTTTAAAAAAGCAAGATCTTTATTAAAATATGTCTGTCATACAGCATAAATAAATATTACCAAGTTAATTCATACAACTGAACAAATAAATCTATTAGTCAAAGTAATAAATTAGTTCAAATAGACTTTTAAACATTCCACACAAAAGAACAATGGGACACAACATATCAGTATTATGAAAGCAAATTAAGTACAACATCACACAAGAAAATGTTACACTACAGAGGCTACATTCCGATATTGGTCGGGTTATAGTTGCTATGGTAGTAAACAAAATATTTTCCAACTAGAAATCACTAAACAAAACGAAAATAAGGTTACAAATATCACTATATACAAATACAAAACATGCCCAGATAACATTATTGCTATTTACTAATCACATTAAACATGTTACAAATAAAAGCGAAAAGAAAGTACTCACTCGTCCCCATCCTCACAAATACCCGACGTTTCATTATATTTGGTACAGTAGTTATCTGCGCTATAATTGAACGATCCATCTCTTTTTCTTACTGGTCTCCGTCTTCTCTGATTATTAAAATGCCAATGAAAACATGTGAAAGGTCTATGTTGAGTACATTTGTGTTGTAGAAATGATGGGCATTGCTCCACTCGAAATTCCTTTAGATATCTGCAACACAAGACCGCGAATCTCAGAAACTTAGTAACACATTTATCTACTTTTACACTACACTTTTCACATTTAAAATAAATTGTAAAAGAATTATTACTTATAATGATTAGGTTTTTCTGTTTGAGCTGCCAACAAAGGTTTAGATTCAGACGGCATTTTGGAAAACTATTATTGCGCCTCTTGCGTCGCGCAGGGCACGCTCACCGACAACCAATTAAAATTCAATATACGATCACGTGATACAAAATAATTTAGAAAGGTAAAAAATGTAAATACAATCTTATTAGAGAATTTTTCATAATGAACACCACATTTCAGGATTCTAGTGTCCTTGAACTTAATAATCAAGAGTCAACTCGATCGAGTCGAAAAGAAAAGAAGATTACAAAAATACATTTACTTTTTTAAATCCATTGACAGATCTGTCACGTAGTATGTTTTCTACCTATTTCATCTTCTTAAGCTGAAAATTATGTTGTAAGAATGAGATAAAAAATAGGACGTCCACTTTTTTTAATTTTTGGGACTGTGGTACTCTATATAATAACAGTTCACTATTTTTTGTAAATAAAAAGTTACTTAATGTAAAACAGATTAATTCTGGTCTAATATAATACCTATATACAAGCAATATTCGATTATTGTAATAATATATTTTTTATTTATTCAAAAAGTTAATAATAATATTAAAATTTATGCCTTTTGGCAAGTGTTTTCTGTGTTTTAGTATCTGAGTAACTTAAACATTTTATTATATATTGATATGTTCAATTAATTATAAACAGCTTGAAATAAAAAAAAACATAATGCTCCGAATTTGTTCTTTTTTAATTATAAGTCGACAGTTGATATTAATAATGGCAACTTTCATGAAAGCCGCTAACCAATAAAAATTTAGATAATTGGGATTGAATTCACCAATGATGAAGCCTACATTATTCACCAATAGCAAGCAATAACGCCGTATTGTTCGTCCAATCAGCGCTAGAGATATTGGCGTCCGTATTCGCCCGCCATTCTCCCAGTCGCCATCTTGAGCATATGATCATTGTTGTGAAGCTTGTACACAAATCGTGTTAAGAATTGAGAAATTATAATAAAATTCATTAAAAGGTGTGTGAAACCTTAAATAAAATAGCATATTTTCTTTGTATATATAAACTTTTGTTAAATCTACACTTTCATTATGCTTTTATTCTAAAGTAAAAATCGATCTTTCGCAATCGTTATTGTGGTGTTCTAAATATTAATAAATATATGCTTTCAGCAAAACATGGCTCGTACAAAGCAAACTGCTCGTAAATCAACCGGAGGAAAAGCACCTCGTAAACAGTTGGCCACAAAAGCTGCTCGTAAATCAGCACCCAGTACTGGTGGAGTTAAGAAACCTCATCGTTATCGTCCTGGTACAGTAGCTCTTCGTGAAATCCGTCGTTACCAGAAGTCAACTGAGTTGCTTATTCGTAAGCTGCCTTTCCAACGATTGGTGAGAGAAATCGCTCAAGACTTCAAAACCGACCTTCGTTTCCAGTCGGCCGCTATTGGCGCTCTGCAGGTGGGCATTCTATTTTGTAAATTTACATTTTAATTTTTTAGCGTTTATTTCTATAATAATAACTACCTACAATATTTACTATTTACAGGAAGCAAGTGAGGCATATCTGGTGGGCCTGTTCGAAGACACCAACTTGTGCGCGATCCATGCAAAACGCGTTACTATCATGCCTAAAGACATCCAACTCGCTCGGCGAATTCGTGGCGAGCGTGCCTAAGTTAGTCTTAGTGTATGTACTTTATCATAAATTATTTGTAATTCAAATATAGGCATAAATTCCATAAACATTTTTTGTATGTCTCACATTTAATAACATTTTAATCATTATTGTAAGGAGGCAGAAGAACTGATTTTTTTTTATAAATAATTTTTTTAATCTAAGTTTTATGCTATGCATTTGCATAGGATACTGTAAGTTATGTGGTAGCAGATGGTTCATAATACTTTGTTACTTGTATTTCATAGCAGTGTCCCGTGTAAGGACATAGTTTATTTCTATATTTAGTGACTCCTAGTTTAAATAATGTCTAGGTAAAGTAATTAGGGGAATGTCAGCAGCCACATGTTTTGTGAGAATTCTGTGCTTGGAGTAATTTGATGCACTCTAAATGATTGTGTAATGAAAATTGGTGTTGAATAAATATAATTAGAATTTACCACTTTGTTTTCTTTTGTACTCTACTAGAAATTTTACAATGTACCTAATGGAATATTTATCCCTAATAGGATTTAAGGATTAGTGGATTAGTTTTTGTCTAACATGACATACAACAGCTTTTTTATGTCAACAGTACTCTTAATCCTAGTTTTAAAAATATATTCATAAGTGTTTTTAAGACCTTGGATGAGAATAGTATGAATCATTTCTTATTTAGTCCTTATTACTCCATATTTTGTTATTGTGATGTAATAAATGGTTGCATATGAGTAATATATTTGCATTACTAATAAAAATAACTGAAGTACATACTGACAATTATAATATGTAATACAAATTGGTTAATCAATATAGGATGTATTACAGTGATTGTAAGTAAAAACTGATAACCCTTTGGAACACAGCCCCAAATCCATATTTTTTTCATTTGTGTCTATTATCCTTTCCTAATTAATTTCCCAAGTTTATTTTAGGATAAAATAATCTTATGTACTGCATTGTAAAAATGCCTAGTTTTTGTTATTATACAAATGTATTTTTTATGTTTACAGGGCACAAATGTTAAATGAAATAAAATAAACAACAAATAATTTATATTATTATTAACAATCTACAGTTACTGTACAACATAATACTATCTTATTCTAAGCTTTTGCCTCTATCTCATCCAATTCCTTAAGTCGTTTCTCAATGTCTTCAACACTTTTGCCATGTTCTTTATTAAATTTATATGATTGAATTAGTTGTTCTTTCTCCAGACCTTTAATCCTATCATAAAGAGTCTTGTCAAATTCTTTATCTATATCACTCTCTTCTCTTAAAACACAAAAGTATATGAGGAATACTGCAAGACTGCCCACAACACTGTATGGTTGGTACCATGGTATATTAATGTTAGTTCTTTTAAAGACAGGTGTTGCCGTTTTCCTTGCTGCAGCACTTGTTGTAAATTTCACTGGTTCATTTTCGTTTATTTCAATTTTACTAGAGAAATTTCTAACCTGCCTGTTTGGGCGGAAATATTTCCTAAAATTATAAAATCATTAATAAGTTTTATGAACATTTGAATGTTATGAAAAAAATGTGTTGTTATGGACAAACAGTATTTAGTGGCAATGCTTCAAACAAATAAACATAATGTCAACTACTACTGTAATACAATTATAAACATGTCATTGAAATAGGAATTAAGTCATAAATAAGGGTCAGGAATAAAGATATTCTGAATATTAAATTGTCAATAATTTGTAATTATACTAATATCTTTTTCAAATATATAGTAATCATACTAATTTTAACCTTTTTAATTTAATAAAAGTAGCTCATTAGCTAGCTGTAGGAAACTTTAAAATTGAGCTAGACCACTTATGTATCTGCACAATTAACATGGAGCAAACAAGTGACTCTTGGGTATTCAAGACACAGGGGTGCCAAAGAACACGTTGGAACTATGACATCAACCTGGCTCTGGGACCCCTCTGGAATAGAGCTGGAGAAGGCCAATGCCAAAAGGCACGTTGAGTATGGGACATTGTCTAAACTAAATAATGTTCCCAACCTTGGCAAAAGGCTTTATATAAGACTTCAAGTATATTAATAAAGACTTTATATTGCTACCGACAATATTAAAAGAGCAAAGTAAATTACAGACCTACTTAAAACAAAGTATTTAATATAATGTTTTGTAGTGAATAACCTTATTATTAATTTCAATTATTACCTGAAGAAATGAAAACTTCTATTCATTTCTGAATAGTTTTGAATAAAATAGAATTATACAATTTTTTATTATTTTTACTAGAACAAAACTTCAGCACAGATCAAATTGCACGAGTGAATGACAGAAAAATTTGACATTTGATAAAGTCAAATCACAGATTACCTAGACGGAATAAAATATTACTTTTTAAATTGTCTGACTCCACGACTGTGAAATTTAGCTCAAATTAGTTTAGAGCTTAATTAATTTAGATTTTTCCTGGTTTAACAAAGACCCCTATACCCTACAACTCTATCTCAAGTAATTATGTATGTTTCACAGGAATGGTATATAGTCAATGGATTTTAAATTCTTTAGATTGTTATGGTCACCAAATTTTCAAAATATGGAGGTAGTATTATCAGTATCACGAGCACTTGGATGAGAGTTAAAGGTAATAGTAATTAAATGATTTGTTTTTTTTACTTATATCAATATATTATTTCTGTAGATTATCCACCATTTCTGAAGAATATTGAAGTGCATTTTTAATTCTGTAACAAGTTAATTACATAATGTCAGATTTTTTCCATTTCAGTATACATAATTTATTCTTCAAATTAAAAGCACACACACTTATGTTGGATGCTGTTTTGCAAAGAAAAGACCGTTCTTGTAATCTTAAATAACCAAATCATACAAAACCTGAGTGAGGTCACTATAGAAGTACCTGTAAGATAGTTTCTAAACTACTAGGTGTAGCATGGCTGGGTTATTTTAATAATATTAAAATAAACTTGAATCTTATACACACTTTTTAAGCTACCACTCATTCGGAACACAATTTCAGTCAAGAAGATCAAAACTTGCGTGTTGCTCTTTTAAAAAAAATGTTACAGAAACTTCCAAATGGGAAGAATTTATAAGTGTTAAAACATATGTAGTTGATCGAGTAACAAAATAATTCAGTCGTAGGTTATATTGATCATAATCGATCATAAGGCGTGGTGTAGGCATTAAGACTGCAGTGCATTTCTTTGTATACCCACCTAACAAACTCTTCTCCTGTATCTGGTTCAGTCATTAAACTGTTACGTTCCGCCAAGGCCTTTTCTCGCCTTTCAATTGCCTTTTTCAATTTCTCTTCAGTAGTCAAGTCCTGAACTAAATTATCGGACTTTTTTGTGGGTCTCGGTGTTACATCTGTCCATGTAGGTCTTATGAGCAATGTCCAAATATCGCATTTATCCGAAGCATTTTGAACTGCATCACATAACGATGATCTATGACTCCAAACTTTGGATATACCCTGATCCTGCAACACAACAGTATTTTATCTGGTTTCAAATTGTTATATAAAAACCTGGTAAGGAGTGAAAATACCGGCAGAAACCAAGATGGAACTGACTCAGCTTAACAGACCTAACTTCTTGCTACTTACGAAAATGTCTAATATCCTATGGAATAGGTAGGTAGATATAATATTAGAAAAAGTTTGTAAATTATGAAAAATGAACTACAAAATTCCATACATAGATTAGGTAGATATATATTTTAAAATACTGTTCCTAATTCCTTTTTTATTTTATAATTTAATTAACGTAGTGTCGTTTACAGCATTGTTACTTACTACCTTCGTCCTTAGTTCTTCATATTCTTTATAGCATGCTTCCACCTGCATTGAATAAGCGTCTCTACGAGTTTTTTCTATCTCTAACTGACTTCGGAGAGAATCCGTTCTTTTGATCAGTTCTTTCTCTTCTTCTACATATTTTTCATATTGCAAATCAGCATCGCGTATTGCACGATTCAATGAAGCCACAGTGGTTTCGACTGATTTCACATACGAAAGAATATTGAATTTATTAAATAGGTATGTCTAATGGACAGTTTCGGTGGTACTATAGGTATAGGTACTGGTTAGCACTATAGAACATCGCGTTGCTCCTGATGGTCGCGGGTGAAATTTTCTTTTGTTATAATAATATAATACATTTTTCGAAATAAGTCATAAGGAATGAAATAACTTACATTCACGTTTTTCTTTCAGTTTGGCTTCTTTCTCTATTTCTTGCAGTTTTATTTTTTCAATAGTTGAACCAACTGAGTTTTCCATTTTAAATTATAATCTTGAGTAAAATTAGTTCTTTTCTCCAAAAAACTACTTATTTTTATAGAGTAGATATATGTAAATATCAGCTTTTCAGTTAGAATCGACGAGGAACTAACCATTATTTTTGAAAGGAAGTAGATTTAAAAAAGGGCGGGAAATGTAGTGAATTTTCTTTTTTTTATCTTTAGCATAACTAAGCAGATAATCACTGAGTTTATTTCGTACTGTTCATCATTAGTACTCAGAACATTTAAACGAGTAAAAAAATCAATGCTGTCCGGTAAAATATTAAGAAAAAAGTGGTTGCCCGGGCAATTTAAAAACAAACTTAATAACTATAATAGTTATTGTTGAACTGTTAAACACTTATCATATTGAGCTTTTGATTGATAGTTTATTGTACACTGGATGAATTATTTACTGAATATTTATAATGGAAAGACCGGATTCCCAAGGATTTATCAATGTAACATGGCCAAGCAAAACTGTTCCCCACGGTGGTATTTTTCATTCTCAGATTGTGGAACCATCAACTGATAAACAACAATTCTTAAAAGGTGCGCAAAAGTTTATACCAGCATTTTTTCCAGCCTATCTGAAACTGCAAGTTTTCAATAGAAGGTGGAAAGGCGTTCTCCATTTCTGCTTCATCGCTAGCGATTTCAGAGCTGTGGGTATATAGAGACTTAATTCAAATCTATTAAATATAAACCAAATTAATATTCTATATACATATGTATAAATATCAATATTAAGAAAATTTGTAAATATATAATGTTATTCTACCTGTTGGATTCAAACATATTTTGCAAATGTGGGCAAGTATTATGAACATACAATAATTGGTATGGCAAGGCAATGCTACTACAAGTACTTATGATTCATAATGCTATGTGCAGATTGAATCAGGATGTGGTTCATTTTGGCGGCGAGGAGGAATATCATGGGGTTTTTGGTGATCAGGAGTCTCACTAGACCCATCCGTCCAACCTCTGAGACGAACGGGTCTCCATGAGGGATTTTCCACACGTAAAAATAAAAGGATGTAGTTCATTTTAACAATTTAATCAACCATCTGTATGTTTTTCCTATGGATGATAATGGAATGGTACACCCGCCTGCTCTATCGGTTTACGCTGGCAGGGCATCAGTGAATGATGAGTATGTGGTCAGGACAGTTAGCCCATCATAGTAATTTCTCCATGAATTTATCACGATGGTTTTCAGGGGAACAACGTGGATGTCAACCTGATATAGTACATTGCTAGCAATGGGGTCCACATCAACATCACATCCACCAATCAACCATACATTTAATTTTGTTTGTTATTATCACCAGTACTTTTGGAAGAATCTAAGCTCACCATTGCTCAGCGACGTAGCGCGTATACTCTGAGACGAGATGACCAGAAACCAGATCATCAGATTTACACTGGACCACAAATGTCAACAGTGCGGCCGCGCACCTCCCGCCGACGTTCATTATCTGCTATCAGGGAATCTGGAGTTTTTGAAATTGAGCCGTAAATCTGCTTATGTATCAAATATCTAAACCTACTTATACATAAAATATCATTATTCATATAGCTCTATTACATACTCTTTATGATATGTCAAATCCACCGTCAGATCGGAGTGCTTCCAGCTAAGAACAACTGACAAGAAACTCTCCTCTTAGACTTTTCAAATGACCTAGAACATGTTCACAAAAGTTCAAAATTAATTAGGGAGAATAGAGTCACCACCATCATATGCTATTGCAATTTTGTCAAAAAAAGCAAAAAATATTTGTAGATACGGTTTCGGTGGTCTAGCAGTTTAGCACTCGCTTTACTTCCGATGGTCGCGGATTCGATTCCTCGCAAGATAAAACATTTGTATTCATGAGTATGACTGTTTCTATCGATCTGGGAGTTTGTATGTATATTATGTAGTATTTATATCAGTTGTCTAGTACCCATAATACAAGCTCTACTTACCTTGGGACCAGATGGCGTTGTCCAAGGATATTACTAGTGTTATTATTTGTAACTTTTTATTAGGTTTTATTATTATTCAAATTTAAAACAAAAGGGTGAAATATAAAATTACACAATAAAAAATAATAAGAATATATTTTATATTCAGATATTGTCCATTAAAACGAGGCGAAGATCGGGAGAAATTGAAGCAGAATTTGGCGAATTTCATGGAACACGGTGACATTCCGCAAAAAGTGACTTCACCACCTCGATCTGTAAAAGCCATTCGCAAATTACCCACCAATAAAGAAAAATGGAATGATCGTAAGATTTTCTTTTCTTTCTGTCAATCTTAGTACTTAGTTATGATACGGAGCATATCATAACAGTACTATAGGAGGGAATAGAATTGTTAGTAATGTGGATTCCATAGCTAGTAACATACCAATCAGGTCCACGTGATTCCTCTGGAAACCATCGTGATAAATTCCTAGTGAATTTGTCACGATGGGCTAACTGACCTGTCCTCATGTTCATCTTAACATCCTCCTCTGGTGCTCCGTCAGCGTATACCGTTAGCGCAGACGGGTGCAACATGCCATTATCATCCATCAAAAAAGATTATAACAGTGCTATATTATAGAAAATATATGGTACCACAACACATTGTAGTAGGATATATAATGTATATAAATATGTTAGCTGACTAACTTCGGTCTTATATTTATGTTATATAGCCTTTCCTCAATAAATGGGCTACCCAATTATAAAATATTATTTAATTTCAAGCCCATAGTTCCTAAGATTAGCTCGTTCAAATTCTTCCACTATAATAAGTATACATTAAAATTATTAGTAAGGGGCTTAAAAGACAATAAGAAAATTAAGCATTCCAAAACATGACCCCAAAAAGTGTACTCGTAAATAGAGATGAATGGTAAATTATTATTACAGGTATTTACGATATTATTTCTTCTCATTATTCAATATTTCTAACAGTTGTAACTCAAATTCGGGAGCGGGCCGAGTGGCTTGCTGAAATGGAATATCTTGGTGAGGCGGGACAGCACCGGGATATTATAAAGGATCAGATAGCAGAAAGAATGCGAGCATTGGATGCGCTGGGCTTAGATGAGTACAACACAAACAGATCTACTGACTCCGGATTCAGTACAGTGAGAAGTACAGAGAATAACCAAATGAGTGTTAGAAGTAATGGCAGTGTGGCTAAATCTGGTAAGTGCAACAAATCTGAGATATATATAGCTGTCCGGGCAAACGTTGTTTTGCCTTAAAATAAAAAAAAAATTTAGGGGTGGACTACCCCTAACATTTAGGGGGATGAAAAATAGATGTTGGCCGATTCTCAGACCTACTCAATACGCTCACAAAATTTCATGAGAATCGGTCAAGCCGTTTCGGAGGAGTATGGGAACGAAAACTGTGACAAGAGAATTTTATATATAAGATGTAATTGGACGAAACAAGCCGACATCTTAGCATTAAGTGATAAAAATCGCCCATATATACATGCGCTGCATCACAGACATAACGTCATAGTGTAACTGATGTAGCACCATTCATAGGTTACCATTCCAGAGGACTAAAATGTCATGCCTCATACCCTGGAATAGTAATTGTGATAATACATCAGAAGAAAGCTTTAAGAACAGCATGTGCTGATTCTATTCAGTTCCTATTACTTAATCATCACTAGCTGAATAAAATATAAGATATTAAAAGCTACTAAAGAAATTAAACACATTGACATTTATCTATTATTACAAGATATTTATAATTTTAGTTTAAATTTGTTTTCATTTATAGTGTCCTCGACACCTTCTACTAAGATGCAAAGGAAACTCGCACAGAAGTCTGCAATAAGGCATAAAATTATTGAAGAAAATGTTTCATCTTACAGACAATTATCTCCACTACAGTATTCAGCAAGACGTCGTGTTTAAGATGTGGTTTATAGAAAATATTTTGCTAATATGTTACCTTATGTTGGATATTTAAAAAGAAAAAATTACCTTTTGAAAACATACAACTCTGGAACCAGTTGCAATATGTATTGATGCACTTTTGGCACACTGCATTGTGAGTTATAATAGTAAATTGGCATCAACATATTCTGTAGTAAACGAAAGGACTTTAATGTGGAATTATATAATCATATTAAATTCTGTGTCCACTAATTTCTTATTTTATTCATCATCTGATTCTATAATCATTATTTTAGACTTTTTCGTTTTTGAATCACTGCTGGTTTCTTTTGATTTCCTTTTTTTTACAATTTTGTCTTCATTATCAGGTACTATTATTGTTGTTGTGTTATAATCTTTAGGGGCGGGTGAACTCAATTCAAAAGTTGAATATTTTCTCACTGGCATGAGTAATACAAAATTAGTATCTTGTACTAGGTCCATATTAGGTCCTTTTTTTATGTAACTTATAGTAGAATATGCAGTGTAGTGAAAATCTTCAACTAGATAACTTTCAACTAACAGATAAGCTATCACATCTTCACCTATAACTCTTGAAAAATTTGGTTCTTTGCCCTTATGCCTCAAATTTACACTACCTTTTAGAAACCATGCATCCAGTAATTTTTGTGCTGTTAGCTTAGTGTCTAATTTTTCTGCATTGTCTATGATACTAGCTATTGTTTTACAATGTGTTTCAAGACTTATTTCTTTGATATTATTGTTAGGGTGACTACACACATCACACATTTCATTGCAATCAGCATTACCCCAGTCCTCATCGAAATGCTCAGCTATCAACTGCCTTCTACACAATACACCATTAAGGCAGTACTTAATCATGCCATACAAGTGCTCTAAACTGCCAACAGAAGAGAAAACCATGGTGCTTACTTTGAAGATATCTTGCATGCGATACAATGTCACACATTCAGCTCTGAGACCGTCCCGTCCGGCTCTACCACTTTCCTGGTAATAGTTCTCCATAGATTTACTTATTGTATGATGTATGACAAACCTAACATCAGGTTTATCTATACCCATGCCAAATGCAACTGTTGCCACAATAGCCTGATAATGCTTGTCATGCCACTTAATGTGGACACTTGATCTAGTTGCAGGTTCCATGTTTGCATGATAGCTACCAACCTTCAGACCTCTTTTGCGTAATCCATCAGCAATATCTTCAGAGTCTTTAATACTGTGTGTATAAATTATACCACTTTCCCCTTTGTATCTGTACTTCAAAAGTTTCTCTAAAATGGTCAAACAGTTATCCTGTGATGATGGTTTTTCTAATATTTTATAATATAAATTAGGTCGATTAAAAGTAGATTTTATTACTAAGCAGCCTGGAATATTTAGAATTTTTTGAACATCATTCAATACATGTGCAGTAGCTGTGGCAGTCAGTCCTAGAATAGGCACATTAGGAAACATATTGGATAATATACCGAGATATTTATAATCCGGTCTAAAGTCATGTCCCCACTGTGAACAACAGTGTACCTCATCTATGGCAATCCTCTGCAACCTACCATCAGCATAACATTTTTGTAAGTTGGACATGAATCTCTTGCTTTTAGCCAGTCTCTCTGGGGTCACATAAAGCAATTGAATAGGGGCATTTTTGTCTTTTAACATATTTAGAGCTAATGAAGTGTCTTCTTTTGAACTTGTACTAGTCATAAGTTTTGCGGGGATGTTCTTATTAGTGAGAGACCTTACTTGATCCTCCATCAATGAAACCAAGGGTGAAATGACAACCGTGATGCCGGGCTTGACCAAAGCCGGTAGCTGATAGCACAAACTTTTGCCAGCACCAGTAGGCATCACGACAATAGCATGTTGACCAGATAAAGTTGAATTTATTGCACTTAATTGTTTGGGCCGAAATGATTTTATAGCAAACACTTCTTGTAAGATTGTTTTCACTTTATCTGACCATTCGTATTGTGTTCCAGCCCAATCTACGCTCGCTAAACTATCTGATTTTACTTTGTTTATAGCGTTTTTCAACTTAGTTTTTTTCTCATGTAGTTCTCGTTGCTTGTTTCTCCATTTAGCTATTTCGGCTTCTACTTTGACCAATTCTTTGTCAACATTTTTTATTTCTCTTTCTAATTCTTCAACAGAGTTCATTATTATACAGGAGCTTTATTTAATAAATTAATTACGAGTTATAACTTATAACATACTTAACATAGTGTGATAGTTTTGATTTAACCGTCAATGTCAAATTCTAGACTAACTGACGTTGACATTATTGACTTGACATTGATAATAAACTATATGTTTTTTTATACTACGATGGTGGCAAACAAGCATACGGCTATCCTATACAATAGTCGTTAAAAAAATCATCAACACTATATAAATAAATAGAGAAAAGATAATAATAATAATACCATTATTCCAAATCGAAGATGCCAATAGTTCTTAGGTTAAGTGTAAATATTGCGTTAATAAATACGTCTCCGTCCGTAAATGTTCAGTTTAAAATATTTAGCACCAGTCCTAAAGGGCTAAAATCCGGTTCACGGGGATTGTTGCCCCAGAGTTGATACAGATCATATTGCAACTGCGCCCTTCTTGAGGGGCGTAAAGAACTTATGACTGTTTGTCCTAACTAAAATTATTAAAAAATAACTATGTCATGCACAATAGAATATAACATGCAGAATGTTATTGTATGTGCTTGAATTATTTTTAAAACACAATTATGTTTAATATAGTATTTAGGTATGATTTTTGTCTTAATAAAATTAATCTTTCTTCTTCAAACGATTAAAGTTTATATGCAACGATTACTTACTCAATTATATATATCTATATAATTGAGTAAGTATGCATTGCTAATTGAACTAGTAAAATTATTCTCCGATACACATGAATGTAAACAATTTGTAGATTGATAAGTAGGTAGTAGCAAGTATAAGTAGGTAGGCCGCAAAGTGTTTGATTACGTTATCCAATTTGTACCAATAAACAAGGAGGAAGTGGTAATGACGACTGTGGGTCACACAGTCGCCACTACTGACTGTCTCGACAAGTAATCATGCAAGTTATAGTCTTGCTTTTCATGCAATCGTGAGTATGTTGACATTACCTTGTGAATTAACTGATATGGTGAAAATTATTGTATCTGTCTGTGTATTTTTTAACTACTAGTAAATATTGAATATGTGAAATTAAGCTCAAAATATTTTGTTTTATTGTTTATGTTTTTCTGTATCTGATCTTAGAATGTGCTTAACAGAATTGAATGCGGTATTCACTAAAGTGATGTAGTGACGTTTTAGTAACACATAGCGTTTGTCTTATTCTAATTATTCCGCAAATTAAAAAGTTCAAAGTTATAGTTATTCCGAATAATACCCGTACGAAGTCGCGGGAACTACTTGTCTATAATAAATCGGATAGGATACCACTTTCTCGCACTCTCGTCTTGTCCGTGTTCCGTAACATATACCTCATAAAATATCTTTTGTTTTAATCGATTTATATATCATAACATAGTATAAAACAAAGTCGTTGTTGCTGTCTGCCCGTCCCTATGTATGCTTAAATCTTTAAAACTACGCAACGGATTTTAAAGCGGTTTTTTAATAGATAGAGTGATTCAAGAGGAAGGTACATGTACACCCGGGCGAAGCCGGGGCGAGTAGCTAGTATAATATATGTAAGAAAGTGGTATACGAAATAATATGGTGACTTAAACATTGATGATAGTCATTCTCATTGTCAGTGGTCTCGTGTGGTGCAGTGGAGAAATAGCAGCATTAATTCTAGCAAGAGGTGGATCTAAAGGTGTTAGATTAAAGAATCTGCAAACTGTGGGTGGTACAACTTTACTTAGACGGGCCATAAACACAGCACTGAAAGCAGGAATCAATGATGTTACAGTCTCTACAGACCATCCTGTTATAGCTTTGGAGGCAATAAAAAGTAAGTTATTGTTTCTTAAACAGTTATACTTCTATATTATTTTCAGTAATTAAATAGTCTTCAATCATTAAATTTAGCAACATAGATAAATGATGTCATGGAGAAGTTTTACTACCCTAACTTACACCTAAAACATAGTGGGTTCAAATATGTCCGATAGAAAAAAAATAGGATACCTATTTTTTTTAATTTAATTGATATTTATATATCAATTAAATTAATATCGTTGTTTTATTATATATATAAGAAAACAACGACGACAAACATTGAAATAATCTGTAAGGCATCTGTAGGCTTGCCCTTTTACAATACCTTTGGCTACCTCATCCTGGGTAAGTCGTGACGGTACGTCATTATAATTAGCAGTATAAGTAAACACTTACTTAACTGCTTGTTAAAAAGATGAGCTTCCTTAGTCAGATCCGCTAACTATTATGTTACTCGCCATTTTCAGTATCAAACATGTTACCTTCGTTACGCTTACGATTATCCTTTAAAGTGTTCTCAGTAGTGTTGATTTTTGTAGGCCAAAGATGTGTGACATCTTAGTTTAAAATATAGTTGCTATAAATAATAGCTACTGGACCCGTTACCATAACCATAGTTGCTTAGAACTTTGCACTTTAAACTATACTTGGTCTTGCAGGTGGGGCATCGTTATTTCATCGCAGTAGAATAACAGCTACTGACGGGGCGCCATCAATTTGGGGTGCTTCCGAATTTTTAGCTGCAAAACCACACGTAACAGTTTTAGTTTTAATTCAAGCCACATCACCTTTCACCCAAGCATCACAAGTTCAGCATGCTGTAAAGAAATTAAATTCTCCTAAAGCATACGATTGTGTTTTTTCAGTTGTAAAGTAGGTATTTCAATAGGACACAATACTTTTATATCTTGATATTTTAAGATTTAAAATTAATACAATTGTTTGCTTTAACCGTATTTCACATAATTATGTACATTAAGAAAAATATTGATACTACTTGTACATCGAATTACTATATTAACATAGAGGTTGAGACTGTACTAAATTAAGCTCAGTGTATATTGGAAAATATAACATAATAATAAACCATATTAAATATGTGTGAATAACTTACAGAAGCTTTAAATTGCGATGGCGTTATGACAACAGCGATTATGTTACTGCTCTAAATTTTCAAATTGAAGCACGCCCGAGAAGGCAAGATTGGAATGGAGAACTAGTAGAAACCGGTGCTTTTTATATAACTAGGCGATTCTTAATAGAAAAGGGTAGCTTTCAAAATAATAAGTAAGTATAAATGAAAAGGAGTCGAGAATATCTTAAACATTATGAAATGTATAACATAACGAGAATATAACATGTGTTGCAATAAGGGATTGAATTTAATTGTAATCTCGAATTTACATGTAACAGATAATTTGCTATTACTTAAAACGTCTACTGCATGTATATAAATTTTAGATTTAGCTAAAATCTAAGGTTTCTACTGTACATGCACAGTTTTAGTTACACTGTCCTTCGTCACAGAAAAGCTGAGACGTTCATCATTATTACTGGCTGTGTCCTACATAAAAATGTACTCTATGCTGTAGTCTCTGAAATCTCTGCTGTGTACAGCGCAGAGTAATTAATTTATTTCAAGTCTGTGATTTAATTGTACTTTTGTGTTGTCTGTTTATTTTATTATTTTTATTTTATTTATATTATTTTAATTTAGCATAAAATCTATCGATATTAAACAACAATCTCATTATTTGTCTTTACATTATAGTTGTACAGTTTTGGAGACATCATATAGGCACAGTATAGAAGTGGATTCATATTATGATCTTCAAGTTGCTGACGTCCTATTTAATTCCAACTTAGTTTAAAAACAAGGTAACTTTATTACAATTTTTTTTATATAGGCACATAAATAGTTAATATTTATTTCATGTAAAATTACAAATGTTGTTCATTTATTTTGTAGTACATGTGCCTACTAGGAAACTTAGTAGGTACATGTGGTGAAAGCTAATGTTATGATTTCATTTATCCATCGGACCATCAGTTGTAACACATAGTTACTACACTTAGATGTGTTTAACACTAAAGGAAAGATAAGATCTGGACTTACACAATTTTTTTTTCTTTTCTATTAGTAAATATGTTTTTTGACATAATTACATATTTTCAATTTATTGAAACGTTTTATACTAAACACCTTATATAAAAGTTGTATCAATAAATGCTATACCTATTGCTTTCAAATTCTCTTTAAGGGAAATTAAATAAGGGTGTTGTAATAATTCAAACTAATGACACCATGCTATGTACTATGTCAGGTTGTAGTCCACATAGCTCCCTTCATTGTGTAGATTTCTGGTGAATTTGCCACAACAGCCTAAAATCCATCAATTATCTTCCATAAAATGCATATTAAATTTTTTTTTGTTATAGGGTCTTATGTGATTTAACTCATAAGTATAGTAGATTTTAATATAATGTAACTATATTTAGGGGTTAATCCTCTTGTCACACAATATCACTCACCCTCCCCAACCCCCATGTGTGACGCATTTTATGGAGGATAATATCCATTACAGAAAAACAAAATTTAATTGTTACCCCTTTATAATCCTATTAATATTATAAATGCGAAAGTTTGTAAGTATGGATGTTTGTTACTCTTTTAAGTAAAAACTACTGAATGGATTTTGATGAAACTTTATAGTAATATATATATTACAAATAGAAATAAAGAAATTAATAAATATATATAAAAATATACTATCTGTGTTTTGTTAGTTTCACTATTCTGTGTTAATTGCTGTAAATTTCAAAAAAATTTATAGCCTATATATTTTTATATATAGGCTATATTTAAGTATAATTTGTAAATATATGTAATTAAGTTTTGATTGATGTAATGTCTGATAAACAACTATATGATGAATAATGTTCTTCTTTATTTATGGCAACCTTACATAAATATAATTACATAAGTTCTATCATACTAATTTGTTATTTCAGTGCCAAATTACAACCATGTCGAACAATACAGATCCTCTAACATTTGAAGATTTGGAAGCAACAGATGTCATCACTGTAGAATTAGTTCCGGAAAGAAAGGGACTCATATTAAAGCATTGTGAATATTATGTCAGCTCCAGACGACATGGCACAACTGTGACGAGGCGGTTCAATGAGTTTGCCCAGTTATATGATGTCTTATATGCTAAATATCCTTATCGGTGAGTTTAATATATATTATTATAGAGAATTCAAGCTGAGTTTCTTGTGAGTTTTTCAAAACAAAAGTGTTCAGAACTGAGTACTTGTCAATCCTTCTCATCTCAAAATCATTCCAAAGTAATGGTAGAATTGACATATCATAAGAGTCTGTAATTGACCTACATGAAAGATATTTGGATTTGATTTGATTTGATATAATCTAGTGTCGTTAAAAATACTAGTGGTTGTCCAATAGTAAATAATAAGTTTGAACATTATAAAATAATGTAAATATGCTAGGTGACTCTAACTAGACATATTATTTTATTTTCATATTATTAAATTATAGCCTATATGTTATATTATATTATGCTGTATAAGCTATATTACTATAAAGTTTTATCAAAAATATTAGTAACATCATAAACATATCTATGTGTAAACAGCTGTTTCATCTGTAGATAATTCATATGGAATAAATTCTGATGTCATATGTATATTTATAATATTAAATTTTGCAGAAGGCAGTAATGTTTGTACTATATTGCAAAATTTTATGTATAATTTTTAAGTGCTATTTAGAAATGATGCCTATGTAATATATATTTTTTGTTGAGTTGATTTATAAGCAACAATAGTGTAAACTGGTATATTGATAGATCATTCAGGATGAGTATATAGAGATAAAAGGCGTTATCAGTTGCATTCTCTCGCTGCCATATGGCTAACCAGTGTAGATAGTCTTGTTGTCAAGTATGAATGACCAACAGCATTTATTATTATTAGAGTTTGGGTATTTGATAGTTAAAATTTATACAGCTAGGTTTGTATATGTAACTATCACCTTACATGTAAGTATAATTTCCATGTGGTACATAATTGGAATTAAAAAAAAAAACAACTTAAGTTTCTTGCCAACTCTTCTCAACTGTAGTAATTGATATAGAAGGTATGGAATAGGTAAAAAATGTATACATAAGTGGCGATAAACGATAATATAAATATAAATATGTGTTTAGTCAATTTGCGGTAACCAGTGAAGGCCCTAGACTATATGCATATGCATATAATCTTTTTACTCAATTTACATAGGCTAAAACTATGATATTTGTAATGTAATGAAATGGTAAAGAACCTGACAGCATTTCTAATGGTAAGCGGTAACCATTACTAATTCACATGAATAGCATTAAGAACTTCATATTATCGTATGACCTACCCGTCTGATGCCTGTAAAGATGAAGTATGAGTATCGTATGAAGCTGTTACGGCCAACAGCATTAGAGTAGTCCGAAAAAAAAGCCTGTAAAGAGTCCCGTATGAGTGATAAACTCATGTGATCATTCTGGATCACTAAGATATAAGGCCTGAAACACGACAACTGGCGTCTGAAATACTACATACTACTATTTACAAAGTCTACTTCGGTAGTAAAGTAGTAAGAGTATTTAAAAAAATATTAAATTTTCAGCGCTGTCTGCCGTTTGCCGCCAAAACGTATGGTCGTCGGAGGTGGGAGTCCGCTTTTTCTGCAACGCCGTAGAGCAGCACTGCAGCGCTGGTTAACACTAGTCGCCAGGCATCCTGTTCTTGCTCACGACGCTGACCTTCGCACTTTCCTATGCGAGACCACTGTAAGACTCGATAAACCCAAGCACGATGAGTTCATGTTGGCTGGCAGTCAAGAAGATATCCCGGTAAGTACCTACTAGTAAATTATAGAATTCGTTATATGAGTATGGACGCTATTAGCTTCATATGTATACATTACATTTGCAGTTATAGTTTTTTGTATATGATATATAGGAATTTTTAATAAATTTTGGATAGGATTGTAATAACACTGACTGGAATTACTACAACAAGGACTCTTTTTGTGTATGTATTTTTAAAAATAATATGGTAATTGCTTACTTATTTTCCAGCATAAGATACTTTGTGTAGTTATTTGAATAAATATTTACATCTGTAAATTATTTCAGAGAGATATGACAACGGAAGATATGCAGGCAGCGTTTGTATGCGAACAAGAGCAGCTACGTTTAATACAATTGGGTCTGGGGAGACTGTTTAAAATATGTGAAAAAGGTTAGTTCATAGAGTTAATTGAATACTGTAATAGATGTACCAGTACCTAATTAAAATATTATTTGAAATGTGACGTATAATGGAATATATTTGGTTTAATCACAGTGGAAAGTCGATCTGAGGCGGAGCGAGCGGACATTCGGGAATTAGGGGCAGGTTTGAACGCCCTGTCGGCGCCGGTAGCGGCCGATTCGCCGCGGTGGTCACATGTTAAGGAATCTTTGAGAGCGGCTGCCCAGTAAGTGTGATGTATTATTACTGTGTGGAATAATATGGGAATAGTGGTGACGGGAGGGGGAGTGGGAGGAACTTAAAATTTAGATTTATATAAATTGTTTTTGAAAAATAAGTAGGTAAGCAGATTAGTAGAGACGCAATAAATTTCATATGAATCGAGATACTTATAATGAATGACTACGCCTGTGTTGAAATCGAGCAGGTTAGCAACAGAGATGGGCGAAGCTCGTAACGGGATCGAGGAGGCGGAGTTCACGGAGGAGGGCGCGGGCGGGCGCGTGCAGCTGGCGCTCGAGGCGCTGGGCGCGTTCCGCGAGCTGTGCGCGCGCCTCACGCGCGGCCTGCACGCCGAGCGCGCCGCCGCCGCCGCGCACGCGCCGCACTCGCCCGCCGCGCACGCGCTGCGTCTCCGCCACGGGTACGCGCTGCGCGCCGCGCTCGAGGTACGTCCCACTGTGTCTACTGCGCGGCCTGCACGCCGAGCGCGCCGCCGCCGCCGCGCACGCGCCGCACTCGCCCGCCGCGCACGCGCTGCGTCTCCGCCACGGGTACGCGCTGCGCGCCGCGCTTCGCGCCGCGCGGCCTGCACGCCGAGCGCGCCGCCGCCGCCGCGCACGCGCCGCACTCGCCCGCCGCGCACGCGCTGCGTCTCCGCCACGGGTACGCGCTGCGCGCCGCGCTTGAGGTACGTCCCACTGTGTCTACTGCGCGGCCTGCACGCCGAGCGCGCCGCCGCAGCCGCATTATGACGCTAAAACACTTGTATCTAAGTATTTATATCAGTTTTGTAGTGCCCATAATACAAGGGGTACTTAGCTTGGAACTGGGTGTCGCTGTGTGATCAGTTAAAAACAAATATATCAGTAGACGTGTCATTAAGTATATAGATGAATATAAAAGAGTATGCGATATGTACAGGAAGCACGGGTGGGACGCGCATATGCTTTGGGCGCGCTGGAGTCACTGCCGGAGTTGTTCGGTGCGCACGGTGAAATGCGTGCACGTGCTGCCGCACTCTGGTCAGCACTCAACGCCGCGCTCGCACCGACGCCTGCGCGTGCGCACCAACCGCGCCTCTACAGGGGCCCTGTACATGGACACTCGTAAACGGTACGGCCATGGTGATACTATTTATTACAGGCAGTCCTCGTACTTACGGCATGTTAGGTTCTCGAAATACGCGACGTAAATCGAAACGACGTAAGTCGTATGAAAAAACATGTCTCGACTTGTAATAAATACAGGCAGTCCTCGTACTTACGGCATACGGCGAAATACGCGACGTAAATCGAAACGACGTAAGTCGAGACATATTTTTTCATATGTTTACATGTTAAACTCAAGGGTTAGGATCTAAACTAACCGAAAGGACTAACTAAATAAGCATGTGCGGGATAATACCCGCTCGCCGACACCGCGCCCCGCCGGCCCCACGGACATTGACCTCGCGACAAGTGAATTCTTCTATGCCGGAAATCAAAACTATTGAGGTAAGCTTGAAGATTCAGAACATTGTTCAACGTAACTTGAAATGACGTCAATCGAAACGACGTAAGTCGAGGACTGCCTGTATATTGAACCATTTTCACTGTGAAAAAAGATAAAAAGAAAACTATTTTCACCGAAACCGTAGACGTAGCTAGTAATACACTCGCGGAGGAACCTGCACGTGCGCATCAACCCCACTTCCAGGGACTTTTACATGGAGACTCTTAAACAGTATGGCCTAGATGATACAATTAATTATTTTCAACCATTTTTGAAAATTGAAAACGTAGGCGAAGCCAATAATTACATATTCTTGAATACATTGTGCCTTTTTAATGATATCTTAAGTATTAATAATAATTGGCCGAATCTGCGACGAATGTGCGCCGGAAAGCACGCATTCTCTTGACCCTTATAGTCTGTTTATTAATCCCGAAGACAAATTTGACATTAGCGATGTAGCCAGGTTTTTGCAAAAACACTAGTATATGTACGTAAATCTGTTATTGAAACGTTATGTATAATCTATAGTATAGCTTTAAAACTGTTATGTTAAAATAAAAATTTCCGATTAAACAAATCAGTATCGCAAACACAGCACTACCACGCTATAGATGGTAACATTATTTGAAAATTTGACATTTACACCTGTCAATTTAGTCTCCGGGATTAAAATATAGACTATACAAATTATTTTTATACTCTCTGTCTTTTCATTACACATTCTCCCTCTTTTAGGCGGCGTAATATAGGCGTAGACAGTAATTATATATTCTTGAATACATTATGCCTTTCTAATGACTAATAAGTATTAATAATAATTGACAATATAAAATTATTTTTAATGTTATTTTGTATATTATGACAATCGTAGAATAATAGATTTTGTTAAACTTTGTGCACACATAAATGCAAGATATCCAAAGGTGTAAATATTAATGTATTCACTAGCGCAATCTTTAATTTATAAGTGTTTATAAAATAGCATTATTGTAATTGTCAATGAAAATTAGCAAGTTTTTAGACTCATTCCAAGATAAATTGCTATAATCTCACTAAAGAACTACAACCACAAATTGTAGAGACGTATATGTAGCCATTATGTAATGTGCATAATAGTTTAATACTGAATCTCTTTTTACAATGATATTATTTTATTTTAGTTATTAAGGTTAGCTCAATATCATATCATGTTGTTTTATAGAAATAAATTATTTAGGGAATTAATATTTAATTAGTATAATTTAATAATTGTATGTGGTGTAGGATATAGTAGTCACTTTGTATGGAAAACGAAGACTTACAAAAAATGATTTATAACGTACACAACACACAATTTTTATAAAAAATTTGCAATGCGACGTACGGTGTCGCTTACATCTAGGTGCAGACTGGGAGCGCGGCGTCCGTTGGCCGGTTATATGTTCAAATCTATCATGATACCGCACGCAGAGACAAAACTTAGACAAAAAACATTAGTTTTATAATCTTGGTTGAGGCATGGAACGCGTCGCTTACAATAATAGTAAAATTACAAAGGAAACAACACTTATAAAATAATCATGATATTATTTTTTGAGGTAATCACAGCCGAGTGGAATATTCAAAATATAATCAACGTCTGGTTGACGAATGCTTTGTGAACTTAATCATTCTGCCTCTAATGTTGGTACAACTTCTCTGTCATCAGTATGGTGGTGCAACATTTAACTGCCTTGGTAGTCTAGCGTACTGCTTAACTTCTGAAGGTCGTGGGTTCGATTCCTCGCACGGTGCAAACATTTGTATTCATGAGTGAATGTTTGTATCAGTCTGGGTGTTTTCTATGTATATTATGTATGTATTTACAAAAAAAAGTATATTATGTACCTATTTATATCAGTTGTCTAGTACCCATAACACAAGCTATACTTACCGTGGGACTAGATAGCGCTGTGTTAATTGTCCAGAGCCATTTATTTATTTATTGGTAGTTATTTTATATTTTTTTTCTGTTAATCTGTATTTTGTCTGTATGAGCTGTCATTTAACGATACATCACATGTTAGTATAAAAAAAGGATATTGTCAGCCGAGTAACCCAACGGTGTGTTAGAAATATAATAATTATACTGAATTTATTTTCAAATAAATATTAGAGTATATAACACGTATCAAATACATTAATTAAGAAATGACTAGCTGTGGAAAACGAACGTAAATGTTTTATGTTTAAAGTCGACTTCTCAAAAATATTCCAGATTTTGTGTTTTACAGATCGTAATTCTCATAATCTCTGATCGATCTTATAGTAGTAGCTAAAATATATAAGTACATAAGTGTCATTACCTGACCTCTTCTATACTCTGTGATATATGCAATACTATCATAATAAATTACATATAAAATTATATTATATTTACAATTTTATATAAAACCACCATAGTGCCTATAATTGTACCTTAAGCAATACATTCCATTAGATTTAAGTAGTGTATTTTTCGAATATAGTTTTATTATACTGATGTGTTGATTTTAAAAAATGATTATTAAATAAATTTTATTACAATACACGGAAGTTTTTTTTTTTCAATATTATTTTAGTGATGTTGGTATAGTTTCTTTCCGCAGCCTACTTCCCCACCGCGAGAAGTGGGCCATCGACTAACGTGAAGTTAAACATATACTTATACTACATATGTATATGCATATTGATAAATCTAATCTTCCAAATAAAGATGGGTGACACTGCATGTTGTCAACTCACCCGGCCGGCCAGCGGTGGTTCTGGGCCATAAGGTCCTCGGTGTCACTGTTAGGCAAATTGTAACATCTCGGCTGGAGTTGTACAAAAATGGAAATTAAATAAATATTATAATATTAAAGTAAATTAAAAAAGGCACGGACGAATATGTCTGTGGAAAAATGTATTTAAATATAAAAAAAAAAAAAACTGATACTATCCTCGTTTGTTATTTTGTTATTTACGCACATTTGACTTAGAAATATCCGAGGATAATGTATCCCGGGATACGTTATAATATGATATCTACAGTACTACTACTAACTATTATGAAGATTACTGGGTGTTTTCTATGTATAAAAGTATTAAAGTATTACTATCAGTAGTCTAGTACTCATAACATAAGTTAGTACAAATAACATACCTTGGTATTGAATAGTGCTGTGTGAAATGTCCATTTATTAGGAGTTATAATTATAATAATGAAATTGCAAGAATAGATTAATAACTTAGAAAAAGAAGTCTGTTTCATTCGTAAAATTTGGGGCCCAAACGTGTCTACCCATCCTAATGGTAGAAAACCGTGATATCCGGCTCGAAGGACCACATGGGTTATGTTACTGTGGTAGACTCGATATTTAACATTAAGATTATTTATTGCTTCACTTTATGCCTTATTCTAGCGTTATAGATATCTGTATGCAATACTTTTATGCTGTGCTCACTCTAATAATAAGAACAATGAGTTAGAACTATAGAATTGAAAATAAATAGTTCTTTTCATTCTCTTATCTGTGGTTTTATTATAATGTCGTCAGCATGTGTACAATTTATGCTATTTTCTATTTCTGCCGCCAAAATTTTTACCCTTTGTGTTTCTAATTGAGGTAGTAACTGAATAGTAATATAATAGCTACAGTGTTTTGCAATTATTAAATTCATCTTTCTAGATATCTACAAAGACTTACGTTTTTTTGTTCTACAATACTACTACGTTCTAGTTATTGTAGTAGTTATGTTTATTCAAAACATTACGTAGGTACACAACTTCTATCGCAATTGTTTATATATTATCCCTTACTCCACTAGATGATCTAATTTCATTATTACACATGAAGTTTATAAAACAGTCTATTGTATTTTTGTATGATTTTTATAATCACTAATATAGTAAGTTAGTCGTTGTTAAAACTCCCGCGCAGATGGAAGTGTTAATACTATTAGTATGGTTAACTATGGCCAGTACAGAACTTCCAAACGATCTGTCCCATCTCGAGGAGTTTGTAGACCAAAAACGCTTTGGTATAAGAAAAAAATATAGACCTCTGTATCACATATCGTCACCAGTGGGTTGGCTGAACAATCCCAGCGGTTTCGTTTTCTTCAAGCAACAGTACCACATCTTCTACCAATATCACCCTTACAAAGGCGCATGGGGCTCTTTGCATTGGGGTCATGCTATTAGTGAGAATCTTGTCGATTGGGTACACTATCCACCGACGTTGATACCAAAGGATATGTATGACAAACATGGCTGTCTATCAGGATCTGCTATCGTCCACAATGGTTACCTGACCCTATTCTACACTGGTAACGTATTATCCAACAACAGAACGCATCAGACACAAAATATCGCTATCAGTTCAGACGGAATTATTTTCCAGAAATATCTGTACAATCCAGTTATCAGAAAGGCCCCGTTTAAGATCACTGGGTTTAGAAACCCCAAAGTGTGGAAGTTTCGTAACACTTGGTACATGATCTTAGGTACCGTGTATGAGCAACGTGGAGTATTGGTATTATATACGTCACCAGATATATTTAATTGGAAATTCAACACAACCTTATTACGTTCATATGGAGATATGGGCTACATGTGGGAGAACCCTGATTTCTTCGAAGTAGACGGTCAGTATGTGCTAATATTGTCTGCGCAAGGAATCCAACCGGATGTACATAGATTTAAAAATTTCTATCAAACTGGTTACGTCGTCGGAAGCTTTAACTACGGTACGTCACAATTTGAAGACGTGGAGATATCAACTGCTACTTTCAATGAACTTGATTATGGACATGATTTCTATGGGGCGCAAACTATGCAAACGTTAGATGGTAGGCGACTTTTAATCGCCTGGCTCGGTATGTGGGAGAATGACTTTGAAGAATCAAAAGCCGGATGGGCCAGTATGCTAACGATAGTCAGAGAAGTACGTATGACCTTTAACGGGCGTCTCTTAATGAGACCTATAAGTGAGCTTGCTGAATTGAGAACGGAAGTCCTCGAGAGCGCTTGGTACACTCCTGGAGAGGCGTTCCAAGCTGGAACCAAATCTTTTGAGCTGTTAGTAAACTCGACTTCAGTGTCGCATGATGCCGTGCTTATACTAGAATGGGGTAGCAGCGTGAGAGTACAAAGGTACATTATAAGATATTCATCTGAATTTGGGAGCGTAAGTGTGGATCGAGGTGGAACAAACGGCATAAGAAGAGCCGACTGGGCGCCAGTTCACCAGATATTTTGGCATATATTTGTCGATTCCAGTTCCATAGAGGTATTTTGTGGAGACGGAGAAGTAGTTTTCTCTAGTCGCATCTATCCTAAGAGGTCTATTCGAATTAGAATTGCTGGTGAAATGGAGTTACATATAACGCAGTACAAATTGAGACGCAGTGTAGGCTATGACGAAAAGTTGCGTGAATACCTGAGAAGTAACTATCTTGCTAAGTATAATAATGATAACTAATAAGTCTGGTATTTGTAAAATATAAATAAACTTACATACTATTTAATAGTTATTTTAGTTATTTTCTATTAAGATAATTATTTATCATCTAACAATAAAAAATTACACTATGGTCGTAATGATTACATTACAACCATAGTGTAATTTTTATTTGAAACTACAGTTTTTATTTAACTGGAAATGTAACCGTTTCTGTCGGTCCTCTCTTAACATCTGTTATGTTATATACAATAATAATAAACAGTATATACGGACAGACTACGGAAATCACTAACTAATTCTACTCACAAACGTATTTCAAATAATAAGACAATTCTAATCACGTAACTACGTTTTTGCATAGTGTTCCTACTTATTAAGTTTTTATTGAATAGTTACCATATTTAGATACTCAATCACGTTCTTTGTTCATTACTGAAACTTGTACATATATAGGGTACATGGGTACGTACATGCATATAATAACATCATGATGTTTCAAAGCAGATGCTATTAACCTAAATACTATATTGAATATATATTAACGTTTTCTTATTATCCACATAATTTGTTTTAAAGTATACCTACATTAGAATATTGTAATTAAGTATTTACAAAACTGGAGTGCTCCTCGCCCGCTAACTACCACTTCTCTGACAGCGTTAGATTGGTTGGAAGCAGTTGGAAGTGATGTCTTTCAAAGATAAGTCCATCCTTGCTCACTATTTTGTATAACTATATTTATTACTAGCTGTACCTGCGACTTCGTTCGCGTGGAACATAACTTTATTTTTCTAAATTAATTTTTTTTTTAAAATAAATGTAGTCTAAGTTACTCCTACTTATTACATCAGCTACCTGCCAAAAAATTGGTGTATGTATCGTATTTATATTCATATGCTTGTAGTAAAAAACGGTTATTTCAATATTACAAACAGACACTCCAATTTTATTTATAGGTATTTTTTTTGATCTCAGGACAATTCACACAGCGCCATCTAGACCCACGTTAAGCTAACTAAAGCTTGTGTTATGGGTACTAGATAACTGATACAAGTACATAGATATTTTTTTTTTTCGTAAATACATACATATTATACATGGAAAACACCCAGACCGATACAAACAATCATACTCATGAATACAAATGTTTGTGCCGTGCGAGGAATCGAACCCGCGACCATCGGATGTAAAGCGGTGTGCTAGACCGCTATACCACCGAGTCGTCAATATGTATGTATAGATGTATAGATTAAATGTTACAAGTGAAATCAAGTAATTTAATATAAAGTACATATAACATTTAAATAGGTCAGAATTACACTATTACTCTATGTTCCGAACTGGAATATCAACCTAGCCGGCCAGTCTAATGGTAAGTAACAACCGCCGCTACGGACATCACGTCATTATATAAATTTCGTGATAAACACAAATAATAGAACACTGCCTCTGTTAATGAAAATATTGATTAAAGAGAATGATTAGTTTAGAACCTTTGTTGCCATACCAGAGATCTATGGTGTCATGCCGGAGGTGTAATGGTTGGGCACAACGCTTTACATCCAATGGTCGCGGGTTTGATTTGTCGATTTTTCCATTTTTCATTGCATAAGTAGTCCTATATGAGTACATGATTTTGACTTTGAATGGCTCATCGGTCTGTCCTAACGGTATTTGGAGGATGATAGGATGTACATAAAATCAGTCCGTCGCATCGTGGCGAATTTATCAGGAATTAACCACGATGGTACCTGACATGGCATATTTCTAGCAGTGGGACCACTTGTCCTAACTAACAAACAATCCTCCCCCATGTTAATATATGTATTTTTGGTACGTACCAATCTAAGTGAGGACCTACTGCGTAGGTGTATTTCTCACGAGACACCCTATAACAGTAATTTGATGCAGTACGTTAAAAGATCCTTCTGAATAGCTATAGATACAAAGATTTTAGATTTCACAGGATTTCACCCACTCTACGCCTACCTTGAGGATATTAAAAAAAGTTATTTTCAATTTATAATCTTCTATCTTATTATTTACGCCTAAGGTATACTTTTGTTCAACATCGTTTTCAGTTGTTCTCTCTTGAGATTCTTGTGTCTACGTCAAACATCTATTATTACGTCATTGACTTTATGTCAAAGATTAAACACAAATAATAGAACATTTCAGAAGGCCATCGTAGGTAATCGCAGGAAGAAAATCTGTTAATGAAAATATTGATTAAAGAGAATGATTAGTTTAGAACTGTAAACCGTGCTGTGTATTTATTGCAAACAGAAAAATATGGGTTATCTTGTAGAACTGTTTCTTCTGCAAAATTAATAAATAACTAATGAATTATAGAGTACTTTTATTAGATTAGGGAGTAGAAAATAACAAATCATACTTAAACGGTATTGACCCTCTGTGAAATTCCATATCTACGGATATTGGGGATGTCTGTCTCATTATTTCCCCATACATTTAGTAAAATTTCACTGTATAGAATTTTAGACATAATTTGTTTGTTTTGTTACAACAGATAAGAACATACATATTGAAATAAATAGAAATATCAATTAACGTAAGAATGGTGATTTTCAATGTTGTTCTATGAGATATATGGATAAAAATTCAAGACTTCTTCAAAAATTCAAATTATGCAACAATAACAGTGAAAAATTTTTAGAACAATGTGTTTTGGAACTCAATTATTTGATAATTATATTATGATGTGGCATGGCATGGCAATGGCATGATTACATTACGAAATTGAACCTTATCAAAATCTAAAATAAATGTATGCCTTTAGGGCTACTTTTATTTTTACCTGGTATCCCAAGAAATGTCAAATCACAACGGGAAGGTGGGTGTGACAATCGCAGTCTTTCACTCTTCCTCTAATACGATTGCTACTTAAGAGACTGAGATAGCATGAAATCAAAGGCAACACATACTATCTCTTGAGTGAATAGTGTTCTGTAGTTGTGTGCAAGTCTGTGTGACAGCACGGGCCAACCTTGATTACATTATTTCCTAATTTTCCTCCTTAAAAATACTTCAAAAATATTTTACTAATGACATATATGTAGATATACTACGTATATTTTAAAATAATAGTGCCTAGTATATACGTTTTGAGTAAAATTAAAAAATCTAAAATGATTTGGCATTTGGTAGTGAGTGTTATGTGCTTTTCATTTGTAAACAGTGACGGGGCATTGAAATTTTACGAAGAGAAGGTAAGTTTTTACAACTTTTTTGACTTTATATTGACTAAACTTTTCATAGATAGCTGCAATGTAAATGTAAATTGTACTTGTAATGTTGGGGCCAGTTTTCTACTGATGGTAATAATAAAGAAAATAATTGTATTTTCGAATCCTTTTTTTTAATAATTATAATTGTTATAGTTGTTTTTTTTATATATAAGAGATGTAACATCGATATCCAGTATTCTATAGTTGTAGACTTCTTAATTTTATACTGTATTCAGCAAATAATCCACTAACTGTACGTAAATGATTTAACAGTATTTTATGTCTACAGAATATTTTATATTTATTTATTTTCCTTGCTACTAATGGCCTGTATTATAAATACCATAAAGACTAAAATAGATGTGAATTAATATTACAATACTAATATAAAATTGTCTCTAGTAATAGTAATAATAATAATACCATACATTTCATTGATGTACCAGTGATATTACTAAATTAAAAAAATAGTATTATTTTTTAACATTGAGATATTATTCAATATCTCATCTCATATTTTTGCTACCATATAGCCATTCCATATAGCAGTAAAATTACAGAACATGGGAGTGTAATAATAATATTATCAATAATTATAATAATTCTCTGGAATATGGATGGTAATAGTATATTAAAAAATTACAAAGAAACTGTGTTTTTTTATCTAAGAATTGTTGACAGAATGCATCGTTTTTTTAAATAATTAATCGAATGTAGGTAGAATACTATTGATTAATTTTGTAATATCTAGGTGCTGTTTATGTCTAATTGTGTAATCACTATATTTAAAAAACATAGTGATATAGGTAGTGAAATTTCAAGGTTTTTATGTACCATAATATAAATTAAGATTCATATATAGTCATATTTTTAATTAGAAGTCATTCTTACAGTCATCTTTACGAAGTCAACTGACGTTTACTGTGTTGTCAGTATTTGATGAAATAAAAATAGTGTTGTGACAAAGTGAATAATTGAAAAAACTCCTGAATTAATGGAATTGCCTCAATTGTTTAGTCTAGTGAATAGTTAGTGTTACGAACTGCCGATATCGGGTATTCGAATTTTAGCCGTGCTTTATACATACCAACAAGTTTTCGACAACTATGTTCCTCTAGTATCTACCTATACTGAATACAGAGTATTTGAAACATGAAGAAAAAAATTGCGAGGAAACTTTTAAGACCTATTACAATACATCATGTAGTTAAAACTATAGATGTATAAAATATAACAATATATAACATAATATAGTTAGGTAATAAAAATAAAAAACTTGGCTTATTACAAAATTTGTTTTTATTCATCATTAGATAAAAAAGTCATTGTTGCTTTTCAGTGACATTAATTATAATCTGTCGGAAAAATTGAGAATAATTTATCTTTGAAACAGTGTTTCGGTCCACGTTTCTCCAGAGACTTAAATTGTTCATTTTCTTTGTATTCTTTTAATACATTGTAGACCGAGGTCACACCAATTCCCAAAATGTCAGCTGTTTTCGAAATACATTCTTTTTTTTCGGGAGCCTCAATAGGTAATAGTGAAGCAGCTTTCTCCTCAAATACGTGTTTGTAGACGTTTTGTATCATAAGTTTTTCGGTAACGCTTAAAGCAATCCGTGGTCTCTTCTTTCTTGGAGACAAGCTTTGGCTTGACATGCTTGGTTGAGGATCCATTTCCATCCATCCATGAGAAGGATACATTGGTACGAAACAATATAGCAAATATACAATATACCTAACTATTACCACAAACACAACAGAAGGAAAAACTTATCAAAAACAATAACAAAACAGTGTGAGCGCAAAAAAAAACATTCGTGCTCTCAGACCAGAGATTAGAAGCCGAATTACGAACAAAATGGCGACCGACGCTAGCGACGTTGATCGGTGTTGGCACTAGTGGCTACTAGTGCCAACAGCGCGCTTTGTAATAAGCCGTCAAATAACTGATTGTAGTTACGTAACACTAGTAACTTATATCAGAGCACTTTCATACAATTTTATTATAAAATAGAAATAATATATTTTGTAGTTTGAAATGATTAACTATTCACACTCATTGTTCATTCATCTGACCGAGAACTGAACGCATCACTATTACTTTAAATATGGCAACATTATTTTATAACGTGACATTAGCTACTGTCAGTTAGCTTCGTCTAATTAAAAATACGACTATAGTGTAATGACTTCTCGGTGCATTTAATTGTACAGGAATTAAATGCATTGAATTACTCTATGCTGTAGTATATAAATATTTTTTTCTTACAGAATTTTCATGAAGCAAAAGAACTGACTGATAATGACATAAAATCTATAGCTAAAATGTCAAACATAGATGCTTTTAAATCTATTCTTGATGAGATCTTAATACCCCGAGTAGTGGGTACTCCAAACCATGAAAAAGTTGGCAACTACATATCAAATGAAATGAGAAACTTAGGGTGGGATGTGACAGAAAATGTCTTCCCTGACCAAACACCAGTGTTTGGTACATTGAATTTTAAGAATATCATTGCTAAATTGAACCCTGATGCAGATAGATACTTAGTGCTTGCTTGTCATTATGATAGTAAATATACAAGAGAACATGTATTTGTTGGTATGTATACTTATTTGTAAGAAATAGTTTAGTAATATTCACACTGCTTTCTTAACAGTTGGCAACACATATATGGTGGTTAGATAGTTGGCAACACACCCCTGGTGTTTCTATTGTGAAAATCATTTTACACAGCTTCTTTTTTATATAGATTATGCATTATTATCCATCCATCCATCCTTTTTTGCGTTTTATTATATTCGGTTTTTTTTTCTTGCATTGCTTGCTCCGTGACTATATGTGTTATGGCTTCCCGTAGTTTATTAATTAATTAGAAAGGTTTTATGACTTATGCTTATTCCTACGTTACATCTTTTAATTGAACAGCATTTTGTACCAGGTGCCACAGATTCGGCCGTGCCATGCGCAATGATGATAGATCTGGCTAAAGTGATGTCAGCACAACTTAACAAACTGAAGAAGTCCAATCTGAGCCTCATGTTCATATTTTTCGATGGCGAGGAGGCTTTTAGACTATGGGGTCCCAATGATTCAATCTATGGTGCTAGGCATTTGGCGAAGAAATGGCAGAGGAAACCTTACAAGGATGGTGCTAATCACCTGCAACGAATGGTAAATAGTTTTATTACAACAAATGTATCTAGGTGACTTGGTCTGCGTTACGGTTTTCCCCGTTTTTGTAACATTTTTCAGCCCAGCTCCTATTTGTCGTAGCGTGATGTTATATAGTCTTCCTTGATAAGTGGATTGTCCAATAGTAAAAGAATTTATAAAATCCAAACTCACTAAGTTTGGCTCTTAAAATATTGGTATTGGTATATATAGAGATTTATGTAAAAACTAGCTGTCCAGGCAAAAGTTGTTTTGCCTTAAAATAAAAAAAAAAATTAGGGGTGGACTACCCCTAACATTTAGGGGGATGAAAAATAGATGTTGGCCGATTCTCAGACTTACTCAATACGCTCACAAAATTTCATGAGAATCGGTCAAGCCGTTTCGGAGGAGTATGAACGAAAACTGACACGAGAATTTTATATAAGATACATCTATATAAGAAGTCAGAATTACTGAGAACTGTTATAATGCAAGATACAGACAGTTTGTAGATGAAGCATCTGAATCGACAATGATTCCCAACTTTATTATGATCAAAAATAATGTAAGAATATTGTAAACACATACGCTAATGCAATTTTACGTTGTAGAAAATGAAATGATTAGTAATTATACTATATAATGCATGTAAGAATGAAAATATAAAGTTATACGTATAAATAATGACCGCGTCAAGTTTAAAAAATTGTATTAGATGTATGTTTTGTAATGTTTTGCTCAGGACGTGCTAGTGCTGTTGGATTTGCTCGGCGCCCCGGATCCAGTGTTCTACAGCTACTTCAAAGCGACCGAGAAGTGGTACGTGCGACTGGCCAGCGCGGAGCAGAGGTTGGCGGAGTTGGACCAACTGCAGGCCTACTCGAAAGGGAAGGTGGAACAGACTTACTTCAGGCTGATGAGTTCCGGAGCATTCATAGAAGACGACCACATACCATTCCTAAAGAGAAGTAAGTAATCTAAATTACATTAAATACGTGAAACGAAAATTTTGTACCTCTTTTTATGAAAATAGCGCGGACGGAAGAGTATGAAATTTCGCACATTTATAGTTTGGATACGTGGATATAACGTAACTTTGGAGAGCATAAAATGTTTATATAATATAACCCGAATAAGCCAAAGAAAATATATTTTTCGTTCTAGCTTCAAAAATGTCAGATTGGAATGGATGAAATTTTGTAATACAAACTTTCATCCACTATTTTATTTTACTACCATGAGGGTAAAATTTTACAAACTTTGAATGTAAAATTTATTTTCATTTAATCAACAGTCTATAAAAGACATATTATACTAGATTTATTAGACATATTATTGGCCCCTTACAATTGGTAATTATAATATTTTATCAACTGGTAATGTCGTAGACAATTTTTATGATTGTTTCATTGATATTACATCATATTAGTATTTTAATTATCCAACCAGCTGAAGTCACGTTCATAATGTAACCTCTTGACATTTTGTCAATAGAAGAAATATTTTATAATTTTCTTACGTATATAATATAATATAAATTAATATGTATGTTAGTCTATAAGGTATTTATAACGGGCCTAGCTAATAAAAAAAAATATATATATTAAAAAATAAACAGGGCCGTATTGAGATATTCGGTGCTTGACGCTTAAATAGCTTAAAAATACCACCCTCATCAACTGGATGAATGGCGGTCCTCCATCCGTTTTTCTAGAAACTTTTTGCTACGCACAAATACATTGTGGAATTATCCTTCAGCAATGGTATTTCCGAACCGATACGATATCGAAATCTTCGAGATAACATATTATTTCGTCTTAAAAGGCCGGCAACATGCATGCAAAAAGGCAAGATGTTACGCTTACTATCAGGTGAGCCGCTAACTCCTTTGTCCCCTGTATAAAAATATATATTTAAAAAAAACTTGGAAAAATTTGAAAATATAATTTTTTATTAACCATTGAAGAAGGATTGAGAATATTTTAATTATGATATTTAAAAAAATTGTATGCGGTTTTATCGTGATAAACGTCAATTAAATTTTCAGCCTATGCACAGAAAACAAGATGAATTATCTAATAATAATGATAATAGTTATGCTCAGCTGGCATACATCAGCTAGTAAATAATCTAAATATATATAAATGACATAAATATTATTTTGAAGGCAATTAAATACTTTCTATATTAGGACAATACAGCAATCGCGTTACTTCAACTCAACTTCAACGGGACTGCATATGATTACGTAATAAGAAACTATACAAACACAATATTCATATTTTTTTATTTTAATATGGACTTCCCGATTTGATAATACATTATTCATACACAACTCTTTTATTATATTACAGCATATACTTTAATATGAAACAACAAAATACTAACAAAATTATTCTAGGGACTATACAATGTTAACTACAGGGCTTATTTTATATATTTTTGCATTTCTAATTCTAGATTACTATTTATTATAATTTATAATTATTATTCTTAATATTTACAACTTTTTGCTATTTTATTTTTATTACATTTTATGTTCTATTTTAACAAAGTATATTCAATGTACCTAGTAAAATAGTTTTAATTGCTATTTGATTTTTCTATTATTAGTTTGCCGTATTCACAATGTTCATGTTATGACGTATTGTATTGAAATGCGATTATTGCTATCAATTAATTTAATAACGCAACACAATATCAACATTATATGCTCTCCGGGGGACTACTTACATAGTATATTGCCTTGATGACTTGGTCATGGCCAATATACCAAATGTTACTAGCTTTTAATAGTAATTATTTCATAGACATATTATATACTACTATCTGAACCGCTCACCTTCGTTTCTATCACGCTTAGTTGACAAATTCAAATTCAAAAATATTTATTCATGTAGGACATTTTAGCTGCTTATGAACGTCAAGTTTTTACATTATAATTTTTTTCCCTGCCGTCCAGTTCGGTATATAGATCCAATTGAGAAGAACTGGCAAGAAACTCAATTGAATTACCTTTTTTTTTAAAAGCCAGTTTATTTACAATGCATAGGTATTTATATAGGTGTCTATATCTAACATTAAATGAAAATCCCTAACATGAAAACTATTAAATGTTTGTGAATCCATTAAATGTTTTTTTTTATAAAAAATATCCTATGTTCATTCTAATACCTCCAAGAACATGTGTACTGAATTTCATCATCATGAATCATGATCGGTTCAGTACCTATCGGTACCTATCCCTACTTTCACATTTATAATATTAGTTGATAAAATTTTACAGTAATATCCTTATTACTGTAAAATTTCATCAAAATCCGTTCCGTACTTTTTGCGTGAAAGTGTTTGTGGCGACATCCTTTTGGCTTATGTTTTATTCCTGAGTGTTTACATTTTTTTTCCTATTTATTTTATATTACGCTTCTTATTATTTTACATTACTGAAGAGTCAGCAAATCACACGTGACACCTCTGGTGTTTCAGGCGTCGATAGGCTACGGTAACCGTCTTGTCAATCTCTGAAATGTCTGCAACGATTTTTTCGTGACTTTCACTAGCAGATAGCATATATTATAAGGAGTAAATTTCTATATTGCTACTTTTGTTTTAGAAATTTTATTTATAGTTATAATAAAACAAAATTCGAATGAATTCGCGGGTAGCTAGTAAGAAATTTATATTTCTTTGCTATCCGCGAATTCTTAATATCGTCGATTAAATAGAAAAATGTCATTTTTCAAAATTAGAAGCTGGAATTGCCTCCTTATATAAAGTCAATTAAATTAACCGCGCCGTCTTAATCATTATCTAAATATATTTAAAATTATATATAATACTTCTGTGTAAATTTTTGTTAAAAAAATAAGTTAAATAAATTAAAAAAAACTTTAAATGCTTGACTTGTAAAAAATGTACATTTTGAATAGTGCCATTTTTCTATTTAACCGATGATATGTATAATAATATATAAATATAATCTTATGCTAGACATTTGTTCTTTTGAAAAGTTGCCTAAGATCTTATCTGTACTGTATTGATATTACGGTATCTTACAGAAAATAATGCAATAACAGTTTCTAGGACTATTGAATTTACAATGTAGATAAGTTTCAGCGCAAAATCGTTACAGTTTGAGCAATAAACTGATCTAATTTTGCGACCGAAATCGGAACTGGTATCTTAGTGAGTTAATAGTTTTGATTTCGGTCGCCAATATATTCTTATCTTCCTATGAAAAGACATTCAAAAAAGGAAGAGGTTCTGAAAAACTTATCGAAGTCCATTATTTTTTGTTTTTTTTATGTGTTTTTTATGTTTAACTTCTTCTACTTTGCACTGATTGTGATGATTCTCTCTTTATGTGACAGCCGGTGCATCTTATGTGGTCCCATATACATGGGATCAAGATCTGACTAATAGTTATTGAGTTACCTTTTTTAAAGCGATTGAAGTAATTTTTTTCGTGGCCTCAATACGATATTAGTTATGAACGGTTTGAGAATTGCAGTGACAAGGTTATTTGTACGGATCGCAATTGTTATTGTCAAACGGTCGATGGTTAAATGTAAAAATGTAGATTTTAATTTTAAGATTTATCAAATGGAAATTATTTCCATACTAACATTATAAACGGGAAAGTAACTCTGTCTGTCGGTCTGTCGAGTTATCACGACAAAACTACTGAACCGATTTAATTGAAATTTGGTACACAGATAGTCTATAGTCTGTTTTTTAATACCAGAGAGTAAATTGACAGGTGTAAATGTCAAATATTCAAATAATATTACCACCTATAGCGAGGTAATGCTGTACCTGCGATACCGATTTGTTTAATCGGAAATTTTTATATTAACATTGTAGTTTTAAAGCTTTACATAACGTTTACACAACAGATTTTCAAAATTTACGTGCATATACTAGTGTTTCAATTACTGTCATGGTATTATACAAGACATAAATATTTATATATTTGTGATTTTCCGATTATTTATACTATGAAAAATAATCGATTTTTTACACAGACGTTACACGACGTGACGATTCTCGGTATTGTAGAACTAATCAATCAATGACCAACACGGACGCGGTGAAATGGAAAATTATAATGAACACTAGCAAACCTGCGACTTCGTGCGCAAGAAATTTAACAAAAATGTTAATTAGAGAATTTTCTAAGATAAAAGTAGCCTAAGTTACTCCTTATTACATCAGCTATCTGCTAATAAAAGTCCCGTCAAAATCGCTCCAGCCATTTCAGAGACTAGCCGGAACAAACAAACAGATAGACAGACAGACAAAAATTGTAAAAAAATGTTATTTTGGTGTAAGTACCGTATTTGTATTCAATGCATGTAGTAAAAAACGGTTATTTAAAAAACACAGACACTACAAACAACAGACACAAACATACAAACACTCAACTCGACAACTTTATTTATATATATATAAATATAAAATTATTAATATGAATAGATTACATCAACATGCTGAAACTGATAACAGAAAATATGCTGCTGTATTGAGACATTTTATGCTGACGATTTTTTGTAATTGTAATAACAAACTCACTAAAAAAATACTTAAAACATTGAAGACCGTATTGAAAAATCTTATTTCTCATATGGGATCGGCATTTTTTTTATTGTTAATTATGTATACTATTTTTTAAATATGTTTTTAATGTACAATAATCTGAGGTAGACATTATTTAACCTCTAGATTTATTTCACTTAAAGTGCCCACGGGTGATCAGCTGGTCCCAACATGTAAATTTAGATACTTTCGTTGCGGAGTGACCCACCGGTGGGCATGCCGTCAAACGTGCATGGCAATAATAGTTCAGTTAGCCCATTTTATGGGGATGTTTATTTTTTTGTTGTATAATCATACAAGCTGTCCAACTCAAGTCATTTTAATTATTATCCACATATGTCACTATTAGGTAGAGATATTTTCTAAGAATAAATCCACCTTTGTACAAATTTACATACATAACTAACCGAAAGTGTTCTATATGTAATACAGTATTTCTCTGCACTACCTATGATTGACTGGAAGAAAATGTAGCATATTGTTAAGTCCGCCAAATGTACTGTACTATATTTTGTATTGTGTCCATTGAAGTTATTTTTTTATTTTAATGAAAAGATTTATACGTTGTATCTGTTTTTTCAGACGTGGACGTGTTGCACGTGATTCCGTCGCCTTTCCCTAGCGTGTGGCACACAGCACGCGACGACATCACAGCTCTCGACTTCAACACCATAGACAATCTAAACAAGATCGTACGCGTGTTTGTCTCTGAATATTTACATCTACAACCCTAGCGGCGCTCGAGGTTCCAATGGCACCTCGACACTGTACTAATAACTTGAAAATGTTACAAATACGACGGTATGGGCCAATAATTAAAACAAGACGGTTGCACACGAATAGGTAAATAAGTTTTACAATTATACACTATTAATAAAGTTAAATACATTTATACAGGAAGATGGAATTAACCAATTCGTCACGCTGTATAAGCCGCAGTAATTGAATGAGCTTAGTCGGTTAATAGTTCAGAAAATGTATTGATTGCAATCTAGTTTTAATTACATGATATTTAAAAGTATAATCGAACGAAACCGAACCAACGATGAAATAAATGGTACTAAGAAACTTAAATAAATTAAAAAATAAAAACAAGATGGCGCAGTGTCAATACTGTGATAATTGAAAATAAAAAAAAATAAAAGACAATTAGAATTTTAGATAATATTACATACATTCCTATCTATTTACATATATATACATATTGTTTTATTAGTGGGGATCAACCCTAGATTAGATTAGATATTATAGCATTGGTATAATATATTAGTAAAATTCTTTATTATAGTTGTTTGTATTAAATGCGTATGTCAAAGTCTAAATTATTTAAACGTATAGGAAACTTTTAGCTACTTATTTATGTATGTTTTGTATAACTATACCTTACGACCAGTTCAGCAAGCCACTTCAGAAGAGAAAAGAACTGGCAAGAAGCTAAGTGGTTCAATTTTTATGCTATTTGCTTCAACAGTCTTAATAGAGTATATGTCAAACACCTATCTTAAGATATGTAATGATATATCTTAAGATATTCGATAATGTTTTGTACGTGTGTTTCTCACGTAACTCTTAGGCTCTTACACCCGATTACACCGTGCTTCAAATAAAATATAGTGTTCATAGTCATGGTTATGTTGCATTTCTTGGTCACTTAAGCAGTTTTGAAAACATATTATAGTAGTACTAGCAGACCCGGCCACACGTTGCTGTAGCTAAGCTTCTTGAAAAAAATTTATATTATTGCGACTATAAATTGAAATGTAAGCTATCCTAGCTTTCAAATTGAATCAAATTGCACACAATGTGCAATCGGTTCAATAGTTTAGGAGTCCATAGCGGACAAACAACGTGACACTTAATCTTATATATAAAATTCTCGTGTCACAGTTTTCGTTCCCATACTCCTCCGAAACGGCTTGACCGATTCTCATGAAATTTTGTGAGCGTATTAAGTACGTATGAGAATCGGCCAACATCTATTTTTCATCGCCCTAAATGTTAGGGGTAGTCAACCCCAAATTTTTTTGGTTTATTTTTTAGACAAAATTTTTAGTTTCTATTTTTTTATGATACAACATACAAAAATACATACAATCCTAAATTTTCACCCTTCTATCATCAACCCCTATTTTTTTATAGCGTTATTAATTTATATAGCAAAACAACGTTTGCCGGGACAGCTAGTTTTAAAATATAAAGATAATAGTCACTATAAGCAGTGGCGGCCTTAGTCATTACGAGTCTCCGGGCACGTCTTTGCGAGGCACTTTACCAAGTGCCTTGTTGTTTAAAATTTGCTTGGGTTGTTACGCGAGGCCCCGGGTGACAGCCCTGTTCGCCACCCCCTAAGGCCGCCACTGATTATAAGGTGCTACCGACTCATACACTTACATTTTTAGTGGGTATTCTAGTTCGAATTTTGTTAAGGCGACATTTATTTCATAATAACAATGATAATAACATTTTATTGATTGTCTAGTTGTTTAGGACACTTTACAGCTTCTTTTCAATGGTAGCCGGTTCGATCCCTACATATTACAAATGTTTCTATTCATATCTGTTTGTATTGCTATAGGTGTTTTCTGTGTATTTACAAAAAAAAAAAGTACGTATATAAGTAGTCTATTAGTCCTGCTTCATTTTGGAATTAGATAACGCAAATTATAAAACATAATAATAACGTAAAATGGTTCCTACAATATCAATATTAACGCCTGTAATAAAACAAATATATTTCTACAGATTAAAAAACATATTGTCTTTAGTTACTTTGTTTTTTTTTGCTTTTTTATGATCTTGTCAACATATGTCACTAGTTTTATATAAATAATTTGTATATAGTATTTTTTTTGTTATTAGTAAAAATTATATTTTTTTAATTGTATAGGTGCATTATGTATATTAAATGTTGAATTGTACTTAAATGTATTGAACTTACGAGCAATGTACCTAATAGGTAACTGTGTTTTTTTAATATTAATTTCACTTTTTAGTACTTTGAGTGTTCGTAGTAGGCGCTTTTGATGTATTTTTATTCATTGAATAACTAATGAAATGACCATCTCATATTTGACACTCAAATTAGTGGTAAGCCTATATATAGGTAATTATACTTTTCGTTTTTTTTATTCATGTAAAGACAGCAATTGACTATTACCATTGTCATATAAACTTAAAATTAAAACAGTTGGCAATTAAAAAAGTACGTTAAAAATAATATAAGTAGCGTGAAAAATCATGTACTATTTATTTACTTATACATTATAATAATAATATGCATTTATGAAGTATAACATAAAAAAGTATTACTTATTTATTATATTTATCTGATTGTACTTACAAATTATATTTTTACAATAATGTTTGTTACAATCTAATGCAGAATTTTAAGCATGCTATTTTGAGTGCTGCTTTCCATTTGTGTATCTTTCGTATAGTTTAATAGTGATTATTATTATATATATATATAAAATGACAGCGCAATCTGTGTGTAAAGATTTTTTTATGGTGCTGATTTTGTCCATTTTATTTTAATTATTATGCAAATGTTATATGACTTACCTTAAATTATTTTTAGGTAATTATTATTTAAGATGGTAATTTTAAATAGAAGTAAATCAGTATATAGAAATTTGATATTGTATATTTGATATGTTTTTTTTATATTTGATATATTCAAGATTTATAAAAGAATATTACTATGTATAATATACTTATACAGTTATATCTATGTTGATGCCAGTATGAATTTCACATACCGAAGTTTTATGACTACTACGTAGGAGCTACTCTCGTATTATTTTTATTCGTTATCAACTAGTTCATAACATTTTTACTCACAAATCTAAAACAACACATATCTTAGAACATAATGGTAAAAACCACATTATATATACAAATAAATATATATATTTTTTATTTCAGATATTTATCATATAAGAAATTAAATAAACAATTAAAATATAACATATATTCCAAACCATCCAACCATACTAATTTCAACATTAGAAATTAATTTAAATTTGATAAACCTACTAATTTAATTGAAACAAAACCACTTCAACAAATATGTATATAAAAATAAAAACTAAAACAGTTTCGCCAAGTGCGTGCGTGAACTGTAAGCGCAAACGCAAATGTAAAAGAGAACAATCAACACACACATTACTCCAAAAAAAACTAGTTTATAACAGATAAATTTAATTGCAATTACTTTTTTATTTAATAATGAGTATTATCTATGGTGTTGATGTAACAGTCGTAAACAGCCATATCCTATAATGTGTTGTCAACATATGTATAACAGTAATCTATTCTAAGTTTTCACAAATGGATACCAAATGCAGTGTTGGTTGTTATGATAATCTGATCATATCTGAAGGAACAATTAAATTGTATAATATTTAAAAGACAATTATCAAATAACGTAGCATTCCAGGTATAATGTAAAGAACAAAGTATTTATGTTCCTAAAATGGTTGTGTAAACTGAAATATGAGATTCAAAACAAATATGTATTTTCTGAGAATTTATTGTTATGACTTATGTGAATATTTAAATAAGATTTGATTATACAAATATACAATAAGAAGTACTTAAATCCATGTTTTTAGTCTATTAATGTTAATTCCATTAATATTAAGATATTTTTATGAGTAGGCATAATAATATAGAAGTGTCCGTTTGTACTCAATGAAAGTAAGGCATGAGAAAAAGATACTAAATATTAAAAAAAAAGATTAAGTAGCTTGATTTGTGTTTAGGTAAATTACTTAATAATAAAATTAATTGTCCTAATAGGCTCGGTGGTTTAGCGGCAGACCGCTTTACTTCAGTTAGTCGCGGGTTTGATTCCTCGCACGGTACAAACATCTGTATTCTTGAGTATCATTATTTGGATCGGTTTGGGTGTTATCTATGTGCATTATGTATGTAATTACAAAAAAAATGTATCTAAGTATTTATATAAGTTGTGTACTACCCATAACACAAGCTCTGCTTAGCTTGGGACTAGATGGCGCTGTGTGAAGTGTCCAGGGTTATTATTTTTTATGGGTAATGCTGGAATGCGCATATCCTGGCACTATTGGAGTAAGAGGATAAGTTTGAAGTCAGTTAGCCCTTCGTGACGGATGCACCAGGTAATAAAGTTACTTTCAGGAGGGAGTGCATGAAGGTTTACTTGCCATGGTAGAATGCTAGCAATGGAGCCGGTCACTAGCCTTCATAATTAATAATATTTTAGGTAAAGGCTGGTGCGAAAGTAGGGTCGAGTGTAGATAACACTCCAAACATGTGCAACGGCTTACGGGAGCGCCTGAAAGACTCCAAAATGTACGTGTATACAGAATATAGCAGGGTAAAATAGGATCATGTTTTTGAAAATAGTTAATTGAGTATGCGCAAATGAACTTTTTTGAATTTTTATAGTTACTGAAAACAGAATTGATTTTCGCTATCGTCGCAATACCGCGAACAGTCGCTTATAAGTAGCGTTAGGAATATTACGCAATTTTGCCTTTTATATTTTTTTTAGAAACTAATTCATTATTTACATTTTATTATTATTAGTATGCCAAAGCGTCTTTAAGTTGATTAATTGAATTCGGTGTGTATCATTATATAACATTAATAAAACAAACCACTCACATGTATATATGTATAATTCCCAAAAGGTACAGTTCACAATATAAAGTTTATATGAATAAGTTCCAAGGAATAATACTTAATTTTGCATACTTATATCTATACTGTTCCTAGTTTTAATTAATAGAGATAGAGCTAGTTTTAATATGTTTCATAGACAAATATATCGGTCGGCGGAGATCTATTACAAGTAAAATTTTTGAGAAAAAAGTTTCAATACTAGTTTCATTAGAATTAATCTCATTTCAGTATCCAAAGCCATAGTAATTATTAACAAGAACTTTAAAAGGGAAGTCATTATATATTATATTCTATGTTAAAAAATTGAGCTCTCACAATCAATAATCAAAATACAAGAAACCATAGAATTAAAATACTTTCTATATTAGGTATATATAAATTAAAATAATATAATCTATATTATATATTATCGCAAAATACATCGAATACATTCCCGTATTATTTGAAAATTAAATGCAAAAATATAAAACAAAAATAGCAGTACGAGTATTAAAAGCTTAGAGCAGCCTTAATGAATTTATTAATAATAAATATTATTATACGTGATCGTAAAATGTAAAGAAAAATAATTCTGTAATATACAAGCAGAAATATTATGTTTTATTTCATTATCATTCACAGATATCTCTTAAACCTCGTTAGGCTCCCTTAATTCTGGGAAAAAATTCCCGTTTACATAAAGATTTTTTAGATAATAGTTAATCATAAAAATAATATTGACACTACCGCCTACTGTTTAAATGAAAGTGTATAAATAAATATATATTATATTAGCAAATAAATGTCCAACTTTCTAATCATATTTCAAACAGCATACACAATTAATTACCAAATAGCAACATTTCCATTTTGTAAATTAAAGCAAGTAAAAAATTTCTGCATCACACTTACTAGATATTTATCATTATATTTCGTTTAATTTACATATTATCGTTTTCAATTATAGCCCATGTGTTATTCTGATATAACGCGAAAGTTTGTGAGTATGGATGGATGTAACGTTACTTCTTAAAAAACTACTGGACGTATTTGGATGAAACTACAGTAATACAACTTATAAATACACCAGAGTAACATATAGGCTATAAATTTTACGCGTGTGAAACCGGGGAAACATCTAGTAGTAAGCTATATTACTGTAAAATTTCATCAAAATTCGATTAGTAGTTTTCGCGTGAAAATGTAACAAACATCCAGCTATACTAACAAACTTTCGCGTTTATACTAATAGTAAGATTGCAGTGTCTACAATTTTATTGTACATACCTCCAATGTCCCTCACAAATATAATGACAATATTATTGGAGACTTCAATACGTAGATTACTTTTTAAGTATCTAACAATGAAGAGCGCTGTCCTATCTCAAATATTAGACCGACCCAACACCTAAAGTAGCTAGATTTTAATTATTCGTCTTTATAGAGTTTTAAATATCCATTGCATAATAGTTATTCGGCGTGATATCAAATCAATCATCACATTACGCCGACCCAAAAAAAGGGGTTAAGGAAGAAGCAGATGATGATGGTGATGATTAAATCAAAAGAAGACATCAGTGTATAATACACAGTATACTTTCTGTGTATACCTAAATTTCATGTGACTTAAATCTATTACAGTTATAAAATATTGAAGTCCATTTATAATAAACAATATCCATTGACTGAGCACAATTCAAAATATACTGTCTAGTAAAGAACCTTTAAATTTTTTCATAACTTTCTCTTCTAATTCTTCTAATTTGGTATCAAAATTGCTAGACTTAACATTCGTTTCGTTATGAAGAGCAGTGCTATTTGTATCATCAACTTTAAATTCTTTTATTTCTTCTCCTATTACTGGAAAATCTTTCTTACTATCAATGTCCATTGGAGCTTCATATACATTTACTTTTATGTCGTCTTCATTATTATTTTTACAAGTGTCATTAGAATTATCAATTTCAAATTCACTAACTTCATCTTTGGTCACTAAACAATTTTCTTTTCTACTATCAATATCCATTGGAGCTACAAACATATTTTCTTCTGCTTCTTTTTCATGCACCTGTTGCGATATATTCTCATCGGAATAATTCAAATGCATATCTTCTGTCTCAAAATCTTGGGAAATATTATTGGTTCGTATTTCCATGGTTGCATCTTTTTCAATGTTAACATCAAGTTCATTAAAAGGTTTTTCCGCACTGCGCCGCAGAATATTACTAATTTCTGGATTAGTCACTTCATAATCGTTTGTATGTTCATTATTATAAATGAAGTTTTCGGCATCTTCATTAGACTTATCCCTAACATCACTTTGTATGTTACTACTATTGCCGTTATTTTCTATTCTATTGTTATTAGTGTAATCATTTGTAACACTGCTTTGATTTTTCTTTTTTAAAGTAGGTTTATCTATATTGTCAACACTGACCTTCCTTGAGCGCTTAATTTTGGTCCCAGTAGCATCTTTGTTTTTTCTGCTTACTCTGTTTACCGGTTGATACTGGAATATATAATAATTGTTGTTGATTATAATTAATATTATTTTATGTATAAGTGACAGTCTGACAGTTACTACTTTGCTTTGTGTGGTTGCCATTCAATTCATGGTCAATTTGTTGCCATTATAAGTTATATAAATAATGTAACAATATTTATTTGGGTTGTACCTAAACTATAAAAACATACATAACAATAATTAAGAAACTAATAAATAACACTGTACATCATAATTGATAATTAAACTGCTTAATGATAAATGAGTACGCGCAGGGCGCAATGGAATATTAACACCGGGAAATAATGTACGATGCTAGCTCGGAGACTATTATTATATTTAAAGAAAGAATTAAATACATCATGTAATAAGTAAACAATAAAGTTATAGTAAAAAATATAATCTATATATAGATATAATAAGAGTAAATAAATGAGATAAGGAAGAAGCAAATGATGATGAGGAATAAATGAATACGATATGTTTGTATACCATACCTGGAACGTTTTTGATGAGGTTAAAATATTGCTCCGACTCAAGACCATATCTTCTAGGGAAGCCTCTATTCTTATAACTTTAGACAACTTTTCTCTAATATCAGCCTTATCCACTTTCAATTCTTCTACATCTAATTCCTTTTTGGGGTAAAACCACTTGTAAACCAATGAAAAAGACCCTAAATCATCCTGAAAACAAAAAATAAAATGTGTACTTTACATCAAATTCAGCCGTTATTTGATAGTAACAACATTTATATTTATTTATTTTATTTATATACACACTATTATCACAGGCATACGCCCAATAATAATATATATATATATATTTATTACATCTAACTTTCTCCTGTAGCTGACTACACTCCTGTACCTACAAGAGACAGGTAGTACCATTCGAGACAGCTATGTTTAGTATTTCTCAGTCATTACATAGCATAATAATTACCTATATTAATTTAATGATAATAATGTTTTTGTAATGTTTAGGGATTTATAGTTCCAGATCAATACGATTTTAGAAGAAATAAAGGTATGTGTGACGCAATATTAGCACTATGTTTAAACGCTACACCCACTAAGTTGAAATTTTACAAGTCAAAGAGTAAAAGTAATTCAAAAGCTATTTACTTTTATGTCTATCGTTGTCAACCATATTTTGTAGTCCGCTTTATATTTGGGATGAATCTGCTTGTATTGTAGAAAAGAATCATCACTGACAACAATTACACTCCACTCGCGACGGTGGTATGAATCCAATTTTTCCTTAGAGATAATAAATATTTTCCTTTCAAGGAAAATGTTAGATTCATTGATTGCTATATCTGAAAAACACGCAATAAAAATGTTAAGACATTTTGAGCATCTCTGAGATAAAAAATATAATGAATAAAGCTCATTAGTTGCAATGTTCATGTGGAAAATCATGAAGTAATTAAATAGAAATCTTACTACTCGCCTAGGAGAGGTCCTAAATTTTATGATATCACATTTCAATTTAAGTATTGAAACACAAAATTGCAACTATTCATGTGTGTTGCTGTGATGGGGAAAGGGTTAAATGAAAAGAATACTACTTAAATGGGTGTGACAGAATTGAAAGTTCTTTTGGTATAGACCAGATTCGATCTTACATTTGGAGTTTATATAAGAAATGTCCTTACTAATTAATATTATAAACGCGAAAATTTGTACTGTTGTAAAATTACTGAATTGAAAAGAGAAAAAGAAGAAAATAAACTTGCTCAAAGTACTTATACTGCACAGACAAAATCACAGGCACAAGCAAATAATAAATAAACTCACCATTATTACTTTGTATATTTTGAAAATGATCACTCCATATTCCCATGTCATTTTCATCACACAGTATCAACACAGGCTTCTCTAAGGCGCCAACAATTGCGCTAATAAATAAAGTTACTTGAAAAGAGTTCTCATTTTTAACTGACTCCTTGAAGATGACTCCAGGCTTTTTCTGAAACATCATCATTGAAAATATTAAATGTTTATTAAAAATGTAAAGGACTGTAGTTTTAACACTTAATTATTTGGTACATTGAAGTCAGTAAAGTTATAGAAAGTGTATGTGACATTTCCATTTTACAGAAAATAATATTCTGTGCTGCCTTTATTTAACAAGAAGAATTTTATTAACTTTTTAAGTATTTTGTTAATGTTCAATTCTTTGTTTTGTTGTTGTGTAGAAATTAATCTTATTTCAATATGTTATTTTAATTAAGTTTTTTATAACCTTGTTTATAATAAAAGAGGTGGATGAAACATGAATAGCTAATCAATCACACTATTGAGTTAAATTATTATAATAATAAAAACAATCAATAGTAATATTATAAAAAGATAGATATTAAAATTAAAATGAGATTATATAGAAAGAGTGCACAAGGCATGTGATAAACATATAAACTGCAATGCACTCATTCTTTGTCAGTGCTCTGAATTTTAAGTTTTTTCTAAAAACATTATTATCATCAACAAACTCTTCTATTTTATAAAATGCTATTTGAAGTGTTTTATACAACATTTAAATAATTTTTCAGGCAGATTTAGAACACTGGTAGTATGTTGTAAAATCTTACACAATTACCATAAAACAATAGTAATTCATTTTATGGTAATTGTGTAACTTTAGTTAAACAACATTAAGGTAAAATAAATACTGTGTCAGGTTACCGTCACATGCTGTTTAAACAGGAACCTTATATCCTCTGCCTGATAGTGTTGAAGTGAACTGCTCTGTACATACACATCGGGGTTCTTGCTCAAGTACACCCTCTCAGAAATTATTAGTTTATCATCAATCATTGTTTACAAAATATCTGTAATGACACACAACATAAAAAATATAAACATTTTAACACACAAATAAACATTTTATTAATTGGATAGTGTGAATTATATTCTGGTGGAATTAACCTATTCACATTAGGATTATTAACGAGTAATCTTGCAAATAACAATTAATAACATCACACAGCGAAAAGACATTGGCTCGACAGGTTTTAGAACTATAAGGGTACTTGTTTTATTCAGGATACAAATGTGGTATTGTTCTCTTAAGCCTCAAGTATCTCGATTGTATTTCTTTTAACAAGTTTTCTATAATATTCTATTTCTACGAAATTAACTAAAGAGCATATAAATGCAAAGTTAGTGTTTAGAAGCACTCTGAACCAGTGTGTTCACGAACAATACAAGAGTATTTAAGGACAGTAAACTACTCTAAAACAAATTTACTCACAGATTGTAAAATGTAAAATTCAAAACTAAGACGCCATATTATTATGGTTCAGTCTATTCAGTATCGACAGTGTCATTATCAGTATATAGAGCATTTCCAAATAGAACAATACTACAAATATAGACACGCTGGTCTTGTGAACTGCCACTTCCTCAAACTCCTGCAGAATTTGTTTGTTTCGACAAACATGGTCCCAGAACATGGAAACAGTTTTGGTTAACACAGTACTCAGAACACCGGTCTGTTCCCCAACACTTCACACGTAATTACTTTTGCTTGTTTCGCATTATGGAAATGATATACTAATGATTAGTAAATTATAATATTTTATTAAGGTGAAACTATATTGACTACAGGAATGAAGTAAATCAATTTAAATCATTACACAAGAAATTATGATGTACTTCGTATACTATGTAAAATTATGTATTTAACTGTCTATGAAATCTTGTCGTATTATATTAAAAGATTTGACGTTTAACTGACATTTGTTGGTTGACATAAGTAATTTGCGTTCGGAAAAATTGTTTAGACACACTATTTTCAATTTTAGAAAAGTGAATTTGTGTTAAATATTGTATTATTTGATAGTTAACCCAGAGTGATTTATCATTCATTAATCATTTGATAACAATGTTTATAAAATATATTTGAATGCGGTCACCGTCGATTATTAAATTGAATTATATTGCGGCATTTGCGATCGCAAACATGCTCCCGGCCTAACGAAGTTCCCTCCGTGTGGACTGTATTTATTAGTTCTCACTTACATATTTTTTGGATACATGAGTTTGAAATTGGTATATGTATTAATTATTAGTTTATCAGTACTACTGTTGCTGTGTTAAAAACGATCAACTTGATTTGATAGCATTAAATTTTTACTTTCGAAACAGATTAAAATTGGCATTTCTCAAATTATGTACCCCTCTATTATCATCCCTAAAAACGGTATGCTTATAAAGCATTTTCATATTATGCGATTTCAATCCCCCGTACAACACAGGCATTCTTCCGTATAACGCGTGGATATCTGTACTGCGTTTATAATGATTAGTACAGAAATAGATGTTTATTTCCTCTTTATGTCCAAATGGCTAACGTAAGTTGCCAATACAAGTCTGTAGTGATACTGTTCTATGATCATCTGATAGGGTGTGCATGATTATATTGAATATTTGAATGTTTAATAACACGAATAATACCTACATCGTCTAGAAAAGGATTTTTCGTAATGGGCTACTTTTAAAAGTAAATGTGTTTGTACTTTGTAAGGTTGCTAATTCTTTCCTTTCTTTATGTTGTTCTTGTAACATTCGAATAATAAAATTATGCGAAAAATCTAACTCAGACACTGAAAGATAGTCTATGAATTATAATGTAGAAGGTATAGTTACTAACACAACGTGTTTTAACTTATTAATTCTAAGTTACTGTCCTGTTCTGAAAGTAACTGTGGCGTTAATCACTATGCCAATTATGTTTTTTGTATAAATTATAATATTTGACTTATAAACAATGTATATTGACATACATTGTTAGCTATGCTCACAGGGTTAAGTCCTCTTCTTGTTTCCAAAAACGTGATAAAATCTTAATATAATTATTATTAATTGAACATAATTGCTTGCCATGGCAGTCTGACCTCCATGCGGTTCCCCTCGAAACCATTGTGGTAAATTGCCATTTGCCAAGATAGACTAACCATCCTGACTTTATGCTCAACTTATCGTCTTCTACTGTCCACCCCCAGTTTATTAGCAACCAGAAAAAATTTGTTGTTTGTAAGTAAATGACAGGTATACAAAAAAAAGTCGGATAAAAAAATATATAATTGTATATAATTGGTAAACTTTTTGTAAACAATATCAACCTGGAATAAACCTGATTGCACTTTCTCTTATATCTACGATTACGAAACACCTAAAAATAGTATAAAAATTCGACATATTGGTATGTATAAAACAAATCCAAGGATTACTCATTCTTGAAGTTTGGTGCTCTCTTCTCAACGAAAGCGGTCATACCTTCCTTGCGGTCCTCCTATAAAAAAAACAGTACATCAGTGGAATATCTATTTTTTTATATTACAAATGATTGTTATTAAAACCTCTGTAATATTTTTGTGAAACATTTATATCAATCATATTGCATATTGATATTGAATATTGATTACGTAATGACGATTAATTATTGTAAATATTAATTATTGTAGATATATATGTATTTCACTGAATGCACTAGTTAATCCGACTCGTTGGGACCAAAATGTTTTGCTGAATATTGCAGTGGTTGATATGTTTTAAATTTAAATAAAAAGAATATTTAGATTAAAATTTTAATAGTGACGCCACGGAATGTTCGAGAAGGAGTGCAAATTGTATATAAAATATCATCGATGTTCTCTATTATGAATGAAATAAAAACATTTTCTTATTATGCGATTTCAATCCCCCGTACAACACAGGATATCACTGCGTTTATAATGATTAGTACAGAAATAGATGTTTATTTCCTCTTTATGTCCAAATAAAAATACAAGTAACACAGATAAAATTTAAAGATTTTAGTAGTATAGAATACATATTATTATATATTATTAATAATTAAGAATTAGTTAAATATAATTAATAAACTGATGACAATAAATAAATAATAAAATAAACGCACTTGTTTGTACATTAAATAAAAAAAAACCCAATGATGATTTTATTGAAGGGTTCTAAAAAGTAGATGAAATATATAAATGCTTCAATACATTCTGCTTTTTAAACCTATAAGAATAATAGTTACTTAAATATTTAATACTTTCATAATGATTATTATGAAAGTATTAAGTATATTATATTATATTATGCAGATGTAAATTATAGGAAGAATGATTCAAAGCAATAGATGGCGTTGTATAATATATAAATTTAAAATTAAAATAGTAAGTATAGAATAAATAAAAAGTAAAAATCAATTTTTTTAACCAGAACTTACGGTAGCGAAAGTGCCATAGAAAATAGATTTCTCGAACTGCAGACCAGCTTTGAGTTGTGTTTCATATGCTTGATTGACAGACTGCTTGGCCAACTTCACAATAAGGGGTGAGTGTGTGCCGATCCTCTCTGCCAACTTGATACTCTCTTCTAATAGTTTATCGACTGGGAACACTCTGCTGACAAGACCTGGTGAAGATATTTTTTTTGCATTATTTCTATTATTTCTTATCTGTTGAGAAACTTGTTTGATATTAATATATTTTATTTCTTTGTATTCTTTAATAAAAACTATAAAAACAAAATTGTATAATATGTCACTTCACTGTCTACCATCTTATCATTAAAACATTTGTCTAGTTATAAATATTTTAATTACACATTTCTACAACAATATCTGCCTAGTACCTAATTTAATAGAAACATGTGGGTGTATTATTATAATCATGTACAATCGCTTAAAATCGTTTAAAAAGAATAAGAGTTGAGTTTCTTTGTAGTTTTTGTCAGTTCAAATTGCATTCCATAATATTATTTATAATTTATATTTCTATTTGACTCTGGTGATTGAGGCACCGTTAACAAACCCAACAAATCCGAGAAACTTGTGGCTAAGCTCCCTTACTCAAATTTAGCGAGTTGCATTCAAATATAGCGAGCAAAATATAAGCATTGCAAGTGTTGTGTTCAACACGCATTAACAATCCTATTTGGGACAACAATAGTGCAGGAAGACTATTATACTACTAACTGTGACCGCGGCATCACCCGCGTAAAGTATATAACTTATGTGTTATTCTGAAATCTACATTAATGAAAACTTTTATTAAAATCCATTCCATCCATCCATCCGTTTTTGCGTGAAAGAGTAACAAATATCCATACTCTCAAACATCTATGTTTATAATATTAGTAAGATCATTATGGTAATTTCTACGAACCCATTTTCTCAGCTTCTTGCGCATCAATGAAGTTGCCAGTAAGTACAATTTCCATCGCCTTCGACTTGCCGACGTATCTAGGTAGGCGCTGAGTGCCGCCCGCTCCGGGGATGGTACCAATGTTTATCTCGGGCTGACCGAACTTGGCCTTCTCGCCGGCGTATATGATATCGCAGAGCATCGCCAGCTCGCAACCACCACCCAACTGTAGATTTTAATATCATTGATATACTTTAGTTTTTATGTAATATCGTAATATCTAATGAATGTCATATTATAATAGGTATATGTATATATGAAATACTAGCTGTGTCCGCGATTTCTTTCACGTGTTTATCAAACACACTACGCAGCGCATGCAACACACGCCCTCAAATATGAATAATATTCCCTTTTTGCAAAATTTTTCACTGATGCTTCGCTTCTATTGGTCGTAGCGTAATATGATACAGCTTGAAGCTTTATTCGACAAGTAGACTATCCAACACAAAAAGAATATTTCAATTCGAACCAGTAGTTACCTAACAGGCTCCAAATTGATCTAAATTTACCAATTAAGAACATCATTCAGTGTAAAAATATGAAATGCAATAAATACCATAAGTTTGGGGGAGTGTTATAAGATGGAGGTGTTATTTTTTTATCACCAACCCTGCCGCCCAGTTTGGCTAGCTACTTTAGTTATTATTTAAGACGTTATGGAAAATGTGAACATTGCATACTAGTACCAAAGTGGTTTTAATATTAGAATGCGTGATGAAGGGGACTGTTAGTAATGATGGTCTAATGAGCGCCGCGAGTTTCACCCTCGAAACCATTGCGATAAGTTCCCGGTGAATTTGTGACTCGTGCTCATCTTATAATTGAATTTTTAAAGTTTTTGCTTCAGTTATAACACATAGATATTTTTTTATGGATGATATTCGAATAGTGCATCCTACTGCGCTAACGGTTTGCGCTGGCGGGGCATCAGTGGAGGATGATAAGATCTTGGACTTGGACATCCGATTATAAAAGACCTCTTGCTACGTTCCACCCGCGTTCATACAATAGATAGGTTAGGGGTCAAACTGTATCTCATTACTCGTTCGGGCGATTCTGATAAAACATACGAGTATAATAATAATATAAATGTTGATGCCTATTATCATTATTACTAATATCAGTACCTAGTATAAATATGAAAACCATTTCACAATTCTCTAAAAAACTGACCTATAATCTATACATATAAATAATATTAAAGTTTATGTTTCTAATGTCAAATTTACAGATTTTCTCTAAATGCATATGAAAGTATATTCGGCACATATATAAAAAGATGTCTGTCTATTCTTGCTAATCTCTGAAACGCCTGGGCCGATTATGACAGGACTTTCACTTGCAAAAGCACCTAATATTAATGTTAGACATAGACACCTACATAAGTACATAAAGTAAATAAATTGGCTCGGAAAAAAAATCAGTTGAGGTTTTTGAACTAGACGGTAGGGTGAAAATATGAATACAAAAAAATTTACAGTCAAAACCGGCTAAAATGTCCTACATGAATAAATGATTTTTAATTTCATATAACATTAGTAAAATGTATTTAGTTGCCATTGAAACGAAAGAAGAAGAAGTAGAATATATTTTTAATTAAATAATGTGGAACATACCGCGAATCCATTCACAGCTGCGATGATGGGTTTTCCACAGTTCCCAATATCCTCCCACTCTCTCAGGAAGCCACCCTTTTGGTTCAGACTGTATGTGTTGTTCTGCATCTCTTTGATATCAGCACCGGCGGCGAAAGCCTTCTCATTTCCTAAAAAGAGTAACTCGTATTTCACTAAGAACACATCAGAAAAAGATCCAAAGAAATCACAAATCTCTCTAATTTGGGATTTTTGTGTTTCGTATCGGGGGCCCGCCCTACACCATCTACAAGGAGCCCCAACGCCAACGGTGTCGTGGTAGAATACTAATGCGACCCCGCGACTCCAGCAATAGTGCTCGTAGATACATCCTGTGTTTTTTTAGTTGGTAAGATTACCATACACGCCTGCGTCGCCCCTTTGACAGGGAGATGGATTTTTGAAGATTTTTCCATTATTATTATTAGTTAGTATTATTGTTTCACATTAGTATTATTGTTTCACATGTGCCGTGAAAGAAAACTCTTGCCGTGGTTAGATGTATATATTTAGATATCGTCAGAGGTAGTTTAATTTCGCGTAAATATAATTAGATAATACTTCGTATCTGACAAAATATAGCCAAAGTGAGATATTGCCGTCAGTGCACGAAGAATAATGATGGCCAGTCACCAATTTGGTGCGTATTTCATTTCACCAATATTAACCAAAGACCGACCGACAAAGTGGGCATATTTCCAAAGTGACCAACTAACATCAGGAACATGTGTTGGTAGTTTACGTTTGTTGTTGAATTTGGTGTTTAAAAATAATTAGGATAATGTCAAATAACTCGTAGCCTGTAGAGTACGCCCTGATACCGTAAAAGCAGTTGCATGAAACATGTTACAGAAATTTAAGATCCAAGAAGGAATACAAGCTGTCATATAAAGAATATCAGATTTCTTTTAGTCTTATTCCATGTATAATTACGGCGGGAGAGGGCTGGATGTTGTCGCGAGTTACGAGACATGTTCATCTGAATCTTAAAACGAGATTTCAATTTCTTTTTAACCTCATTAGAAAATACAAAGGTTATTTTTTTAATTCCAATAATTTTTATTTGTTAGTAACAAATAATGGAGACCATTCTGATGGTATTTATAGTTATTGATAAGTTTTATTAGCATTTATCAAAGTTCAGTAAGCCAATAATATCTGATAAAATAATAAATTAGGTTTAATATGCCGGTATAGTAAGATACTGAATACTGTGTTGCTAATCCTGAGCTAAATGCACTGGTACCCAGTAGAAGATGATAGGATGAGATTTAATACAGGAAAGCCCATCTTTTGGCTTGGCACCTGTTGGCTGTATTCATGAAAGAACAATAAAGGTTTTAAGAGAACAGTGTTCTATTGTACGAGGTACATTGGTCAGGGAACTCAGGGAAGTGGAGAATAATAATCTAATTCGTAATTTGTCGATTGGAAATCGTACACCAGAAGGTAGGAAAATTGCACGTTTCCCTCAGCCAAAAATTTAAATAAAATATTTCAAGTTCAACTTCAAAACATATTACGCCGACCCCAAATAAATGGGAAAAGGAAGAAGCAGATGATGATTTCAAGTTCAACTTCAACCTACGTTTATTACTTACTTAATGTACTAAGATTTTGGCAAGTTTGTATACAATACTTACCACCAACAATACATTGTTCGTACAACCCCATCCCTACTATTTTTCACCAGGTGTATGTCAGCTAGTTTGCCATTCCCGTTACGTAAAATAACTCACCAGTGATAATAATAGCGGCGATGCTGTTATCATTATCAAAATCGACGACAGCCTTTCCAAGTTCCACGAAAAGAGGTTTGCACAGCGCATTCAACGCTTTAGGTCTATTTAGTTGAATGAGGCCGACATTTTTCTTGGACCCGACCACATCGATCTTGATATTTTCGTATGCTGGAGCTGTAACATTTTTAAAATAATTATTTTTTGTGTATATTTTCTATTATTGTCAAGCGGTTTAGCACAGAGCGCTTTATTTGGTGGAAGCATGGTCGCGGGTTCGAGATTTGACTTCAGGTATGATTGTTTGTGTCGATCTGGATGTTTTCTATGTGTATTTACAAAAAATATTTAACTAAAAAATATTATTTAAGTATTTATATGAGTTGTCTGGTACCTATTACACAAGATCTGCTTAGCTTGGGACTAGATGACGCTGTCTGAATTCTCCACGGTTATTATTATGGATAAATATGGAATGGTGCATCTGCTTACGTTAACGGTATAGGCTGGTAGGGTCCTAGTTGAGGATAATAAGACGACGTCGAATCAAACATGATTGTATGTATAAGTATGTTAAGTAAAACTAAATTTCTATCTTTATTTTAATTAAAATTAAAGAAAATATTAATATAATAAAATACTATTAACATTTAAAAATTGTATAATATTTTTTAAGTGCATAAAGTAAATAATATCGAATAATAAACAAATCGAACATCAATACGGTATAATCATATGAATTCTTTTTTAAACTGTGCATTATGTAATAATTTTATAATATAAGTGAATGATTAGACAAATAAGCTAAGTGATAACATGAGCTCAAATAGATAACTTCTCTATACCTACTAAATGTTAGTAACAAGGTCACAGTATTACTATATGAATGACTTGTAAAACTAATTTATAACGTTATTTTTTTAACATTATTTAATTAACATTAATTTACAATGTTATTTTTATATCATTATTTCATGTATATTTAATTATAAAACTAAAAAAATTAAAAAAAACCTTATAGATTTCAATTAAGTTTACTCTAGTAAATAAATAAGATGTATTATTAAGTAATTATCCAACAATCAATATATTACCTCATTATGTCATTGATCAGGAATTAATTATTAGTTATCAAAATTAATAATGCATTAATTAACATTTATTATTTCATTGTTTATAGACAACTAGCTGTACCCGCGTAATTATCATTGAACCAAATAATAAAATATATATATTAATAATCCATTAAACTCTAATCTAGTGCAATCTGTCAAGTAGAAGTTATGTTATGATAAATCTATTTTGCATAAATATTATGACTATAGATTAAATGACATAACTAAATATTGATATTAATATTCTTTTAATTAATTACTTTTAACACTGGACTTAGTTGTATTACTGTCTATAGATTTTTTAAAATTAGAATTGCTCTTCTATTATAGATTGTGATAAAAATGGAATGTTTCAAGAACTAATAACTATTAAAATACAAGATATTAAAAACAGGTTTGAAAAAGGTGCAGCTAATCATAGACCAAATTAAATTTTTCTGAGTTTAGTAATATATTTGAGAAAAAATATATTGAAATATTTATATTAAACAATATAAATGAGTTTATACATTATTTATCATTGATAGTTCATTTATTATTTCATTGTTTATAGACAATTGTCTGTTCCATCATTGAAAGGAGATAGAATAATACAGGAAAAAAAATGTTTATAGATAATTTGACATTTCAAAATGTGGCATAACAAGTGGTACAAACTGTTTCAGGCAGATTTATACTGCATGGAAAAATTTAAAAGATATGACTGGTGTTTTTAGACTTATCTAAGTCCTTTGAATGTGATAACTGTGACATAATAATTACAAATCTAAATTTTCACAGTATCTAAAACTATATTTAAACAACACCAATTTAATTTATACTTATAGGACTGTATTAAAATAGTTGAAGGATACAGTATTAAATCTAATGTGTGTTTTGTGTTACTGGGAGTACTTCAGGGGTGCACACTTGGGCCAATTTTATTCTTAAATTACATTATTCATCATTTATAAAAAAAAAATTGTCTCATTTAATATATTACTAGCAATGCAGACAATAGATGTTCTTAGAATAAATTATCCAATAACAGACCCTAAGGGAAGCCTTAGGGTCTGTTATTAGATAATTTATACCCTATAGGCTATTTATTATGTAGTAACCAAATAATAATCTCAAGTTTATTTGGTAAGAGTTGAATACTAGTTTAATGATAATGCTGATGAAAACCTCTGTACCGAAATACTAACATGAATAATTTGAAATACTTTTTGTTTAAGACTACTCTACTAATACTCTGTAAATACTCTGTTCTAAGTGTGCAAGGACTATTAATCTTAGCAGGTTATACAAAATGAATACTAACAATACCTGTCCAAAAGTGTTTTTAACAATAGTGTTTACTGTATTAAATACTTAACATTTAAAAATTTTTAAATAAACATTCTCGAAACATAAAAAACAAAATTAAAAAAATAATATTAATTTAATTTAATAATAATTATAACCTTGGAATATTAGCTTAGCACCATATAATACCAAGCTAAGCAGAACTTGTGTTATGGATACTAGATAAATTATAGAAATACTTAAATACATTTTTGTGGTAAACACATAGGTACATACAAAATACCCAGAGACAGATACACACAATCTATGAATATGAATGTGTGTATAGAGCAAAGATTCGAACTTGCGACCCTCTGAAGTAAAATTGGACGGAATTGGATTACATTGAAGACTAAGTTTAAGGTTACTTTTAAACAACTTTAAGCAGTTTATGATGATGCATTAGCCGTAATATACACCTAACAAAGACATAAAATCTTCAAGTCCATTTGGAGAATAAACACTTGGCTAATAAAGATACTTTATATACTAGATATACCAGCGTAGAAGTTACGAAATTAATTTTATGTATATCACCTGCGCTGTAGAACTTCACGAAACCGGAATTTGACGCCGGTACAATGTTACCGCTAAATAAGTTCTTTCCTAAAAGGAAACGTGTGACGGATCTCACTGATGCCATTTTATTAAATATCTATGTTGAAAATGAACTTAAAAACTTTTACGTCTCGATCAGTAAACTAGTTTAGAAAAAATGAACTTTGAACAGTTTTGATTGAAGGAATCTGTATTTTTTTTAAGGTACTGATAATATGATAAGAAAGTGTTGCCAGTTTTCAATTGAAGTTTATGCTATATGTTGGGTTTTTAAAAGGATGATAAAAGAGTGCGAGCAGAGCAGGACCGATCGTCGTGGAGATCTTTGGGGGAGGCCTATGTCCAGCAGTGGACGTCTTCCGGGTTGCGATGATGAAAAGAGTGGTGAACCCTCACGTTAATGATATACGCTACACTACTGCAATATGATAAGATGAGCATAAGATTAGGTTAATGTGTCTATTAAATAATCTGTAATTCACCACAATGGTTTACAGAGGGAACCGTATGGAGGTCGACCAACATGGTACCATGTAAGCAATGGAGTCACGAGTCCATTACTAATAAACCCCACCCTAGACCTTACGTGACAACAAATTTATAACTTATCGTCAATGATAAGAGAAAGCAGCATATTACAAAATAAAGAGCTTTAATACACTAAAATTGTATTACTATTATGCTATCGATATTGACAATCAACAAGAAAGCCTATACCTATATATATTTATATACCTATTGCTTAAACACCTATACGAAATTTATTACAGTCCGTATAAAATATGTATTTGCTTTTTATCATCATCATTTCACAAGTACAAGTAATCTATTTCCTATTTTTCCTACATTTACAGACTTATTTAGCTGTGTTTATATGTAGCAAATAAACAGAACAATAACGCACTTACTATGAGGTTATGCAATAAAAAAAAATTCATCAAAATCGGTTTAGTTAGTTAAAAATAAAAAATAAATATTAAAAGATTTTGTATTGAATCTAAGGCTTAAGAGTGCTTAAAGGTGTTTAGCGGTGATTTGCAATACATTGTAATATAATGGTTTGTAGTCGTATATTACGATATAAATATTCTTGATATCCATAATTGTAGATTTATAGTTAATTCTGCTAAATACAAAAAAATATAAGATAGCAACATTAGCGCTGTCAGTCTAAATGTCATTTTTTTCAAAGTTGTCATTTAGCGTCAGTCTCTACATTTTGGATCTGTGCTACGATGTTGATTCAGAATAAATTGGAAGAAATGAAAAATATTTATATACAAAATACTGAATTATCAATATTTATTCAAATATAAATTTTTCACTATTACTATTTATCCAATATATTATGGCAAATAACAATACAAAGTATTTTATCTTAACCGGCGAACCTGGTTAGATAGTTTTGTTTACTAACACTTGGAATGTATTCGAAAGCGATTTCCTTTTATATTTTTAAATTAATATATGAACAAACTTTCAGGCGTAGGGAAAACTACACTAGTTAAGAAATTATTATCAATTATAAACAACAAAGGAATTAGTACCTCAGGTTTTTATACAGAAGAAGTGCGTAGGAAAACAACTAGGGTAGGTTTCGATGTTGTAACATTAGAAGGTACGAGGTGCAGATTGGCCCGCGAAGATTGTCTCCTGGACTGTGTCGTGGAGAATAGAGTGGGAAAATATGGAGTTTTGGTCCAGGAATTTGAAGCAGTTGCTTTACCTTGTTTGCAGGTAAGTATTAAAATGGATTATAACGGCCTATATTACTTCCTTTGTTATATTTTAAGATAATAGAATGTTTATTTTTAGGTTAATACTCACCAGCTATTAATAATCGATGAAATTGGTAAAATGGAATTTTTTAGTAATTCTTTTAAAAATCGAATTAGAGAAATTTTTAGTGACTCCTCAAATGATGTGGTACTGGCAACTATACCTTTAAGAAAAATTGATACACTGATAGAAAAAATAAGGAACAATAAAAATGCTAAAGTTTGGACGGTAAGTATTCAACTTGTACATTTTAATTTCTTTAATAAAATATACTCTTTAATAGTATTTGTCTATACACTTATGTCAACAAAATCACATGTCATTAGTTATTAACAACTTATGTATTAATAAGTATACATAATCATATTTTCAGGTAACTAGAGACAACAGGAATAACATTGATGAAGAAATAATAAAGGAAATGAAATTGATTTTCAGATTTGATTGATTCTTAAAGTTGATTGATTTAGAGAAATTAAAAGGTTGAATAGTAAGTACCTCATACTGAGATGTCTGAAAATGTACTGTAAAATGTAAATGAGGTACTTACTACTTGGCATTACTTAGTTACAGTACTACTTACTGAGTAAATGTCAAGAGATGTCTTTCTGAATAACAATTATTAACAATTACAAAAGGAAGAAAATTACAATTATTATAACAAACAATTACAATGGAAGTGTAAATTTATGTAATTAAATATAATTTATAATAAAGTACATGATTAATGGTACTATTATATATTTCTCTTTTAGTATTTATTTTATTATATATATTCAGTAATGGCATTTTCTATTCATTCATCGATGGAGCACAACTAATATAAAAAATAGAACAAGTGATTAGATAGCAGAACCTACCTTGATTGTTAATATTAATTACAAAATACAGATATCAATGCAATAATGATTAAACTTCAACTAAACATAAACTAACTTATGTACTTTATTATGATTAAGAAATATAGTTTCTGATGAAAAAAATACTGTTTATATTTTTATATCAAATGTCATGCTTATAGTACAAGTTCTATATAATTATTCCCAACATTAGTCTCAGCCTACCATTCAAAATTACAATCATTATAATTATTGTATCAGAAATTACAAATTACATTTGACCTTTAGGTATAAACAAATTATAGTGCAGTACAAATTAAATATAAGCAGCAAATGTTGTAACGTTTAACATTGGAAAGCAATAAATATCTCAATTGTAGTGAATAAAAATTCCAAGGTCTGCTTTGCATTGAAGGGACTTGAAAAGTTTGATACTATGTCCTGATTATAAACAATGTTTTCATGGAATAGTAACCTGTCTTTTGGCAAATTGTATGCCTGTCCCTGACTGCCAGCTATGTAGGTACATAATTGTAAATTACAAGTTTTTATTATAGAAACTTATGAAACAAAAATGTACTATTGGAGGATTTAAATTAATCATGCTTATGTTATCAAAAATAAAAAGTTTGGAATTTATAACAAAAATGTCACACTCTAATAACATCAATCAATCTGGCTTCACATTATCAGCTTCAGTCCAGACCGGCAGATGTAAGTCGCAATTGGCGCATGTCTAAAGAGCGCTAGTTGAATGCCGTTCTAAGCACAAACCGTCCGACTCTGAGTAAATTGTCTCGAAAATCAGTGGAGGTTCTTAAAATGTGCTCTTATTTGTTATTATTATGAATGTGTGGCTTTGTAGGAATTTATTTACTATATATTTCTGACATAATTATGCAATTATTAATAAATTAAAAGTGATAATTATTGTAAACTGACTAAGAGACAATTTTGAATAAATTTAGTAGTTGTGTTTCTTGCCTATTACGCTAAACTGAAGTAGCAATGCAAACTAAATGTAGCAATATTAAAAAAAACTTCTATATTTCTTCAGAGCATTAGAGGCTAAATATAAAATTGTTAAAGATTCAGATAATAGTGATTACATGATTAAACAATAATATTATATATAAGGAATAATAGTAGAATTTTTAACTAGTAACAATACTTATTTATAGAATTACAGATCTTTTCTAGATTGAAATTAATATGTCACCTACAACTACAATTTGTTTTTCATTTACTACTTGGGATGGCTATTTTTTTGTACTCTAATGCTGTTTACCGCAGTTGGCCTTTACAGCTTCTCTGGATGATAAGGGGCGAGTGCAGATGGTACTCAAACCCGCTGAAGGACTTATGGAGCGGCTCAAGACAAACTCCCGCCAGATGGATACGACTTTATTCTGAGGATACCGCTAGGTGTTCGAACCTCGGATTAGGCCGTCGTAATTTCGATCTCCATTTGAATTGGAAGAGGGATTGATCGGAGGGGCGATCGGGGGCACCTGTGTGTAGCGCCCAATCAACCGGGCGCCTACGCGCGCCCAGTTGGTTGCGCGGTGGATGACTACTGTAAATAGTAGACATTTTTGTTATACTGAGAGGAAATATTATTTCTTCCTCTTTTAAGGACTGGGATAGCCTACTATCTATTGTATATCAATAATACATTTTATAACAATGAATGTGTATACATACTATTTTCTTTAAGGATAAGAGAGAGCTTGTTCATCCAGGTACTATGTGAATATAATAATAGCTACACAACAATCAGCTATTGTCATCTGAGTAGTCATCAAATTGTCCTTCATACTCAGTCCATATTCTAGGATTGCAAATTTTTTCATACTTCACTAGTTCCGACACAGAGACAGGATGAGCATCCATTGGACAGAAGTGGCCTTCTGCCATTTTTTTCTTCACAAAGTACAACCAAGGCGAATCAGGAGGCGGGGACACGTGCCGAGGATAGCATGGCACCCAGTACTCATCAGAATCCCAATCTTCAGGGGAACTCGGTGGATCATATCGTTGTTCTGATACTGGAATGTGCAAAGAAAATATATTAAATATTATACAGGACACCTAAGTCTGTTTTTTAATATAGCTATATATAAATATATATATTTAGATTACTGCTTGAACTGAAGAACAATAATTGGAACTCATTTATTAATAGCAATTATTACTCTAACTTAAGAGCTTCAAATTAAAAATCATTTGGCCTCTTGTGCATGTCATATTTTTTATCACTATCCCTACCATCCAGTATGGTTGAGAACTGGCCAGAAACTAAGATGTTGTGAACCTACTATAATGAAAATGTTACCTTCAGTATTTTCCAGAGTTCTCAGAAGTTCCTCATCATCTGTAGTGTCATTAGAGTGCTCACTCTCAGGTCTAGCCTCTTCTATTTTCCTAAAATAAATGTATGTTAGGTACAAATCCTTATTGAAGTTGTAAATGTGCAAATGAATTTGTTGCTTAGGACAAATTATTATTTGTGATGTGGTAGAATAAAAAATATGACCTTTCAGAAGTGCATATAATGAGTTTATTTAAATAACAATTATTTCTATTAATACTATAATATTTGCCATTTACAAAAACACAAATGGTGTAACATTATTGATATTAGTAATATTCACAACTAGCTGTGCCAGCATGGTTTACCTGTGTGCATGTGAAATTTATAGCCTGTGTTTATTAGAATAGAGAGGGTCGGCAGAAGATGGAGGAGGCTTTTACCGAAGGGCTACATTACAAGCCTATGTGTTATATTAATATACAAGCTATATTGTTGTAGTTTCATTAAAATCCATTCAGTAGTTTTTGCTTGAAAGACAGAGAGTATGTATAGTGCAAACCAATAACCAAATACATAATCATTCATTGAACATCTATACTGTAAGAATAATTTACCAAAAGAAATATACTATCAATTTATACTATACCTTCCATCAAATCTGTCCAGAATATTCAACCTTAGTTTTTCTTTTCTATTGATGTAACCCAAATCATCTGGTTCATCAAAGAAATTCTGCGCCAAGTCCAACTCTGCCACATTTTTTATTCCCTCAGGCACATCATACAACCCATTATTGTATAAATCAATAACTTTAAGGTTCAACAGTTCAATAATTCTCTCTGGCAATATGCATAGTGCATTACAGTCTATATACAAGTGTGTCAATTTTTTTAATTTATAAATATCGTCCGGTAAATATAGAAGGTTATTATGTGATAATATACATATTTCAAGGCTAACTAAATCACAGAACTCATTCGGTAGATCTGAGATATAGTTATGGGACATATTGATTTCAACAATATTTTTAAATACAACAATATCTGGTTTAATATTATATATCTGTGTATTGCTCATAATCAGTCTTTCTATATCGCAGCATTTATCTAGGCCTACACATGGTGCATCAACAATGTGGTTAGCAAAATTACTATAATTAGGTATACCAAGAACAAGTGTCTTAACTTTATTGAATGTACCCAACAGGCTTATGTGGTCATTCAATCTGCAATTTGATATGTTTATTTCGGATACGGACACATTGTACTGCAACAATTCTTCCAAATACCCGTTTATGAAGGAGTCTGATAGTTTAAAGTTGTAATTTAAATCGAGTTTGGATAGTTTCGATGGTGATTCAGACCACACCCAGTAAGGAGGTCCTGCTAGGTGATTATGTGCTAGATCGAGTGTTTCTATAACATGGCAGAAGCTCGGCGTTTCGTCAAAATACTTAATTAAGTTATGCGATAAATCTAACATTTGTAATTTCTTCAAATTTAGCACTACATTGGGCACTTCGGCTAGTACATTGTTTGATAAGTTCAGGTTCAACAAGTTGGTTGGAAACTGTATATTTTCATTTAATGTCTCGATATTTCTGTTGCTTACGTCGATACTTGTAATATTTTCAGACCATTGCAAAAAAGAAGTGTCAATGGTTTTCGTGATTCCGTTTTTAATACCATTTTTTTTGTGTATTTTTTTTTCGGAGTTTTTAGACATTAGTTACACAATTGACCAAACCAGTTTCAATCAGTATAAGTAATAGAGCGGTGTCTTTAATTACACAAACAAAAAAGAAGTTTTAAATTTAAACATAACTTAAAAATAGTTAACCTCAATTCAAACACAGAACAACAGTAAACAACAGCAACATGTCAGAATGGCTTAAAACTGCCAAGGATAGTCTCAGTATTTTTTGTTATGTCAGTCATGTTGTCCTTACAGAGTAATAATTATCCTTCGAATGTTTTTAAATATGTTTAGTGATCCAATTATTGGAGTGTTCGGATGTTTTATTTTACTAAACTGACAATACAAAATTTTAAATATTTTATTTCCTCACTTTTTATTTTAAGAAAATTATTAAATATTCACTTATACAATATATTTTATGTACCTCTAGTACGTAAAATAGGAGTAGTAGTTTAGAAGTAATATGAATACTGGAACACTTATATGTATACCTAGTTACATACGTAGATACGTAGTTAGCGAGGCTTTATAATAGGTTTATGAATAACGCACTTTTATAAACCTTCTATAAGTTTTTTTTATGCATAAGACCGCTACTGCCTTACCACTTCCGTTTACGATTCATTGATTTCTTTGGTAGCTATAACTTGAATTTATAAACATTAGGTTAATTGCATTCCACAATCTCTAATTCACTTGGAAATTTAGTATTACAAGTGCAAATAGGAAATCAAATAGATGTTTTGTAAACCTAGCAGAAGCACTGAGTCACCTAAAACAGTACCTCCATACTTCTCTCCAATTGAGGTTGTTACTCACTCATAGGTTGAAAATGATTATAAAAAATTGTCTATTATTTCAACAGCTATATATGTTAGTAATATTAATAGTTGTTGTGCATGGCGACAAAAGTTCTGACGAAGGTGGTGATAAACCGGAAATTGCTCGGGTTGGTAAAACTAAAAAAGCTAAAATGGGTTCGTAGACTTTATTACATAATTTTATTACACAATTGCGTACTATGAATTTTGAGTGTGAATGTAATTCAGAGTTTATAATTTAATTTAAGTAATATAGGGAGATAAAGTTTGTGAGTTGTACCCCCATACAACGCACAAACTTCATAATCGCTTCAATAGATCTAGATCTATTAAGCCGATTTTTTTTATCTTATTACAAATAGAAATCCACGTTATTACTGCGTGTCTCGGGTCATGTATTACCCAAAAATGATTAGTTTTTTTGGTTTAAAATTTGAATGTGTATCAAATGGTGGAATAGGTTATCAATAAATATATGGTAGTTATACGTAAAATGTAACGTACTTAGTTCCGTATGAACTTTAAAATAGAAATGGATTATATGCAGTGGCATAGCGTGGTCTTTCCCTGCCTGGGGCCAAACGGAAATTCGCGGCCTCCTATTTATAGGAGTATATTAGTAAAAAGAAATAGGTAAATACAAATAATGCAGATTAATTATAAACTTTATTTCTTTAAATAATAAAAAAATACTTGTAATAATTTCCAAATTTTTTAATTAATTTTGTTATGGCGCCAGGGGGTATAGCTTCGCATTCCCCACGCAATGCCACAGATTATACTTAATAAAATTTTAATTTCATAGATACATAAATGTCCTTGTAGATAATTGATTACATAAAATAAATTTGAAAGGCAATTTTTCAGCTCAAAAGACTGCTGTGGGCACCTTTTCTAATGTAATAACACAGATACAAAATTTACCAACAATGGACTTGGGTAGAAAGTTTAGAACACCGTGTAAAACTGGCAATCGCTGCGGAAAGGTCAGGCCAATTTAACTATTATATGGACTACTAGTAAGCATAGCGAACTGATTGATAGAACTGAATCGGGTGTATGGATGTATGTAAGATACAATGACGGCCTCGGTTGTCTAGCGGATTAGGTATATATATACACTACATTACTTTCCGGCGATCGCGGGTTCGATTCCTCGCATGGTGTAACCATGTGTATTCATGAATATGATGGTTTATAATATTATTTGTTTAGTCTGAATATTTTACGATATATTGATCTTCCATATTTATTTCAGTTCGTGCAGTAGCATGTATGTATGTACTTGTCTCTTCAGACTGGATATAATCTTTGTAATTTTATTAATTAGTAAGCTCTAATTAATAAAATTTTCTATTGTATTACAATGTCTTACTGTATTTTGTGTATGTATATTAATACAATTTAGCTGTCGCATTCAATGACTGTCTCCATATCATCTATCATCTTATATATAAAATTCTTGTGTCACAATGTTAGTTACCATACTCCTCTGAAACGGCTTGACCGATTTTTATGAAATTTTATATGCATATTCAGTAGGTCTGAGAATCGGCTACTATCTATTTTTCGTATCCCTAAGTGAAAAGGGTTATTGGTCCACCCCCAAAATTTATGTTTATTTTTTAGGCATTTTTATTTATATTTTTTTATTATGTGTCATTAAAAAATACATACAACCCTAAATTTTCACCGTTCTATCACCAACCCCTATTTTTTATAGCGTTATTAATTTGTATGTCAAAAGACAGCTAGTATGTAATCTAAATATTTAAAATATTCCACAGGTAATAAAACGTCTAATGGTGCCAAAATTGGCGCAGCTAGAGAATACAATAATGGGCATCATGAAGGAACTCTCCAAAATGCCGCCAGGGTCTCGTCTCCCCGACAAATATACCAAGACGGAGCCGGTCAAGTTGTTATTAGACCAAAATTACAAGTAACAATTTAGAACCAAATTAATGAATATTAAACTTTATTTATAAGTAACGAAGTTGTAATTTACATATTTTTCTTTTCAGAGAAGACGTCTGTATGGATAAATTAGAGTCGTGCTTGAAGGAAGACAAGAGACGTAAGCGGATTCTAAAGAAATTGTTCTTCAAAAAGTACAATGCATTAAGACAGGATCTGATTGGTTACGGCGGGAGACGGCTATGGGGCGGCGAGGGAAACCTATTTTATAGAAAATGAGAATCTGAATAAAGTAAATTACTGTTAATTTAATTTATGTGTCCTGCTGCTTAAAAAACCAAAGAGATAGGAATAAAAAGAAAGAAATAAATGAAGATAGATCATTGTTAGATTTTAGTATTACAAAAATAAATGTATTAAATAATATCAGCCGGTTTTCTGTTTTTTATTTCTTACTAGTGACCCGCGCGTGCTTCGCCCGGAAGAGTTTTGTATATATACAAATTAATATTATTTACAACCTAAATCACTCTAGAGTACTGTACCTTTTAACCAGTCAGAAATAAAAAAAAAAACAGATTTTTAGAAACGTTCATTATACATAATCAAAGTTTCCTCATATTAATATATCATAGACAAGTATTGGAGACCTTGTTATTTTTTTCATATGAGACTAAAGACAGTTTTTTTTTCGAGGCTAGTGTTGCCTATTACTAAAGATAGTTACTGGGTATACATCGGAAAGGCCATTAAGTGTTCTAGATTTATGGTTTCATACACGTCAACCCTATCCGTAGGAGATAGTTACGAGTACATAGTCTCTATGAAATCCATATAGGTATAATAAAAACAAAAATGTCTCACGACTCGCCATTATGGAATGTCGCGAGGATGATTATTCCATATAAATCATACAGCGATTATTATTTTCTAAATGAATGTACTGTAATACTGATATGGAATGATTTAATTAATGGAGTACGTATACGATTTTTTATGTGATTCCGTAAATTATTGAGTTTATGAAGTTATTACTTGACGTAGACGTTCTTTTAATGATTCATTAGGGTTGAGTTTAATATTATTTATTGGAAAATTAGAATGTAAAATATAAAAAAATACGTGTCTCGGAAGATCATTCCAACAACCTGTCATTGTTCCATTTTGGTTAGGTATTCATGATACAGCGTAAATTATATAGTCAATAGCAAATACAATCAACTGCAAAATACAAAATAGTTTTTTAACTTGTTTTTAAAACATTAAATGATTTGTATTTTATACGTATTTTAAATACAGTATTTTATTAAAATAAAATACTTTTAATGTCCTTAATGGTATTAGTACGTGTTTCTTTGTAAGAGTAAGATCATATTTTTTTAATATAAGTTCTAAGATTTTGTTCCAACCATTTGGTTTAGAACGTGATTCGTGATAAAAGTAGGTATTACATATCTACCAAAAATAGAAAAATCATTGTTTTGTTACTTGCATAAACAATAAGGACAATAGCACAGTTGAATTAAGAACCCCCATTTTTGGGATAGTTGATAATTGAATGTTGACAATTATCTGCCAAATCCAAGTGTCCAAAACCACTAGACCGCCCAAGCCATGAATTATTTATTGTGCTATTTGTATAGTAACAATAAATTTATAAAAAAATAGTTTAGCAAGAGCCTAACAACTGAACTAGCCACGAGGCCTATATTTCAGTAGACCAGAAATACATGCATCGAAAAATACATATATCATCACGTAAAGTTTTGACTCACGTGTCAGTAAGTACATGATCACGTTTCACTGTTACTAATTACGTAAGCCAAATTGTGGATGTTTTACTAGCTATTAATGAACAATATGAGTTTTAGTAAACAAGAGGAAAGTTTCCAAACTTCAGTACAGAGGAAGTTTAGAGTATTGATTGATTGCTCAAAGCCTTCCATACGTTTTTCAAGCGTGTAAAATATATAGTCAATAAGAATATTAAGGAATTTTAGCATTGCGATAATTATGGTTTAAATAAAACTGAAATTCTTTGGAAAGTTTATAAGAATTTTGTTAGCATAACACGTAGTATATAATTGCTAGTGTTTACATATAATTTTAAAATGGGTGATACGAAATTGAAGTTACATATAATTTTTGTTGTTTTGTGTATATTTTTAAGAGGAATTCGTGCTGTAGATGATTGTGAGTAATTTTTTTTTACTACAAAACAGGTATACATATATAAAAATATAATAAAAATCTATACCGCTCCTATTAGCATGATGTTATATAGCTTATAGCTTTCCTCGATAAGTGAGCTATATAATACTAAAATAATTTTCAGAATCGATTCAGTAGATACGGAAATCACCCCCTACAACATCCATCTTAACGATTTGGTTATGTTTTTACTAATATTGTGTAGTAAGTTACAGTTAGCATTTAGGGTTTGTTTTATTTCAATGGATATACAAGAAAAAAAGTTTGCGTTCCTAAATTACTCAAAATAATGATAACAGTCAGTCCTGATTTCAAATTTGGACAAAAACTTTGCGTGTCCATTTTGATTAACTGATATTCTGACTTTCCAGTAAAGGAAACACTCATAACAAAATTAAAAATTAATCTGCGGAATGAAAGTAGGCTCATCCTTGCCACGTTGGATTCAAATATACCTAGTTAAAAGCGGACATGTCAAGCGTTATATTCACCATGATGTCGACAGTTGAAAATGCCTCGTTTTATAATGCAGTCACCTTATTAATAACAAATAAATCAAAACAGTAAACCAATTTAATTAATCAAAGTAGTAATATAAAAACCACTTCAAAAACATAAATATCGCCAAATGCGTGTGTGGTATGTAAGCGCAATCTTTGGTATATTTATTTTACTCTTTGGCGCAAATGCAAATGTTATAAACAATACCTATGGTAAAAGTACATTTTTTTTGTAATTGTTGCAATGTTTATGGTTTTTTGTTTTTCTTTTGTTTTGAGTGTTTTATTATACAAGTTTATTGTAATTGTGAGTGTCGTTATGTTTAAGCATCTACCGAAGAAATAAAATTTATTTAAAAACAATATCAAAGACTAAAATTAGTTATTATGCTTAAAAGTAGGATAGCTAATCTTGAACAGGAATATAGTAATGTTAATCAGGAAGTTTAATCTTGGGTCTTATAAATGCTTCTAATAGGGGATATCAGTCGTAATGGAAAGTGTTTTTTTTCTGTTTAAAATGATGTGTGAGATGATAATGTATGATGATATTACAGCGTTGTTATTCACCGTGACGCGAGCACCGCGGTTCTTCGGAATTTTACAAGATCATCGCGGTCAGCCTCTCTCTGTAGAAGTGTCTGAGGAGTACATGGACCAGGATTACATAGCTACGAACAGGTGCGGCACGATATATAGATGTTTCTTTTATGAAATATATAACAAATTTATTTTACTTATTTGTACACTTTTACGCAGGCATCAAAAATCAGTTTTTTTATGTATGATAATGGAATTATGTACTCGTCTGCGCTAACGGTTTTCGTTCGGGGCACCAGTAGCGGATGATAAGACGAGCATAGAGTCAAGTCAGTTAGCGTATCTTGGCAAATGGCAAGTACCATGATGATTTATAGGAGGAACCGCGTGGTGATCATGACATGGTACAATGTTAGCAATCGCGTTATTCGTCAATATTATTAACAATCCCTTTTTCCAACGAATTAGTGGCGTCACGGTTGTCACATGATGACGTGATAATCGTGTTGCTATTCATATATTAGGCGACAGTTGCCATTTACCACCCTGTGAGTGGTTGACTTGTTAGTCATGACAATTTAATAAAAAAAATGATAGCAATATATGACTTAAATAATTGAATAAGGCAGGTTAAATAATATACATGTTGAATCATGACTTTTTGGTTTCAGAAAACGACACAAAATCAATTGGAATCAGTAAGTACTAATTTTATATATTTTGTACTAGTATAAAGTGGATGATTGTAAGAGATGGTTGAAATGGAGTGGAGTTTCTTATCAGTTCTTCTCAACTGAAGTAGATAACTGGATAGGATGGTAGAGATAGTGATAAAAAATGTCTGCATACCTATTTACCATTTAATCGTGAATTTGTAATAAACAAACAGGCAGATATACTTTCGCATTTATAATATTTGTATGAATTTATCTGTCCTACCTACTCTATTAAGGAATCTTCCGTGAAGATATAAAAAATAAATTAGTATGTTATTATATAATTTAATTTAATTAGTACGTTGTATAGTTTATTTATTAACAAAAATCTATAAATCAAACTGATTAAACCTTATTAATCAGGTGTTTAACTAAATTTTTAATCCTTTTTTAGAAATCCTTTGGACATGGATGATTTCGATGATGATGATACGGAAGAAATAATTGATGAGAAGGACAAAGATGTGAAAGTACCTAACAAATACAACCTACAAGCTGGCCCTGTTTAAATAAATAAAATATTTACTGTAGATTTTTATTTCATTTTAAATAATAATTATGACTTACCTATACTATGATTACCTATACCTACTATACCTATGATTACCTATTTTATTACTTTTTTTATTTGCTATTGGCTGCACCTTACCGGATGGTAGAGGGCGAGTGCAGATGGCACACAAACCCGCGGAAGGGCTTATGGAGCGGCTGAAGGCCAACTCCCGCTTGACGGATACAACTTTATTTTGTTACCTAGTAAACTTTTTCTATAAGACGATGATGGCAATCAAGTGGAGTGCGGGTTGCAACCTTATATACTCTTGTTGAAAAACCCCATGCTGTAATCTCTCGAGAAAACCTCGGCAGGTAGTGCCTTCAACAATGTAAGTGTACGCGGGGCGTAGCTCCTCTGTAACCGCACTGTACGAGACCATTTACGTTCCAGTGGGATACAATGTCGTAAAAGGTGTATAATGCTTTTGCTTCACGTATTAATATGTAGATATATACACCCGTAGATAGTAAAGTTTATTTTATTCATATAACAAAGTATAAAAGTAGTAAATGATTTCCTAATTACATATTTATGTCGCTGTACATGTTTTCTAGTCTCTCTTCAAATGACTGTGGTAACACTCTATTGCGGAACAGTGGCATTCTGGCCATCTCTAGAGACTCCTCAGAATAATCCGTCATTTCATCAGAGTAAAGGTCTGCTAGGTGGTCCTGGTAGATCTTGTCACATTCACTGGGATGCTCACTCTTCATGGTGCTCGGATGGTATCCGATGGCTTCTATAGGTCCCACAGTGAGGTATGGCACTTGTGTTGTCACCTCGAAGTGCTTACCTAAAATTGTATGGTTAATATAATAATAATAAAGCCACAAAAATAGTATCTTCATAGAAATATTATAAAAGAAAACACGAAATTAACAGAATTTTTCAATCCAAATGTCAAACGAGTATGTATGTAATGTTAACTTGTCGATTTTTGGACGACCATAATTAATAGACTTTAAACATCACCACAAAGTAGTGATATTATACTCACGGTCAATATGGTTAGGTATGATAACAGTTGCCACAGTTTTTGCCACTCGTTCGTCATAGTATTCTCCAAAAATGTCGACATTAGCCCCTTCGTGGGCCTCTCGATACTCGTGCTTCTGGCTACAGTCCTCCATGTGCCGTCTCCCAGAGTGGGGCGCATGCGGAGGGGGTATCTCCGTTAGGGGAACGAAACTTTTGGCTACACTCGCCCCAACAGGCTTCACTTTGACTAACCTTTGTGATGTTACAAGTATATTAATAAATTATTATTAATATTAAATTTAATATTATTAATTTATACTTATTAGTAAATGATAAATAAATATATAATTACTATTAGAACAAATCTATAGTTTTGTAATTAGTTGTATTTCTTTGTCTCTCGTAGAAGACTTTACAAAAAATAAAGTGTAAAGAATTTTCTAATTTATTATATCATAAGTTAATAAATTTATGGTATCCAAATAAATAGAATAAGTTGTTTATATATAGGTAAACCTGTTTACATTTTTAAATTTTATGCGAGATATATATATATATATATATATCTTTGAATAAAATATAAGGATTTTTAAATGGATTATTGTCAGATCTAGGTTAACTTTATGTATACAATACACAAATTGGACGATAAAAGGATGAGCACGAAGTCAAGCCAATTGATTGCGGTGAGGAAACCAAGATGGCCTCCAGGGGGAGGTTAACCTGACAAGTTACACTGAAAGCAATCGGGGTCTATTAAGTAATGCCCATTGCTAAGATCTAGAATATTAAAATTGCTTATTAAAAATGTGACTATGGTAATATATGACGCAATAATACTTACTTGTTCATAACCACACTGTGTCCTATCTCGCTTTTCACATATTGTGTGCTAATATATTGAAATACAACTAAATAGATTAAAACCATCATTTTGGTGTTCAATAGCGTAATGACATGCTTGGTAGTAATACGGAGTCGCCGTGGCACGCTGTTTTAAGCTAAATCCTACATTATTCGTATTATCAGATAATGCTAACAATGCAGGCATTGTTGTCAGTACAATGCACAGGTGGTGGAGTGCTTTTATTTCGTTTTGCATTTCTGATCGTGAACTTTACGGGTATGCTAATCAATGTTTGGTTCATATTGATAATGCGGTTTTATTCCCATGCATATTCGAGATGAAATTAAATACTTTCAATATATTCAATTGTTTTTTGTTTGCGAAAGTTTTTGTATTTGAAATTTAAATGATTTTTGTTATACACTTTAAAATGTACTATGGTTTTAGATTCGACTATGACATTTTGTATAAATGTTATGTTCTCTAATTAAAACATAGCTAATGGGCTATTTAGTTGCAGTTCTATGCTCCATAAAGATCATAATACAATAACTAAATAATACTGATAAAAAATAATCATTATATTTAATAAGTACTACAGCTCATATAAAAGGAACTCTTATAAACATAGATTCCAGATTGGGAGTTTACTTCCCCGAAGATGACGATATTTGGGGATTTGGGAAAAATTGGGAGTTGTTTAATTTCCATTGTCTAATTGTTTTTTACGTCGAAAGACGTAAAAAATAAGAGTGTTCTAGCCATATAATAACAATAATATACACAATGTACCCAAAAACTTTAAAAAAAGAACAAGAATTAGAATAGTAGATATAAAACTACGGGTTGTAAACCTCGGGTAGGTCAGAATTAAATATTGAACGGGCCCAGAACCCATCAAGCCATAGGCACCCCTTGTAATTATTATTTAAATAAGTTTAGAGATAATTCTACACTGATTCGAAGTTTTTCGTATGTAAATGACTTTGTAGTAAATTTTTGGAACTATCTAGAAAAACTTCGCCTTCTTCTTTTTATAGACTACAGGGTCGAGATGCCAGCTCTGATTGCCTCCGCACGAGACAAGAGTGAAACAACCACCGAACACTATCGGAGGATCGGTGTCTGGAACACAGATGTTGTCCTGGCAGAAGGTGGCAGTACCTGAAAAGAAAATTATTGGAAGAGACAATTAAAAAAAAGAAAATCAAGTAAAAGGACTTTTATTGTTTACACATATGAATATCTTTTCGTAATGTTTGGTTGTTTAAATGTAAGGTTAATATTAATTATTTAATTTTTATGTAAACTTGGATTAGCATAACTTTGTTAGTTTTACATATATTAAGATAATAGTAGTTTTCTATGAGTGACATAGTTTTAAAATATTGGAATTATAGAAATAGAAATAAAATAGTCCTCGCATGATGCAAATATTTATATTCATGAGTATGATTGTTTGTCTCGGTTTGGGCTTTTTCTATGTACATTATATAAAAATGTTTATAAGTATTTCTATCAGTTGCCTAGTACTTCTAACACAAACTTTGCTTCGCTTGGGACTACATAGCGCTGTGTGAGTTGTCCAGGCAATTATTATGATAGTTTTTGATATCTTACCAACGTAACCGGTAGGTCGCGCCTGGCGTTTATTCTTTACGTAGTCCACAACGGCTTTGGACAGAGCGTAGAAGTGTTTGCTGGCCTTATATCGCATCTTGGCGAGTGCGGCATCACAATCACTTTTGTCAGCTCGGCAGTGGTACACCAGATTTCTTGTGTTTGTCTTGATCATTTCCTCACGGAGCACTTGATATTTGGTGTCGGTGTATAGCATTTGGGCGAATCGGACATTTACTGCGAAATCATGTTCTATTAATATCAGAAAAAAAAAATGAAATAAAATCATAGTCAGAAATACTTGTAATTGAATATCATTGTCAACTTTTTTGACGATTCTTAATCAAATTAATTCTACTAAGGACATACCATATATATGTATTATACACATACAACTTCCGGAAGAAAGTATTAACATTACAGTATCAACGTATCCAATTCTTTGCAAAAACAAATGTGAATAGTGACTTACTTACTGTCCCTATATTTCTAATACTTAAATATTGAAATACTTGAAGATAACAAAATAAATATATAATATGTACCTACATGCTCATCATATTGCTTATTAACCCTCCTTATGTATTAAAAACATCTAAATTTGAACTCTTGTTTGTTGCAGGTGATATCTTAATTTGAAAGAATGCAACAAAACACTATCAGTTAAAATGGGTTTGATTTTATGAATAAGCTTAAGTTTACTCTTACAGTCTATGAATATGTACAGTATATGTTAAAGCATAATAAGTACGTACAAGTAAAAAGACATTAAAAAATGTATCTAAATAAAAATATAAATTCTCGTGTCTATGCTCATCGATATGATCCGCAGAACTATTTAACACGTTCTTGCTTATAAATTAATAGAGTAACAGAATTCTGTCGTAGACCCATTATTACTAGCAGCCCATCAATCAAACTGGTTTATGGCTGATAATGATATATTTAGTTGGTATTAAACACTCCCACAGTTGGCATTTATTCTAGTTTTACGCAGTCGTTCAGGATCCTAAACTCGTCTCTACTAAGATATGTGTCACTGAGCAAATAAACACTATGTTTTAAGAGTTGCCCGATATGCCCTTATGAGAGAAACTTAAATACAATCTATCCAAAAGCAGTGTTAAAACGTTATTCTCAAATGCATAATTTCAAGCAAAATTTCTATTGAGCACAAATCCTTCAAAATTGGTCTATATAACCAAGTATTTCTAAATATCTGTGCTAAATTTCTTATCTGTGCTAAAAAATTGATCTATACCTACAGGCATGCTTTTGGGTCAGCCCTTACTAATCTCTATCAGATTTCTATTCGAGCCAAATTTAAAAATGGAACTGAAACTTTTTAATATTAAATCTTTATTTTTCGCATAGTATTACATGCTTGTATCATGTGCGCTGTAGCATGGTGCTGGTGACAGTTTCAGTAACGTTTCGTTTCACTCTTAGAAGTTGACGCGATTTACAAATTATGACTTAGTATTTCAGGTGTACCACATTCGTAATATTTAAAATCATTAAACACTGTAGTAACTTAAATTTAACCCAGCCAGAATGTTCTTTTCTCCGTTTCGTATAATAAACTTTTAAAGCTTTGTAATGTCGCCTTTATACATAAATAGCATTACGACATGACGTACTTATTATGTGGCGCCCGTGATACCATTAATTGCGTTGTAATTCTTGAGGCTGAAGATGTTACGCCTCTTATCATGTAATTTTACTGCCTTATCTCCCCGTTTAATCAAAGTTCGGCTTACAAAGCAGTAAAGAAATAGGTAGACAAACAAGTTAACGATTTTTACAAAGTCTACTTCAGTGAAAACATGATGGCGAAATAGCTTGTCTCTAAATAAAAAAAAAAAACAAGTCGATTGCATTCTAGAACTAAATAGGTTTCAGAAGTACCAACATTAGAAAGTTATTAAAATTGAAGAACAACGATCACTCACATCCAGCGCCGACAACATACGCTTCCATCCGACTGACATAATTGGCAAACGCCACAACCAAAAACAAAACTTCCCTCATGCTCCTCAACTAGGAAACTAAGAACTGTGAACACTTATGGGCATTTAATGGTCCAATTAGGGTTGCATTAAATGACTCGTAAATTGCCAATCAATGCAGAATTGGCTGTTTACTGCTGTGATTGGAAATAAAGATTGAATGTACCAGAACCCGAATGTATAAGAGAGTTTAGGTTAATCGCAAATTCCTTGTTTGTACAGGCAATTAATTTCTTAATTAGTCATGTTAAGATACGTATAAAGGTGATATAATCTATTATTTCTAAAAGAGATGTGAATAATTGTAAAGTAATTACATATAGTATTAGTAGTAGTTCAATTCGAGGTTATAAATATTGTTGTGAATAAACTTAAAATGTTGCACCTATATGACTTAATTATTTTTTTTCTTGTTCATTCTAAACATTAACTAATTTACATGAGCTTTTAATAAATTTATAAACATATTTCATGTCTATTTTTAGCGGCGAATTCAATGTTTGAAAGTAAAATGTATCTATGTAAAACACGAATAGGTGTACATAGGTATACCTACAATGCTGTTACAATTGTATATGTGGTAAGTTATTATTTTAACACTTACCTATTTGTTCATACTTTTTTTAAATATATAATAATATCTATAAAATCAAGTTTGGATAAGCAAAATTGTAATTCCGAATGCATACTCAGTCAATAGAAACATATTAAAAATCTTATTATTTGTTATATTAATATTACTAAATATTCCATGTACACACTTAAAGCATGTTGCCAGTTACTGATATTTACTGAGAGTTAGTTATATTTATATAATTAACTCTATAATATATAGTACGTCTACTTGAAAGCTATTTCTTAGGCTAGTTATTTTTAATCATTCATGTTTAATATACATTATTTATATTATTAACCGTCTCTGTCGTGACCACGGCTATTGCAACCTAGTCGAAACATCGAGAGAGACAAATATCTTTATTTGCCATAAAATTGTTCGTGTTAAGTCCCGGTTAGTAATATAAATAATATTTCTTAGGCAGTTGATTAAATAAAAATAAATATGGCATTAAAAGTTTGTAAAATGTTACCTTTAAGGTGGTAAAGTAAAAGGGGATGAAAGTTTATATGGGAATTCGTCATGTGTGAAGCTAGAACGATGAAACTTTTTTCGTTCACTTTTTTGGGTAACAATATTGAATATTTTATAATACGCGGACGAAGTCGCGGGCACAGCTAGTTATAAAATATATCTCAAAAATATGTACCCGCCGATAGTTTATAAGTCTCTGTGCGGGCTGCTGCAACAACTATATCGAGAATAGTACGGACGATATTGAATTGCAAACAATTAACAATAGTAAAGTTTCGAAATCGTGACTCAGAGGTCCGAATGACTTGTAAACGACTGGACCCGTTAATTATCCATGCCCCCGTCTGCCAAGAGATAGCACCAAATTATAACCGCATTTCACGCTTCAGACCTAATCTACAGACTCTCCTTTTACGGTCAAGTCTGTGTCTTAGCTTAAAACAGCATAGACAGGGAACTTGCGAAATTATTTTTTAAAACTGTACTATTGAGAGTCAATTCTATAATCTTAGAAATAAAACGTCGATTACTTGGATAAATTATAATTTAATAATTAATATAAAATATACAACTTTCAACAGTTCGTGGTCAAGTGACGAAAAACCAACTACTCATAATAACGGATTTTTTTCATGATAGATATACTGACGGAATGATTGGAGACTGACAGTATCAATTGTCGTAGAATGATACTATCAACGTAACGTAAGACATGACATAATCATTCACTATTGTTTCGAATTGTTATCCGAGTTTTATGAATATAGTATTTTTTCATATAGAAATAGGTAGATCAAAAATGAAAACTCACTTGATAAATTTAAAAAATTCTTCCTTTTGTAGAAACATAGCATACATAGGTTGTATATATACTGTAGGCAGTGCTGAATACAGCTTAGTTAATAATCTTTTTTTAGGTAACTGGAATGTTCAACATGTATTGACAACAATACGGCCATCACAAAGTGAATTTATGATATTCTCCCAGAATTACCAAATCTGACAGAGAGGCAATTCAAATCTTATATTAAACAATTTATGAAGAAAGCCATGCATTCCTGTGGAGAATTCATTTGCAGAGTAAACCTCCTGTTTTAAGGATGAGCGATCTTTAAAACCGGAACATAATAAAGCTGTCGGCAATAGAGATTTAATATTTTGTTGCCAGTTCTAAAATAGTTTAAAAGTATACGTTACGGACAGTAAACGAAATATAGCACGCGTGCAATCTTAGCTATTCATCGGCTGTAATATTGTTCACCCTGTACTGCGACACTTCTGTTTAGCCTAATTGGAACTACGTTTGTTTAGTTGTATGTGTATAGTGCAACTGTGCCCGCGGTTTCACTCACATGAAATTTGTATCGAAGTATTGTACCTAAGTGTTATTTTGTAGTATAAGCTATATTACTGTAAAGTTTTATCAATATTCATTCCGTAATTTTTGCGTGAAATAGTAACAAAATTCCATCCATCCATACTCACAAACTTTTGCGTTTATGCTATTGTATTAGTATGATTGCATTGTATATGACTATTGTATTGTATACATCTTTTAATGAATTACATTATCTAGGATATATCCCTCACCATCCATACTCATTGCTAGCAATGAACCATATCAAGTTGACCTCAATGCTGCAGCCAAAACCATCATAGTAAAATTGCCATTTGCACAGATGGGCTAACTACCTGATTTCGTGCTCATTTCATCTTACGATCCTACACTGGTGCCCCGCCAGCGTAAAGCGTTAGCGCAAGCGGGTGCACCATTCCATTATCACACTTAAAAATAATACTAGTAAGCAATGGTTACAGTTTACAACAAAATAGTCGTTCATGTACGTACTATACAACTACTGAACAATTGCGTACGTTTTCGAACGCACTAATTGTCGTACAAAATAATGTATCAATTGCTTATCGGCGAGACCAGTTTAGGCGCCAGGCTGCACTAATAACTCGCCACCATTGTCTCCAATTCGCAAATAGCTATTTATCTAAATCCATATTACAGAGAGGTATTATTTTATTGTATGTTTGTGATGGATAAAGCGAAAATATACTTACCTAACAGATTTTAACACGTTTTAACGTTTACAAATATATATGAAAATTATAAATGGAACTATTAAAACTTGATACTAATTTTAAAACTTGAGAGTTTATTTTGTATTTTTTTTTTAATTTCGGACATAATGAATTATTGTATTAAGAATGCAATATATTGAAAGTAGGTATGTCGCAGTGAACATGTTTGTTCAAAGACCATATGTTTTAGTAGTCTGGTATGAATCTCAATTATGATTCACAAAATTTACAAGTCCCTTCAACGAAGTGGGTGTCCGTTTCAGAATTATGACGGACTGACAACCGGACATGGTGTAGTCGTTACAGGTGAATTTATAGACGAGATATCCATTAAGCATGTACTCTTGTTCACCCATAACCAATGTAAGTTTGCGATTGTCTAATAAGTTTTCATGCGACAATAAACTCTATTACTATGGAAGAATAGTGTAGTGAAAGGAAAAAATATTTATGAATTGAATATGTAAGTTTGTAGACTTCTCAGATGTTAGTGGGGTGGTCACGTCTTTACGTTGATTTTATTAGCGAATAATATGTACTGAATTATTATAATGTTGACAAATATCTCTATAAGGAATAGAAACCCCTTTGAGGTGTGTGAACATTTCAGTAATTATAAACAATTTAAATAGAACCTCTACATATACGTTAAGGGTTATATTTTTTATTTTTCTATTACTAACAGGGTCAAGTTACGTTTTAACAAAATGGACTATATTGTCTGACAATAAAATATTATTCTTATATAACCTTCAAATATCTTATGTACTTACATTAGCTTTTGTACTGTTTTGCTTTATTCATTTGAGAAATTTTTAGAAATTGAGATAATATATAAAAAAATATTAATAGAGTAGATTTAATGTTCAACCCGGGTACTCATACTTATTATATATACATGAAGTTTTTGTTTATTATCTCAATTATATTTGGGTTTTTGTTTTCAAACAATCAACATAATTTAAATTATTAACCGGGTCTTAAGACGAATAATTTTATGGCAAATAAAGGTATGTACCTCTATTATTTAATCAACATAAGCTGCTTAACGGGCTTCAAGCAACGTCTGTGGTACTCACCCCATGCGTTACCACTGCATAGTAGATATCATACCTCCTGTGTCCTGTAATTTCACTGCCATATCTCAACCTTCAACCAAAACACAGGTTAGAAAACCAACTGTTAAGCGGTAAAAATAGGCAAGACATAGGTATGCAGACGCCTTTGTACTAAATCTACGAACCTACGACCGTTATTAGAGCGCCTATCATGAACCAACTCAGGAAATACCTTTCCTTAACCTGTTACGAGTGGCATAGATTAAATACTTTATGTATGTAGGTACAATCGGTGCCGCTCTAATAAGGTGAGACGGTTATCTGGCCATTGTTGCAGTTAATAGAAGCCATCCTATAACTGCATTGTTTCCACCAATCGAATTAGAAGTGCGGCACGAGCGACGGAAACTGCCGACGGGGCACGATCTCCATGTTTATTGGCTGCCCATAATTTCTGTAGGGGACTGTACCTCTATACTCGTATGTACAAGGAGAAATGTACTTAAAATTAATAAGTGTAGAGTAGAATAAGTGAAGGCAGAATAAACTATTTTCTGACCGAAAAAACATAGTATTTAAAATTTATCTACTTATAATAAAGTTATGTGGTTGACAGTACATCTATATATTAATATATGTCACAAAAACCTAGATCCCATTTTTATTTAAATTGCGCATATGGAGTTTTATGAAATTTCTCACACAGTTTATATAGAGAAATAGTGCAGAATACTAATATTTATTTCAATTGTGCTTAAACTAGATTAAATCACTAAAAAAAAT